TTTGACAGTCACTTTTTTTCTAAACTGATGCTCTTTATTCCCTATTTTCATTCATTCTTGGTTTCCCTGTTTTAGTCAAATAACTTAATCATTATAACACATTGATTCATAAATTAATTATAAACATTTGCCTAAATCCAATCTACATCTCAAATCAGTCTAACTTCTGCAGCCAGCATCCAAACACTTATGAAAGCTAATCCACAAATTCAAGAAGGTATTACCTACCATATAGCATGGAGTATAAATTAAGACTGCCAACTGGGGAATACCTTGAACCAAGGATAAATCACGATAAAGGAGAAAAAGGGATATGAGAAATAATAATAAAATCAAACTGTTGTTTTTCTGTGTCCAGCATAGAAATTGATGAAAAGTGCAGATATGATTTTATCGCCATTTATGACGGTCCAAGATCTGATTCTCCTTTAATCAAAAAAGTGTGCGGTCGTTTAACTCCAACATTTACATCTTCATCTAATGCTATGACAATTGTGATGTCTGCGGACTATGCTAATTCTTACAGGGGCTTTTCAGCTCGCTATACAACTATACCAATATCACAACCTAACAGTAAGTCCAATGACGCTATAATAACTGGTTTATACTGATATGGAAAGGGAATACCAAATACAGATCTGTTCTTCCAATGATATCTTGCATAGAAATCCGACATTTTGACATCTTTTCTAGGTTTTGAAATATGGCAAGGATTTTGTCCTTATTTCAAATTATGACCAGTTTGACATAGGCACAAGCACACCCAAATATTCTATCCACCATCAGAGCTTCCTACCTTGTTTTTATTTTGTCCCTTCAAGTCAGTGCTGACTCCTGGCTACTATCTATTGTTCAGGAAAGTCCCTGTAAGGCTTTTTGGGCAAGATTTTGGAAGTGGTTTGTCGTTGCTTGCTTCCTTGGGCAAGGGTAACTAACCAAAAATCACTCAGCTGGCTTTGTGCCTAAGAAAGGAGTAGAACTCACAATCTCCTGGTTTCCTTAACCATCATACCAAACTAGCTCTCAGTATAGCTATACCTGACTGTAATTATATTTGTCTGATGACATAAGGTCATTTATTTATACAATTTATATATAGCTGCCATAGCAATGACTGTAGGCAGTACACAAAATTAAAAGCAAATATTCAGACAATCCAAGTAATAAATGTCCAAGGTCACATATAGCTAATTACAATTTACAATTAAAACATCAGCCAGCATGTTTTGGGGGACCATCTTCTCACTTTCTGAAACTGCAAATTAGTCCAAAATACAGCAATTATGAAAAATCCTGAAAAGATCACATCTTTTGTGGAAGGCATTAAGATTTGCTGGGATCTCTGCCTGCAGGATTATAAGATTATAGAGAGAACAATGATGCTGTACCCGGAACCATTTTTTATTTTTTTTTTGCTCTCTTTATAGACAAGCTGTTATAGAAGGTGAAATATATTATACATTTCAGAATAAATGTACTCTACCATGTGCTAATATCTAGCTTACACCCAAGGAAATAATTTTAACATTTTTCTTCATCTTTTTTGGAGGTGCTTCAAATTCAAAACATTTCCAATAGTTTGGAAGTGATAGTAATAGTCAGATTTCTATTTATTTTACTTTACTATTTTGCCACAGAACCAGGATTCCCTGGGGTCTCTCATTCATATACAAACCTGTTTAACACTGCTTAGCTTTTTCAAGACCAAAGTCTTGGTTAGGTGCTGCTTGTCCCAGATGTTTTCATTTTATGATGCAAAAATAAAATCAATTTTTCACACAGAATAATTTTATAACTTTTGTCATCTCCTTTCAAATTAATCTGCAACAGCAATTACATACTTCTTTCTAGGACAAAGAGTTTTATTCCTGAGGCTATTCTATTTTTTCTTTTCCTATTAGCATCCCTCAGTTGTTCTTCAGACAACATGATAATTACTCTCAGCAAATTTTACTTGGCTTCGCTCAACTATAATGCAAGTTTCTTACATTTGAATGACCAAACTTGCAAACCTATTTCTTACAACCCAGTGATATTTTCTTTTCCAATCAACAGCTGTGGAACAATTAAAAAGGTAACATTCATTTTGTGAATTCATTTATTTTTTCCAAATCTATAGTCACCAATCAGGGCTGAAAAATTCCAGATGGTGACTAGATGGCAGCAGTGAGTTTTCCATGCTGTACTTATTTCTTTCAACTAATGGTTATCAGATTTTTGAAGCCCATACTTAAAACCTTTTCTATCTTGCTCCTCTTCACTATACTATCCCTAGATTTAAACATATTAATGGCATGCAACCTTTTACACCACTCAGATATGAAAAAGAACACTATCAGAACTGTAAGTAAATTTTAAAAACATCCCATTAGAGTACAAAGATAGTTGGAAAGCATAAGGATACAATTAAACAGGATACAAAGTATACTGAGCATTTACACCAGGTCCCTAAATTTAATGGAGCTTACAAAGTGTTTACAATCCTGAGACTAGAGATCGAAGTTGTAAATGCTCATTAGTTTCCTTTGTAATTTTATTTACTGGCAACAGCCTGCTTCATTAAATGTCCTGTGCTTTTTTCAGTATTCAAATGCTGATTTTCAAGATATCTTTTTAGTTTTCAAATGGAGAAATCAGTAATATCAAAGAAAATGATATTGGAGAAGGCTTCTACTTTTCAACGTTCTTCAGTCTATTATCATATATGATTTTCTTGCTATTGGCTGTTATATCTAAACAAAACACTTAACTACATTTTTATAATTAGATATTATAAAACCTTAAACTTGTGATGTATTTGTAGCTCAAAAGTATTTTTTCTGTCTCCTCAAATATTCTACCATTTAAAAAATACCTTTTTTTTCCTTGGCAGACTGAAGGTCAAAGCATCTCTTACAGCAATGTTGTAACTGCCTACCCAACAGGCATTGTGGTCACCCGCCAAAAGAAAGTTGAAATTGTTGTGAAATGTATAATGGAAAACAATTCGACAGTAGAAGTTGTATATGTAACAGAAAGTGAACATTTAGACAACACAACGACTGCGGGTAGATACAATCTCAGCATGTCGTTCTATGAAACAGACTCTTTCTCCAAACCAGTATTTGAAACTCCATACTTTGTTGACTTGAACCAAATGCTCTATGCACAGATCAGCCTACATTCCAGTGATCCAAATCTGGCAGTATTTGTGGATACTTGCACAGCATCTCCAGACCTTAATTCTAAATCACCAAAATATGATTTAGTTAAAAGTGGGTAAGTATATTCACTATTAATCACAATTAGGATTTATTATATAGATTGAGTTATATTACAATACATAGAACTGATCTAATTTCCATCATGGAAGAAAAATAGGACAAAGGTTTCAGATTATATTACATACATTACTTATTTAGAGAAATGATATCTGAATGACATCTAAGTAGTACTTTTGTTTATAGCCACTCAAGTTCATTCTATCTCCCATTTTATATATTTAATAGTCTGTTTACGAGACTGCAGGCATTTGATAAAATAGATTACCGTATATGCCGCCATATTAGGCGACCCGGCGTATAAGACGACCCCATCTTTATAGCCGGGCCGCATTCCTTGAACGTCGTCTTATACGCCGGAAACTACCAGTATTTCCGGCGTATAAGATGACTCGGCGTATAAGACGACCCCCGTCTTTGGCGCCGATTTCAGCGCTCGCGGAAGTCGTCTTATACGCCGGCATTTACGGTAATATCTACAAGCATGTAAATTGCAATATGTCTCACATGGCTTTATTGTACATATGCAGCAGACTAACATGAGTAACTTTCTGGACAAAATATAAGTGGGGCTAACTATAGATTGAAAGAATCCATGTGAGAAAGGAAAGAAATAGATCTAGGATTGAAACTCTTTCCCTTAAAACCATTCATTCTTGTACTTTTACAAAGCAATTTCTGATAAGCATAGAATATAAATGCCTATAATCCAAGTATTTATCATGATAAAATAATCTGAATATTCTATTTCAGCTGCACTAAGGATGATACTTTTATGGCCTATCCCATCCTTGAGCATTTTGGGAGATTCAGGTTCAGATCCTTCAGATTTCTAAAACATTACCCATCTGTTTATCTTCACTGTGAAGTTTTAATTTGCGACAGCAAGGATTCTAATTCTCGCTGTACCAAAGGTTGCATTTCTCGGCAGAAAAGAGAGATTTCTTCCTACAAATGGAAAGGAGATGCTGTGATTGGACCCCTCAAACTGAAAAGAGAAGGAAATTCCATGGATCGCTCAGGTGAGAATGTTTTCTTGGAGTTGATTACATCAGTAGATTTATCAGGTTTCATTGGGAATTGTTTAAGAGCACTTTCAGTATTACAAATAGCAATCAAAGCATGCTACCACTGAATTGCAGACACACAGAACTGCCAATACCTCCATCTCTACCAAATCAATCATAAAATACTGGTTCTTTTTAAAAAAAGGAAATGTATAGCCAACAATTTTCCAGATTTTATTTTAAAAGTATTGTTCAATAATTTTGGAACTTGTGAAGATCATTTAACCTCCATTTGTCTTCTGTTTTTATATTCAGACATTTCTAGTGAGGTTCATCCAGAAGAAAGTGTTAATGCACAGCCCCAAATCCTATATATCCTTGCATTTGTTGTGTTGGCTACAAACACAGTACTCCTGGTTGGGCTAGCAGCAAAGCGTCTTATCACTCGAGAAAGCGGATACAGATACCAGAAACTGAGTTACTAACACCTTCATTTGACTGTTTCACATCTACGCAGATATGAATGAAATGTTTTGTGGTCTTTCCATGATTTTTTCTTTAGAAGGGTAATTTCAATTAAAATAAATAAACTACAGCATTAAACATATCTGGAAGGGAAATAGCCAAATACAAAACACAGATACACATACCGCTACATTGGATATCAAAATAAGGAAACTGAAATTGAGGAAACTTATGATCATAAATATGATTCTTCTCTTCTTCCCCCATCTTTTTTTTCTGGAGAATTTTTCAGGAGACAAAAATGGCTGTAAGGTAGAAAACGGCCAGGAATATTCCTTCCATGAACTCCTTTATGTTAAACTTATTTTTAGACAAACCTTTAACCTTGTTTGCTTATATATTAATACACAAACATTCAAGCAAACTACTGAAAGAGAAATATACATGAATAACTCATTGAGGAAAAAACAGTTTTTTGATGTCAAATCATTGGATTCTGCTGCTCTACTGCCAAAATTCATCATATGAGTCATATTTACTCAAGAGCCTTTGTCAAATACAGATGAATATATACAAAATAAGATCAGAGAAAACATATATTGAAATAACTTGAAGTTCTACATGAATAACAAGACCAGATACATATTGCATGTGTCAATGAAATACAGACGCCTTCTCTTAATTAATCTGCTTTTTTTAAGACTTAACATTAATTTAAAACTCAAAATTAATGGATATTATTTAATTATTTTATGATATTACCCTACATTAAACTAGAAAAAAATCTTATTAAATGTTGATAGAGCTGCAAAGCACTTTATTTAGAATGGTTCAAAATAATTTAGTAACTTATCATGCCCAAAACTAATTTTTAAATAGTTATGAATAAATAGGCCATAAGCAGATATAGAAAATACTCTGAAATGTAAAAAATACTTATTTTACACATTACAGATGTATAACAATTAACTTTAGCATATAATACTTGCAAAATTACAGAAAAAGTACAAAGTTTGAGGTGTAAATGTTTACAAGCTTATAAGTAACAAGTTTGTAAAATACAGACCTGTCCTTATAAAACATATTGAGGTCTTTGATTTTTATAAGGATTTCCTACCTCTTCCCATCTGTGTTTTCTTCTTTCAAAGGACATTCTTGAGAACCAATATGCAAATTATTAACCAAATGTATTACTGCAGCAAGTTTATTATCAACATGTTCCTGAAGTTTTTGCATACGTAGGTCAATATAGTCCATTAATCTCTTTTCTGTCTGCTCCATCTTTTTGGACATGAACTTTTCCAAATATAGACAAATATGCTGCTGTTCTAAACTGCAAGAAATGCAAATAACCAAAAACTGATCCATGCCATTGAAAAATATAAATTATATACCTTAAGTAGCAATAATTTTACAAATACCCCAGTAGAATATCTGACACTGAAGAACAATCAAAATCTGAAAACCTTCCAAGGCTCATGTTACCTAATTGACCACATAAATAATATTAATAATCTGGAAATATTAAATATATATTTTTAAATGTTAAGCAGTATCATCTACTACTTTTTTAAAAATCAAATGAGCAGAAGATTTATTAAAATACCTCTGGTAAGGCAACAAGCAAAATAGGATTATAGCACCTCAATGGATATCGAGGCATACAATCTTCAGCCTTTGAGTACAGATAAAGTAATCATTATATTACACAGGAACAAGAACTGGAACAGGACACTCCACATTTCAATATGAATTTTGTGTATTATTGCACCCAGTGCTATAATATGTTTCTATGGGTGTCTTGGATTTTTATTACTGATGTATTACTTCATCTTCTTAACACTGTTAGCTACTCAGAATCACTTGGTAAGTAGGCAGCCATATAAGCTGAATAAGCAAATAAATATCTTTCTTTTTCATGATTTCATGCCAGCATCTCAAAACTGATTTAAAGAGATAATCTAGGGAACCAGTAGAAAGTCAGAATATAACTGCATAGTTAAATATTTTTCAAATTCAACTGATTAATCTTTCATATAGTTCCTGCTATCAGAGTGCAAATATTTATGGAAAGTGAACCAATCAGAAGTTAGCAATTTGAATGTTCTCAATTTTAATGAATTCAAAAATCCAGCTAAATTCAAGGGTCACATAATGACGAAAATTTTTGTTTAACTGTTACATAGTTCAACTACTTGGTAAAGTCTACCTTATTTTTTCAAAGAGGCATTTTGAGCCCAATTTTAAAAATGGATAAAATTTTCCAATATGAACTCACCCAACACTTTGAATTCCATCTTTCTGAGAAGTAGAATTTTTTTCACATTTATCCTTTTCACCTATGGATAGACAATCTCCTTGGCCACATACTGTTTGAAGAAGTGGAAGCAGCAATGTGGAATTTGGCGTATTTGAATTTTCATTTCCTTGTTCTTGAAAAAACGATGCCATAAACCCTTTATAGTCACTTTGAGAAGGTACAGTGCAAGGCTGAAGTCCAGGAAGCTCAAAAATGTTACTTGTAGTAAGAACCTGTTTGGTGATCTTGGAGTGTGCATTTAAATCCTCTGTAACTGTTTTAGCTGTCAAATTAGCTTTTAAAAGAGAAGGTCCATTGGACAAGTGATCTAAATCAGATGCCTTTTTCAATCCATCGATGGGATGATTTTTTCCATAGACAAATCCATTCCCTCCTAAGATGGTTTGTAACTTGCCTCCAAAAGAAATTCCATTCTAATAGAAATAAAATACATGATCTCATTAATTTAAATATATAATCCAAAAAAATAATTTCTAATCCCAGTAGTATCTACCTGAATAGTACAGACTTATATTGTACTGGTGAATATCCCCCCTTATTGGAAAACCATTTACTCAATGTGTTGCTTTTCTAGCAATTTACTGAATTTCCTCCATATTCAACCCATTGGCTCCTGCTAACCCTGCCTATCAGAGAGACTCATTTAGCCAAAGGGAAAAGCCAAGTGGGGAATTAGTCTGGAATTGTTATGTGGGCATAAAAAAGCATAGTCCAACCCCCCTTGAATGTTGTTGAATTAGTTTGGCCCCAATGCAAACTGCCAATGTCCTATGAAATAGGCATGGAGCTCTACGTGTGTAGATCTGGTTATGTTGTACTTAACAGGTTGTTTTCAGAATATTTTACTGAACTTGGCTTCATTTTACTATAATCTTTGATACAACATAAACAATTTGGAGCTTTAAAGGAGAAAGTGTTAAGTTCTTTTTATTATTTAAAATGCAAACTGTGCTGAATGTGGAATGAGCAGGACAAAGGAAAAGGAAGGTAACAATGGTAGAGAAGAATATAATTGCATTTTCACTGTTATTTTCTTCATCACCAGATTGATCCAGACCTTACAACCATGATAATGAATGAATTACATACCTTTCAAACAACACCCACCATTCACATTTGAATAGTTATAACTACATGAAACACCATGAAATTTTCTTGGCAATAATATGGAAATTGTTTGCCATTCCCTAGTTCATTTTTTCCCTTCTCGTCTACTCTACAGCTTTGGATTCCCTGGTAGCTGCCCAAGTACTATGTAAAGCTGAGCTTATCTAATTTTGGAATCTAATATGAAGATTCACGTGTTATCATATAACTTCAATTTATATATACCCTACCTTTTCAGACCAATTACGCAACTTAGTGTTATATATCTATTTATTTTTCTAACTTCACTATGCAAAAAGACCACAAAATTACTATGGAAAGGAAAACTATATATAAACAAAAATTCTAACTCTGCAACTAAATTTGGTAAGAATCATTTGAAAGAAGGCAAAACCTGCCTTTATTTCAGTTATTAACAGCACACAAATAATATGCAAGTTGAGAATACAAAAATGTCACATTATACAGTCCCTTCTACTCCTTGCGCATAAAAAGTACATTTTATGAATAATGTTTTGCAAATGGTAACTTACCTTCTGTTGAAAACGAACCATATCTAGGAGTTGTTGTGCCCCAGGTGATAATTTGGATCCCATTGATTCCATTATAGATTGTACTTTATCTAGATCTATTCCTGATCCTAATGTAACACTTGGCACAGTCTTTGCACAGGCTGACTGGACTTGTACTATGATTTTATTGATGAGCACTTTTTGTTTTTCACTGATGGATAATAGCTAGTGAAAAGAGATTTCTGGTGATTTGAGGAAATAATTCAATTAATTTAACACATTCCTTTTTAAAAAATGACATCCATTTCTTCTCCTCTTAATTCTCATAGTAAACTTTATGCAGGTGCTAGTAATAGGTCTGATATAACTAAACATAAGAATATGTTAATGGTAAGACTAGGTTGAAGCAAAATATTAGTTGTATTAAAATTTATTTTTAGATAGTATTAAAGCCATGATTTCAAGAAGGATTAGTTTCTTGATTCTGCAGCAGTGTGATTTCCATATAGAACTTTTGACAGCAGAGAAAAATTACCCATTACCTCAGTAAATATAAGTTTCTAATTTTTTATTTGCTGAAAGATGGGGAATGGTGCTGAGTAAACTTCCTTTCTATTTTCCTCTGAATCAGTTTTATATTAGTTAGGAGTACTGGGTCTCATAGGCCAGGGAGGGAGGTTAAAGAATTAAGACAAGTTTTGGGGGACAAACAGGAAAACATGAGACTGAGAAGATATGTTTATTGCATGTTTGCAACTGGGAAGGAATATTTTCAGCGCAAACATTTGATGCTTCTAAAAATTATCAATCTGTGTCAATATCATAGCTTACTTGTACTATATTGCTTTTTCTTCCATCTCTAAAATCCCTTCTTTACAAAGGAAAGAGAGAGATTATTAAAAACCACTTACAGTCAAATGCCTGGAAGAAAAATCTCACAGATTAAAGAAATGATCTTCTTTTTACAACCTCCAGAATGTAAAAGGGAACATAATAATTTTATTTATCACCATTAGAGTTGTGCAAGGCATTCAACAGAGGCTCTTTGTCAATACCAGCAAAACATCTTTTCTCAAAACAGCTATATCACTGGAAAGCTGGTACAACTGCTTCAAATATTGTCTCCAACAGTTTGCAGGCATGCAGGTCCAGCTGCTTTATTTGCAGTTGCAGAAGTGTTGCCTGTGCATGTAGATACACATACAGTATGTACAGACAGCTGGAGAGAGTTTTTAAAGCAGCTGCAAAGCAGCTGTTTCAGTGCTTTCAGGAGGAGTGCTTTGCTCACTGATATGTTTTGCAAAAGGCCTCTTTTGAATAATTTGTAAAACTGCTGGAAGTATCTTTTAAAAAATGAGGCAAAAATTTAAGTTTTTGTTTTTTTGTAATTTCCTACCTTAATCTTACAAGAAACTGTAGAGCACTCCAGTGTAAGATACTTTTTGTATAGTGAAACCTGGTCATCTTTTCTGAAAAAAAGTAAAATAAAGGAATTATAAAGTTTTTATAATATTGCATTAATGAAATAGTTTTTCATAAAGAGCAATACAAGCAATACTGTTTTTTTCCAAGATGCTACTTACATTTTTCTAATGTCCAAATAAACAAAGCAACACTGCTACATTTACAAATACTAGAAAGTTTCAATAACTCTTACATTTCTTAGTAATCCACATAAGACCAGCAGTTACTTAAACCTAGCAGAAAACTAAAGACCCCACTCACAATCCAGAAATTCTATGTACATAGCAAGTACTTCAGTGAAAAAACAGGGCATTTCTACCTCATGTAGTACTCAATGAATTCTACTGAAGGTTTTTTTTTTCCAAAATTACAAGGAAGGAGAAGTAGTCATTAAGAGCTACAGTGAGATGAATGAGAAAATTCTAGTGAGCAATAAGCTTAATGCTCAGCAGGATCTCTAAAAATGAACTCTAGTTTAGTTATTTGGGGGAAAATTATCCAAAACAAATGTTATAAAGTTAATCATTCACATATAAGTAAAGTTCTGCTCCAGGATTATTTTTAAATAAATTTCTTGAAAGCAACCTGGCTACAAGAGTTATCCACTCCTCATATAATTTGAGCGTGTATGAATACTCCTTTTTTCTTTCATGAAATGAAACTTATTATTCTTAAGATCTCTATCCAACATATCAAATTATTAATATCGTACCTATTATATTCCTGTTATCCCAACATGTTTCTGTAGGAGAAAGACCTTTTCAAAGATGTTCCAACCAATCATGAAAATGTTGCTTTCAGTTTCACTGCCTTAGCAAAACACAGTCTACATACCAATATGAATGCAGAACAAGAAAAAAACTAAAATCAAACAACATTATTGACATATACATATTAAAATATTTGAGCATATAATTTCTGGAAGTCATATCTGCGAGTCTGAATATAACCTCATTACATTATTGACTGAATCAATGTGAAAAAAGACAAAACAACTGACCTGCCATGTTTGACAGTAAACGTTTTCTCTCCCCTTCCAGTTGCATAATATTCATCACCTAAGTAGACTTCCATGTTCCTTGCTTCACTTATAATACTTAGGCTGACAATTTCTTCAGATCCACATGGATCACAGTGCAAGTAGAGTAAACAGGGAACTACACCGTCATCATTTATTTGTCCTTCAAGAACGACAACATTCTGACTAAATAGGAGAAAATGGTTATCTTAAGTTATTCACTTGAGCATCAGTACCTCTGGGAAATAAACTTTTCAAACGTACATGACAAAAATCCAAAAATATTTATCCCACAGCTAAAATCTTACACAGGCATTCAAATGGTTATCTCTTCAAAGTATTATTGAAGTTACATGAAATAAGAAGTGGTTTTTCCTACCCTTTGAAGAGCGAGGCTGAATTTAGATTGGAAAACAGAAGCATGGACTAGAAAATGAATCTTGAGAGCAAAAACTGTGTGGTGTCCATACATGAAGAACTGCAAACTGCTATAATCCATAGATTCCCAGCAATTTTCTAGAGTCTTCATTCTCTAGGAATAGCAGCAACTTTTCTTTATTTCTGTTTGCCTGAAAACATTGACTTTCTACATTTTCTATCCTGTCAATTACCGTACCTGTCCTGATCATCTCTTCTTTTGTTTGCCCTTTCTTTCTCTTCCTGCGTAGCCATCCCTTCTCATCCTATTTACATCCCATTTTTATTTCTTTTTTACTTGGAAAAGCAAAGGAAGATATTTATATATCTGAATATGTATTCCTGAATGACAGAGTAGTCTGTGGTGAAGGAAAATGGTTAGAGTATGGAAGGCATCAATTAATGATACAGATAATGAATCTATAGTTATTCTTCTACTTTAGCCCTGTACTTTTTTAGAATATGGATTTTGGCAAATGACTATGTGTATAAAAGAATAATCACCAAGACTACTTTTAGCTGAACTGACAACTCTAGGTTGACAAATCAGTGAGGCTGAACAAGGTACATAGATTTTAAGTATACATCTAAACGTTTTTCTATTGGGTTGATACAAAAGCTAAACCCACAATCTTTTGACAGCCAGGGATTGCACTGGGTGATAATGAAGGTTGCAGAGAGAATCAGTGTGGATACATTATATATATGGTAAGTGGTTGGGCTGGAATTTTCTCTTTGATAAAATAAGGGTGGATTATGATTTTGTGTATGTGCATGATTATGTTTAAAACTGTCTATTATTTTAAGATCTGCACTGGAGCTAAGAATGAATGACTAATGAAATAAATCAATATGAAGTGAATACAGAAGTGAGTGATCAATATTAAAGAAATATGTTGAGATGGTTTGATTATACAGGTAGTCCTTGCTTAAAAACAATAATTTGGACTGGCAACTCCATGCTAAGCAATATAGTCATAAAAAGCATGACTGCACCGATTTACAATGGCAGTTACAGCAAGTCATTGTTCTAAATCCTCCATAGTTGTTATAGGTGACATCACATAATTGCCATTTGCAACCTACTGCCAGATTCCCCATAGACATTGTTAGTCAAATGTCAGGAGTTAAGGTTGCAAATGATAATCATGCAACAGAGGACTCTGCAACCATTATAACTGTGAGCTGGTTGCCAAAAGCCCAAATCACAACCACATGACCGTAGAGATCCTGCAACAATGACGGCCAGTTGTAGTCACCTTATTCAATATCATAGTAACTTTGGTCTCTGAATGAGTACTAAATGAAGAGTACCAGTAGAGAGAATGAATGAGGACCAAGCATGAAACAAATCAATAAAGGAAGATAAAACAGCTCCAGAACAAGGTAAGCTGAAGAAAGTTGTGACTGGATGCAGATGGTGAGAACTCAAAAAGAGGGAGATAGAGACGTTTAAAAAACCAAAAGCTAATGAAAGGAATGGGTACAATAGAAGCAAGGATGGAATACACACAAGTATATGGAATGATATAATGAATGTAAACTAGATTTGATTCAATTTCCTTTCCTTTTATCTTTTGCCTTTTGTTTATTTTGCTGTTTCTTGATTTTCCGCCTTATCCTTCACACAAGGCTTAATTCAAAACAGAATAATTTGATTTTGGACATTTGATTCATTCATAGCACTAAATCCGAGCTTAGCAAGTAGGAATGGGAGGGCAAGAAAACATACGGCTAATTTTCAGCAGTTCTGCTCCAAGATATTGGAGGGAGTACTAGAAAACACCAAAACTTGCTCAGGACAGCTCCCATTCCCACTTTCAATACCCAGATTTAGTGCCATGTGTAAATCCAGTTCTTCTATTTCAATGGTTTTAAGTTTTTTCTGAAGCCTGGCTTATTAAATCCCAACTGACTGGATTCACATATCCAGGTAAACCATATGCCGCGATTTAAGCATTCATCCAACTCCTATATCCCCGAATTAAGCAAATCACAGGCTCCTGAACCCAGAAACTTGAGCCTGGAAAGGAATCAACCACCCTGCTGAGGGGTCCTTGGCATCACCAGACAATTCCTCGGCCGCTAGCTACATTTCGTTCGTTTCCCCATTTCCCTCTCGCCTCAGAAGGTCCTTCTCACCCGCTCGGGGCTGGTTCCGAAAGCTCCCCCGCATCGAATTGCCTCGCCTGGACGACGCAGAGAACTCCCGCCAGGTCGCTCCGACACTCCCAGGAACAGGCGACCGAGACACGGGGCCTGCCAGCAGAGACATCCCAGCCAACGGAAACATGCTGATCCTGGGGAGCCTCAGTCAAGCGGCTGCTGCTGCTGGCCATGGCAAGGTAAGAGACCCGAGCCTTGTAACGCAGCACAGCCGCGGCTGGAATGAAACTCTAGGCGGAGTAATTTTTAAGGCGGAACTTAGTGTCGAAGGAACGCGTTATTCATCGGACGTTTGTTTGGTGAGAGTTCCGCCCTCCCACAAAATTAACCATAGATAAGACTTTCTAATTTCCTGTCCTTATAGGAAGTTAGTTGATTAACCACGTGATAGCGGCGCGATTCGTTTGTCAGTATGACGGCTCGCCTGATTAGGGCGCTGTGGCTTTCTGAGGCGTTGCGCTTCTTGCAACTGTTCAATGAGATAATGGGAAGACTGGCTTTTGCTGTCCGCTGTAACTTAGCCGGAAGTGTCTTTGCATCCAGCCCCCCTTCGGCTATAGAAGCCAAAGAGGAAGCTCGCGGTTATTTTAAGGTTCTGAACGCAGAGCAAATAATGTATTTTTTTAAAGAAAATTTTCCTGACACTTCCTGTATTTGAGAGGAAAATAATTAAACTGCCCGGCATGGCTAAAAATGAAAAAATGCCGATAGTCCTTTCAGGCAATCCAAGTTTGCAGCAAACCTTGCCTGTAGGCAATGATTATAAAGCTGGGTCTTCCTTGTAATAAAATTGTAACGCGTGGTCTGTCCTGCTCTGTGTGTGTGTGTGTGGGTGTGTGAGAGAGAGAGAGAGAGAGAGAGAATATAAAGCAATGTTTTGCTTAACATGGCAAAATAGCAGGGTCCTCAACTTTGGCAACTTTAAGACTTGTGGACTTCAACTCCCAGAATTCCTCGGTCAGCTTTGCTGGCTGAGGAATTCAGGGAGTTGAAGTCCACAAGTCTTAAAGTTGCTAAGGTTAATGACCCGAGTTAGGGTTTGCCCAGTTAGGAATCATGAATTACAAACCACAATATGGCTTGGGCTGAAAACCTAGCAGAAATTTCTTTGCATAACTTGTGTACCCTTGGAAATTAAGAATGAAATCTATACTATAGATACTGAGCAGATAAGTAGCTTGCTGTTTATAATGGCTTTCAAAGGCTAAAGTGAATAGGAGTGGAGGGCATTCAGACTTTAAAAATTCTTACAAAATTTTGATTGCTGACACTGTCGTGCTGTACAACATTACAAAAAAATACAATAGAAGAAACATGGAATGTAGAAATAATTTAAATTGATTGAAAGTCATGCTTTCTTAAGCCAACTGAAGTTTTATAGAATAGGTTTTTTTGGAGTTTGTATGACACTTCATGTTAGTATGTTGGGCAAACCAATAATGACTCATTTAACTTAACCATTGTTAAGTGAACCACGAGTAAATAAGCAAGCCAGAAAACAAATGGAGAGAATAAAAAAAGAGCTAAACAAGGAGCTGCCAGAAGAATGAGTGGAATAAAGAATAAAGGGGCTGAGTTATCTGGGATAAAACTAAAATGAAGGAATGACACTGGAAGGAATATTTTAAAAATGTACTGGTAAAGTTTTTTTTGGTTCATGGACAAATATCAGTACTTCAGATCAGTTGATTATTTCTGGCATTGCAGCAAAAATATGGGTTGTTTAAATCCATTCAATGGCAATTGTGGAAGGGGGAGAGAATATGCAGATGCGTAAGAGTTAACCTAAAGCTGTCAGTCTAGAGAACAGGGTTGCAAGCCCAAGAAATTCAAGCTGAGTAACCAATCTAAAATGGGAAGGTTTTCTTCAGGTGAACTTCAAAAAGAAGACAGAAAAATCTAGATGTGCCTTCCCCCCTCCATCTCCTTTACATCTTCCATTCCCCAAGAAGAAAACATCTGTTTAGTCTGTTTCCTGCTTTCAGTCCCAATTGTGATTGTGAGTCAAGGACTACCTGCTGTATATACTATTAAATAAATAATATGTTTTGAATTGCACCTGCTTGTATAGTCTGTCATCTTTTGTAGTTTGTCAATATTCTCCATGAAAGATATTTCTCACATTTCATTCAACTCTCATGATTCATTAGACATATTTTTTAAAAAATGAAGGAAAGCTAATTTGGGCTATTCTATAGAAAATTGTAAAAGGAGCAAAAAGTTTATTCTGAAGATTAATTTCCTTTTATGGTGAACAAAAAGAACAGTTCTGTATTTTTGTTCCTGCTGAGGTTTTTTTTTTTTTTTGCAAACAACTAGTATCTGTGTGTGTCTCTATATGTCTGTAGGTATGCATACACACACACTTTTATAAACGTAACTATTGATTCATAGAATAACAGAGAAATAAAGGCAAACAATAACAAATAAATATAAATTAAAAGAGCAATGGAGAATATAGTAATAAAACACAGATCTAAAATAACGCATTTCTTCAATAACTAATTAAAAAGCGATATCTACCTGATGCCATATGGAGTATAATCTGATCTACAGAAATCTTAATCAAATATTGAAAAGGCCATTTGTTTCCTTATCTGATAGCAAACCCTAGAGGACAGCTTCAGAAGTACTTTAGAATTCAGTTGTGTGAATATGGCTAGTGATCCATTTTTAAAAAAAATCCTCTTAAAAAAGCCTCCTCAGACTTGACTGGGAAATTGACCAGCTCTCGATCCAATGCCCTGACATTAATTAATTAACTGCTCTTATCTTAATTTCAATATCTTCTAGATTAACTGGTCTATAAATTCACCATCTTTGGCTGATTGTGGTACCCAGAGTCATTGTACAAATGTGCAAACAGATAAAGAATTGTATTTATATAGCTAACCTAAAATAGAGGTTTTCTAGGTATTTCAAGTTAATTCAAGGCTGAAATAAAATAATACAAAATAACATCTGAATGGTCTTATCCAAGAATTCTTTCTCATATTTCAAATGGGAAATACTTAATTGCATAAATAATTGCCAGAAGACCACTTTTGTCTCAACAGGTTTGTAGTTGGTATATTGTGTTATAATAGGCACTCGGCTGGATCTAGGAACATTCTCCCCAATATATGAATATGATCTTTCAAGGAAATTCTGCTTTTTCAAAAATAGGATGAATTTTGCTTAGCTGGCAAATGAAAGTCATCTGCCGTTATTCACGTCTGAGTTTTCAGTTCCTTGGCCCTCATTTGCTCAGAAGCATGTTTCTTGCATTTAGATGAAAGAAACCAACTGCTCCATGCAGCTCTGTCAATCCTGAAGATAGGGGAAAACACAATAAACCATGGAGACCATGTAATCTATACTGAGCAAGAGCAAGAATTCCATGCTTACTTTCTGGAATCAATTATTCAATGAATGAAATAACTGTAATAGCATAAAGTATCTCTCAATCAAATTACTTAAGTTAAAAATGTGATGATACTGAAAGGTGCTGAGACTGTCATGCATAGATACTTTCTGCATTTACAAAAAAAACCCCTACTGAAATTAATCAAAGATTTCATGACAGCTTCCATTCCCAAAGCAGTTGTGTCTTATTATCACTTAGTGCAATTCCGTAGTTAATATGTCATCTATATTCAGGTTTCCACACCTTGAGGAAACATTGATACTACCTGCCCAGGGTTTTATAACATTTCATAAAAGAAATGGGGATTTCTGTCACTCTTTGGCAAATTGTTGGCTTACGTGAAATAGTTCACAGTACAATCTACACATTTATTTCACACCTATATAGTAGCAACATCTAGATAGGGATATCAGCAGATCAATGACTCAGACACCAAAGTAACTATATAATCCACAAACAAAGGTGTCAAAACTCTATTCAGGTAACAAAAGCAAGACGTGGTTCAGATCACAAGCTCCTTTTTGCTAATGTATAGCTTAAGGCTAAAGAAAGCAAAATCACAAGATCCACAAGTGAAAATTGCAGCAATATTTCACGAGATGGGTTAGATTTGACAGAATGCCTGGAGAAGTGGTAACCGAAATTTGTGACATCATTAAATACAAACAAACAAAACTGTCCCCAAATGCAGAAAACAAAAGGGGAACCAACTGTCTGGTTCAGAGTGGTGGAAGAAAGTTGGAAAGCTAAAGGCAACAGACACAGAGCCTTTTCTGTGATGGAACAGTTTGACCATTATCCACCACTGTTGGGGGAGTGTTTGTTTTGTTTTTGCATATATTACTTTGGACTCTTATCCATCTATTATTAGCAAAGCATCAGAGAAGAAAATGTAAGTAGTACGTTTAGAAGTGTAGGAAACTTTCAGGATTCCCTCCCTGGATGAACAATAGCAAAGCAACAGAATAACAGAGCTGGAAGGAGCCTAAGAGGTCTTCTAGTCTAACCCCTTGCTCAGGCAGGAAGCCATACCATTTCAGACAAATGGTTGTCCAATCTTTTCTTAAAAACTTCCAGTGTTGGTGCATCCACAACTTCTGGAAGCAAGTTATTCCACTGATTAACTGTTCTCATTGTTTCTCCTTAGTTCTAGGTTGCTCCTCTTCTTAGTTTCCATCCATTGCTTCTTGTCCTGCCTATATACTATAGATCTGTAAATTTCCAATTTCCAAAGTTTATTTTTAGGGGAAAAATGAATAAGGAAAAAGAACATGTAGAGGAAAGGGGGAAGGGCCACAGATCTCATCTTAACCGGTGATTTAAATGAGTGTTTTTCAAATTCAGTAACTTAAGCTGTGCGGCCTTGGCTGAAATTTCCCCAAGTTTAATATTGCGGAATTAGAGAAAGTCTGCTTCTAATCACAGTATGATTAAGCTACTTAATTCCGCTTTCTTCTGGGTCTGGAATTTGGTCTTTCGGTTTTTCAGGAAAGCTCCTCCCTTCCTCGAAGTTTCCAGCCTCTTGGGGTCTGAATGCACTACGGGGGACGCGCTCTCTTCATTGGCGTGTAAAGGAGATTTGTAAGATGCCATTACGGCTTGTTAGCTTGCCACCATCCCCTTCAGAAGCGACCCGGGCCTGCGACAGTCTAAAAACCACTCCTCTACAACTTCCTTTTGCGAAAACTCTCCCACCAACTTTACTTCCTCAAAATTTCCTCAGCTCGCTGCCGAGCTGCCTGTCAATCGCTGAGCGCGCACGTGGTCATGCTCAAAAAGCTGCGGAACGAGTTCATCAATACAAGGACCAGCGCTACCCCGGTCGTGGGGAGGGGTTAGTGAACTCCTCCCGCTTGTGCGCCTAAGGTTTCAGTGCTGGTTGTTTACCCGCAGTCGTCAGATGAACTCCGCCCGCCGGGCCGTTCCCACTTCGATCATCGAAGCTGGCAAGAGCGGATCATGTTAGCAGCCTGTTACCTGAACTTTTTCATCTTGGGACTCAGCGCCGTGGGAAATCTAAGCTTAGCCCTGGGCAAGTATTGGTCTTGATTGGCTTTCGGACTTCTTAAAGAAAGAGCGTGAAAGTGTCGGCTAAAACGGTCAAGCCCGAGTTATTGGGAAATGATCTTGAGGTTCCTTATATGGAAGGAAATGCTGTCGGTGACTCCGCTTCCCGGCAAAGGCGTTTTCAGTGAAAGAGAGTTGACTGGCAGTTGCGTTGTTCAAGGGGAGCTGTGCCCCGCGCATTTGGCGTTTCCTGATGAGCTTTCAGAATCGACATGGCCATAGACCTATGTCAAGGGAAAGGTTTAAAGGAGTTAAGGAAGGGAGAGCTCTCTGCCTCTTTGAAATATTAATTGCTGTCCTGGGTAGTTATGCTGAGGATGAAAAAAAAAAAAGTTGAGTCTGATGCTCCTGTGAAAGTCTATGCGTGAATAATCAAAATGAAATATGGTACTCAGTGTTTGAAAAGAGAGAGAAAGAGAGATTAATTATATGCAGGTTTCCCTAAACTGCTTTTTTCATTGGCTCACCTTATGCCATTTTTTTTTGTCCGCAACTCTAGGTGTCCAAGAAACTTCCCCTGGCTTTGCTGACTTAGTTTCTTTTAACTTTTCATGCTTACGCACAAAGTATAGAGGTAAAATAAATGGAAGTGTAGAAGATGAAGTTGATCTTCTAGGCCCAGATCTAGAAGCTTCTGCTGTCCAGCAAGAATTGCCTCCCCATCCTGCAAAGAAATCCTTGCTATTTCTAGGGAACTGATTGCCTCTTTCCGATATCAGTCCTACATCACTTTAGATATGCCTTTTAATAAAATTTGTTATTTCTGATTTGTGGATTTTCTTAATTACTATAAATCAGGGGTATCAAACTCAATTTCACTGAGGGCCGCATCAGCATTGCAGTTGCCCTTGGGGGGCCGGGTGGGTGCAGCCTACTGGGTGGGCGTGAATGGAGTGGGTGTGGCCTGCTGGGTGGGCATGGCCAGCTCTACATCGTTTGCGTCAAGGGTGCCTGTGGGGGCCTGGGCAGGAGTGGGACAGATCTGAGGGTCTCTGGCAGAAGGGGGTGGGACTGAGGCAAGCGCCAAGGCATGGTGCATTTCTTCATTCCTCACAAAGAGTGACACCTCCCCAGCATGCACCCAGGGGGTGGGGCCAACACGGCAGGGGCTGGTTCCTTGCTGTTTCTGGACAGCCTTGTGGAGCTAAGACTGAATGCGTTTCAGCATAGATGGCCACCACAAAATTGTACATTGGCTCCCGGCCAGCCAGGGGCAAGGCAGCGGGGGCCGTTGGCTCACTGTTTCTAGGATGGCTTTGCGGGCCACATGAAACCACTTCGCGGGCCGCATCTGCTATAAATATATTGATATAGTTGTTGTAAAATAAAAGTCTGGATTCTTTATAATTGTACTCAGTAAAAACGATGATGTTATTGGAAAATCTATACCAATTTAAAAACATTTCATTGGTAGGCGGACATACTCAACAGATCTCTATGCAATCCACATATGAGATTATAATTCCTAGAAGATTAACAGACAGGGAGAAGCGCTGGACACATTTTAACAAGGTTTGTTTCTGTTTAAGTTATTTTCATTCCTGTGATGCTCCTCAGATAATATTCTACAGTATTTAACGATATATACATAAATAGATAAGACAAGGATTGGTCAATCTATGCCCTCATTAAACAAAATTAGGAGGAATAATAGCAATATATTGATTTAGTTGCTATTGCCAAACAATTTAGAGTACTGCAAGCCAACGCTAGTATTAATACAAAAATCTTTTATCATGTCTTTTATTGTTTATCTATCAACATGGTGGTAGCCAGACACAACAATCCTATCGTTCAGTTTATAGGAGTCTAGTGCTGGATTTTCCAACATATATAAAGACTGGATGGTACAATTCTTCCATTAAAAGAAATAAACCCTTCCTTCCTTCCTTCCTTCCTTCCTTCCTTCCTTCCTTCCTTCCTTCCTTCCTTCCTTCCTTCCTTCCTTCCTTCCTTCCAGAAAAAAAATGCCTTTATGGAAGTTCTAGAATGGGTATAAATTAATCTCCTTGAGATTAGTAATTGGAAAACATTGGATCCTGCAGATCCTTTGGACCTCTCTAATGTCAGAGAGAACTAGCCTTGTACCCAAGAGGAAATGGAAGGAATCTGAACAAGCCAAGAGTCCATGGACCATGTCGACTGCAACAGTAGCATCATTGAGGGTGAAGATTTGTTCTCTGACCTAGTCTCATTGTTAGCATCATTGTTGCAGTCGAATCAAGAACAGTGGTGGTATAGTGGTTAGAAAGCAGTATTGCAGGCTAACTCTGCATTCAACTGCCAGGAGTTTGATCCTGACCGGTTCGAGGTTGACTCAGCCTTGCATCCTTCCGAGGTCGGCAAAATGAGGAGCCAGATTGTTGGGGGCAATAGGCTGACTCAGTAAACCACTTAGAGAGGGTTGTAAAGCTCTATTGTTATTGCAAAACATGCTGGGGAAAGGTGGCAGCATATTGTATTCACCATGTTAGTCCAGCAAGAAATCCAGCTACATTGTCAGAATGTAATTTACACTATGTAGATCTGCAACCTTGGAATAATGTGTCTGTACGTGTATTGCAGATTTATATTGGGGCTTTATAATTGTATACATATGTATATGTAACCTGAATAGGATTCACACCTCACCTGGCATCTGCTGGGATTCACTATATAAATGGGATATAACATCCTCCCTTCAGTGTGACTGTGGGGTCCCATGTCAAACGGTAGATCACATTGTGACTTAACTGTAAGCTAACGGCATATATCGGTCCAAATATTTGATTTTTTCCAGATAAACAATGCCTTTATCTAGAAAAATGGCCTAGACATTGGTATTTGAATACAGTTCCTTTTAACATTCATATTCTATTATGTTTTAATCTAAGTTAAATATTAATACATGTTGTAAGTCCATATATGTTATGCCATACCTAAATAAATTATATATATATATATATATATATATATATATATATATATATATATATATATATATATATATATATACATACACATATACACACACCTTACACATACACACACATACACACACATTTTGTTAGATGTGTCTAAGTTGCAGAAGATATATTAAAACATACAGTATGTTAAATGTCAAGCCGGAGTGAGCTGTCTGATTTGTTTTCTGGTTAGAAAGTAAGCATAACTATAGTAGCATAGGGGGGTTTTTTTGTAAGCAACAGCACCATTTCAAAGAATTGGTGAAGTACATGCTAAATGCTTTATCTCTCACTCTCTGATTATATTTCAGGAACACTTAGATGATCACATATCTTATTTGATACAAACTGGAAATGGAACACACATTCTGAAATTAAAGAAAAATAAGTATGTTGTATGAAGTTCTGAATCTTTTTCCATTTTATTTTAACTTTTTTTTTTTTGAGGGAATATGAAAACGTCATTAAAACCAGCAGTCTGAAAGGTAGAATACAATAGAAGAAACCCTTTAAAGAATGGCATTTGCTAGCGTAGAAGTCAGAGAGAAATATTCTATTGTGGATGAGACATTGGGAAAAACATTTGAGGATATTCTTTATTTTACAAGAAGTGAGGAGTTATGCTAGATTATGAGCTGAGATTAGATTACTGTAGATGCCCGAAGAGAGAAAATATTTTGGGTGTGGATCCTGTGTTTTATGAGTATATGTTATCAGAATGAAAAGTTTTGTAAAATGCAGATGGCTTTTGCAGATGAGAAACAGATGGGACTTATGGAATCCACAGTCTAGCTGAACTGGATTTAGTTCAGTGGAACATTAGGTCATACAGTGAAAATGATACAAGAAAGTAATGTCATTTCAGAACATTTAAGGACAAAACATAACAAACAAAAAACGGGAGGGGCACGTTAAAGCTAAACAACAAGCAGTACCCCATACGTAATGAGTAATAAATAAATAAAAAGGAAATAAGCAAAAGACCAAGAAACCTATATCTAAATCATAAAAACTTACTTTGAATCATATATCTATTGGAACATCTCCATTGCTCCATTTACATGAGAAACATAACTGGATCAATGGGATGATTAAATAAGATTTAGAAACAGCAAAATAGGTTAATTGAATTGGGTTAGTTTCCTTTCAGTAAGGAAATCTTACATGATTAGTGGATGACTTGAATAAGCAAGCCATAGGAGTAGCTTGTGAAAGATACTCAGGATATATAACAACTTGGCAATACCTACTGGGATGCTGCTTGCTCAAAATACTTGGCATTTTAAGATTATTGCACAATAACAATTGTATAATTAATTTTGGCACAAAGATATTGCAGGGCCTACATCTAGCACTGAGCTCCAAGGCACTGCATAGTTATTTCTTCTTTTCCACCTTGATTTTCACTTGAACCATAAATTATGAAAATAGTGATAGAAAAAGATCAAAATATTATAAATGCAGGATAATATTGGCTGGCTTTTAAATGATGAATAAAGCAGGGTAATTGCATAATAAAGGTGAGAACTCCTGGGGTCTGTGATTTAGGTAATGAAGGTGTTCCTTATTACTCCTATTGATCAGGGAAAGTCTTAAAATGATAGAAGGGTATCATAGTATAGAATTACATTCTGAGATCTACCACTGAGATCTTTGCTAAACTACATAGGATGCTTCTATTTCTTATATAATAATATAATATTATACAATATTATATAATAATAATAATAATAATAATAATAATAATAATTGTTCATTATTGTATTATTAATTCATTGCTTAATATTACATTTTAGCTTAACATTACTTTGCATAGTGGATTAACAGGATATGGCACTACCATTGCTGAAAATGATTAGATTTCCGTATTTAAAAATGCTTGAATGTTTACTTAATACATTTTTTTAAAAAAAAATCAAATTCAGCTTATATTTCATTAAAATATTGTGGATAAATTTAACTTTTACTTTGACCAGTGTATTAAAGTATTGCATTGTTATCATTCATTGATGAATAACCTGCATTTTAAAATACGATTGAATTGAAATTTGCTGCAGAAACCTTCTTGGGGAAAAATTCACAATATATACTTATAACCAAGAGGGCAAGCTGGAGAGTACTCCTGTGGAAACTCAGGTATGTTGTATCTGTGAAGAAGACAACTTTCTATTCTAGTTTTTATTATGAAAGGTGAAGGTGAAAGTTTCCCCTGTCCAGTTTTGTCTGAATCTAGGGGCAGTGGTCATCTCTATTTCTTAGCTGAGGGACCCAGCATTGTCCAAAGACACTTCTGTGGAAATGTGACCAGCATGAATAAATATACCAAGGTGCACAGAACACTGTTACCTAGTTCCACTGAAATGGTACCTATTTATCTACTCACATTTACATGCTTTCAAATTGCTAGATTGGTAGGAACTGGAATAAGTAACAAGAGCACACTCTGTCATACCGCATATGGGTCTTGAACCCAGGCTGCCAGCTTTCCAGCTGACTAGCTCAGCATTTTTAACTGCTGAGCCATCTATTTTGATAAATGGGAAGCATAAACAGTGATAGATATACCTTCTTGAGTTCCTGAAGGGAAGGTAAAAAAATAAATGAATAAATAAGGCTTTGGTTGTACAAAATCTTTTCTAATGGCCCTACTAGCTGGATATGGTGTGAGTTATATTCTAGCAAGTGTGAAACACGAGGAGAACATAATGTCATTCCATTCCCGAGAACCACTTTTCTGTGTCAGGGCTATTTTGTCACATTTGGTTCTTGGAATACACTGTATTTCCTCCTTTGCTATGATGATTAATAGTTTGGGAAGTTAAACAATATATCTTACGAAAGTATATTCTTTTACTAGCAGTATTTTTGACATACAACTAACAACCAATTTTATAAGAAACTTTACTACTCAGTCTGAATCTGCCTGGGAACCTGAGCTTCAGATATTTCTGAATGATGCTCTAGGATTCCCACAGAGAATAGCATGCCTAGAATATTCTTCCTATTGGGGGTGGGAGGGATAGACATCATGGATCCAAAAAATACTGTACAATTCACTTCCTTTGAGCACTGGGTCAACTCATTGCCATCAGTATCAAATGAGAGTTGAATAATTAACTTGGTAATTTGTTATCTGAGTTGATCTTTTTGCCAATAACTTTATCTGCTAATAAAAATGCTTTATGAAACCTAAAAGGCTGCCATTCTAAGGCATTAGTGCTCATAGAGGAGTGGATTTGAAGCTGAGAAAATTCCATTCCAAAAAGGAGTCCAGGATTAGATCTGAACTTCCAGCAAACCTTGCTAAAGTGTAGCTTCTCACTGTTTGGGCCAATTAAAACATTATGATTGTCTTGGCTGAATTGTATGCAAAACATAGTATCAAAGACTACTCACTTGTATTGAGTTCAGCTGTCCTGGAGCCCCCAAGGCCTTGGAGGTTTTGACTATTAAATTACTTAATGTACATTTTTCTGCAGAGATAACGCAAACTCTTTGATATTGCTTTTCTTCCAATGCAGGAAAGCTTTTAAAAAAAAATGGGGAAAAAACTATATCTAGAAAACAATCGATAGGTTCCTAATTCTATGGGAAAGGCTTCTGAAAATCAAAATTAGAATGCACACTGTTTTGTATTTTATAGAACAGTCCTATGCCCTCAGGTGTACTTAACTATAATAGCAGCAGTTTAGTGTTTATACATTACACTGAGCAAAAACCAGCAAATCACATCATACTACGCAAGCACACTACAGTATAAACGCCCTGTCACTTTATCTTTTATATAAAAATGATCCAGAGAACCATTATATCTTAATTGTTTCAAACCAGAACAAAAAATTATTTATAATGATCCATATGTTATAATACAAAATGTTTGTCTCATTTTCTATGAGACACAAAGGAAAGAATATGAGAAACCTCCATGGAGGTAAGTGTATCGTGGAGATTTATCTTCTTTCCTTTTAACACTTTCCCTTTCACATGTGTCATTGGTAGGAAAATAAAATGGCTGGGTTTAGGTACATGCACGGACCTCTCTTTTCAAGCGATGCTTGGCTGGAAGAGAAGCAGGAAACAAAAAGAACTCTGCAATGCTCCAGAGCAATCAACTTACTGTTGTGCTTCTGTTGGCTTTGACCATGCTATATATATTAATTTTAAGTAGCAAGATAAACATTAGTTGCATTAGAATCCATAGAATTCTGTAATAGATATCTTAGGAACTGAGTAAATGCGGATAGTTCCTTGGCTTACAACCATTCATTTAGCAACTGCTCAAAGTTACAATGGCACTGAAAAAAGTGGCTTACAACTAGTCCTCACTCTTATAACTATTGCAGCATGATTGAAATTTGGGCACTTGGCAACCAGCATGTATTTACGATGGTTTCAATGTCCTGGAGTTATGTGATCTCCATTTTTGACCTTCCCAGCTAGCTCCATCAAGCAGAATGAATGGGGGAAGATTTTCTTAACAACTGCATGATTCATTTAACAACTGCAGTGATTTACTTAACAACCATGGCAAAAAAGATCATAAAATTGGACACAACTCACTTAACAATTGCCTTGTTTAGTAACAGAAATTATTAAAGTCGTGGCTATAATTTGAGGGCTAACTGTATGGCATTCTTACTTCCATCAGATAATAAACTGCATTTACTATTTGCCTGAGAAAACTGCTGTTAATTATTTGGTTTCAGACCCACTGTTACTACCATGGAAATGTTGAAGGAGTTCCAGATTCTCTGCTTGCTCTCAGTACCTGTGATGGCCTTAGGTATAATCCTTCTTTTTCCTTTTATCAATAAATAGAGACAGATAGTTTTCAATGCAATAGAAGAATGGGAAGCCTAGAGCACTTTCATATTCTGTGTTAATTTGAAATCAACTCTGCAATCGATATTCCCACAAGTATAAGTTGTTTTGGAGAGTTTTGCTAAGGCATTTCTGACTGAGCTGTGGTATACTGTAGCTGAACCTACTGTGTTGTTTTGTATCTTGTTTCATCCAATCTATGCTTCTGAGCTTTCCGTCGAATAAGGGGAACTTATCCCCTCAGTAGTAGCCAAAACAAAATGTTTTGTCTGTCTCCATTCTTCCTTTAACACTGGAATGCAAAAGGAGATAACTAGATAACTAAGATGCCCACTCTCCTCTATTATTCTTTCATTTAATCATAGAATATTAGAGTTGGGAAAGCTCAGGATTGTCCCATTCCGCAATCATAGCAGATACAACAAAAGCTTCATTTTGCTATGCATGGAGTGTTTGGAGAATAAGGAAGTATTATGATAGTGGAATGTAGCAGTAGCTTAGAGTAGGCTGGTGATTTTTGCTTTTTTTCTCCCGGTATTTCAGTTCAGCAACCGTGAAAATAATCATGGATCATCTTTATATTACTTTTGAAAGTATGAAGAGTCCAGATGTATTAGAGCTATAATTCTTACGATCCCTGGTTTTAGTCATACTGATTGAAAGTTCTAGCATTGGGAGAAGGCCAGGTTGAAAAAGGCTGATAAGAGACAATACGTTGCTATTTTGAATATTGGGTGTAAATAAAAAGGGTGGTTATGGCCTTCCAGTATTTGCGGAAGAATAACTCCCAGTAGTCACAGCCAATAAGGCCAACGATGGAGGAGAATGAGAGTGTGTATTTCATGAATATTTGGAGAGCTAGAGGTTCCTATGCCTAGTTTATATTATTGGAATTTAGGAAAGTTATCTTCCAAAATATGAAAACTTCTAGACCAGTGGTTCTCAACCTGTGGGTCGGGACCCCATTTGGGGTCGAACGACCATTTCACGGGGGTTGCTAAACAAGGCTGTCCGCCATTTTTTCCCCCTTTTCTTTGGCCACACCCCTGGTACCCGGTGATGTATAAGTGGTTGGGGGTCACCACAACATGGGGAACTATATTATGGGGTCGCAGCATTAGAAAGGTTGAGAACCACTGTTCTAGACATTTGTGCCAAAACTGAATCTGATATTAATTCATCCTATACAGATAGTCCTCAACTTACAACAGTTTGTTTAGTGACTATTCGAAGTTACAACGGCACTGGAAAAAGTGACTTATGACAATTTTTCACACTTATGACCATTACAACATCTTCATGGTCATGTGATTTACATTCAGATGCTTGACAATTGGTTCATATTTATGATGGTTGCATTGTTCTGGGGTCATGTGACCATCTTTTGTGACCTTCTGACAAGCCAGATTCACTTAACAACCATGCTACTACTTTAACAACTGCAGTGATTCACTTAACAAAAGTTGTAAAATGGGATAAAACTCACTTAGCAAACTTCTAATTTAGCCACATAAATTCTGGGTTCAATTGTGGTTATAAATCGAGAACTACCTATATCTAAAGACATATCATTATATTTCCTCATTGAGAAAATAGCAGATTTGTACTGTCATATTGCTGTGTATTACATTGTGGTACTTATTTATGGTTATTTTTGTTAATATAGCTGGCCTTTAATCAAATAACTTTTCTTGTGCTTTTTAGGGGAATTCTCTATATTGGTGACAAACAATATGGCATGGAGCCAGTTAAAGAATCAAATAAATTTGAACACTTGCTTTATGTATTAGATAAATCTCATGAACCTTTTTCCTGTGGTGTACAAAGTGATGACCGGTATCATGAACATATTTTAAAATACACTAATGTATCACATAGTCTGTTCAGTAAGGACACTCTTCGAAGGGTAAATGTATTTTTATAGTGCTTTTCATGTATTGCATGCTTTAATCTACATATTCTAGATATTAGCCACAGCTCTTTTGCTTTTAACAAATTATTTATTTCACATCAATGACATTTTTCCTCATGTTATTTTTTTCTGAAATTAAATAATGCTTAGAAAATGGGGGTGGGGTGGGGGAACAAAAATAGAATAATAATTTTAAATTCTGTAACTTGAATTACTTCACCTAAAGTCAAATTCAAGTAATTTGGCTGAAAAAAGGGGGAAAATGTATTGTTGCTTCAGAGTTTGATCCCAAATCCAGTTTGAATTGAAATACTAAAAGCAAACAAGGAAGTTTGATTTGATTTGATTTTGAAAACAATTGTTTGACTGACCTAAATGAGATTGGTTATTTTCAGACCACAATAGTTCACATCATCAATTGGCTTCAAATGCCTGGTGTTAACTTTTTACTTAATTTTTGAACTATAATTTTGAACTAATTTCAAACAAAACAGTTATGTAATGGGAGTCTGTTTTCAATTTTACAGAAAAGAAGAAATGTGCTACCAGATAAACGATACATCGAACTCTATATGGTTGTTGATAACAACAGGGTAATTTCTCTGAGCCAAATATCTTTAGCTTTAATATCCAGAATTTCTCTGTGGCTACATTGCTGATATGAACACAGTTATAAGTTTTTATTTCTGCCAGGACAAAAAGTTGAGTTTCTTCCTAGTCAAGAGATAAATAGATGACTAATGGTCTTAATGTAATGATACTTAAGTTGTGTTAAGTTGATTGGTCCATATGAAGGCACAATATTTTAGATTTTGGACTTTTTGGTAGACCAACATTGCTGGGGATTTTTTTTAAAAATTCCTAATTGCCTTTCCTGATTAGAATGTCTTCTTTCTTTAATTGTTTCAGTATATATTCAAAAGAACTATTGAAGCTGTACAGAAAGAAACAGTTGAATTGATTAATTATGTAGATGGGGTAAGTCAGCATATTTTGTTATTCTTTTGTTATGTTACATTTTAAGAGAAAATAAAAAATAGATAATAATGAAATTTCTATAACTGAAGCTGGTCACAATATAGGTTTTAAAAAAACCAAATCCAAGATACAGAATTTACTTTTACATTCAGCTGCTGCAAAAATTAGATACTATTTATGTAACATAATTCAGTTTATAGTTAGGCTTTGTTTGCTGTTGACTTCATAAAATATATATACAGACAAAAGCAAATATATTTGTAAGAATGAGATTATGATCCATTAAAGGAATCTATGAATTATGGCAGTCATCTTCTTGATATTCTTCCGAATAGGACTTAAAACCTATTGCTATCTTCAGAATTTTAATATTTACCTTTAATATTATTTGTAGCAGTTTTAGAATAGTTCTCTTTTATGTAAAAATTGTATGTCAATTATATGTAATTAAGTATTAACAGTTGTTGCAGTGGGCAGCACAATTTTTTTATAAATAAAATTGGGCTAAGTTGCAGCTATTTATTTTATTATCATTTTTTAATCTTGCTTACATAGAGAAACAAGTTTAAGAGTAAATGAGCTTCTTATATTTCCTGAACTGATTGGGATTTACATCCTAACCTTTTTCTAGTCTATGTGACTTGCCATTTTCCCCAGTATTAGAAAAACACTGCATGTTAAACAATGTAATTATTATGACAATTAGGGAAACAGGGATTATATATTTTTTAATATATTGAGAGTAGCAGTTTATTGAGAGAAGTTCACCTCAATAGCCTATAAAATGTCACCTTCCTTTATTGCATAATGATGGATAAATGGGACCTTTCCTATAAGTATTAGTATCCCATTTCAGAGATCAGGACTTGCTTTCTTACACAATCCTATTTCTTGAAGTCACACAATTTTTATGCAAATTAATCTGCTGTAGGAAGATTTTTCTAGCTCTTTTACGATTGCACAAAGATTCCTCCTGCTACGAACTTTACCCCTTTGTTATCTCAAATAGTTTGTAAGAACATAACTGGTACATTTTGAAAGACAGGAACTTTTGGATCAAAATGTTGGTTTATTGCATTAGTTCTTTTGCTTCTGAATGAATGAATGAATGAACATAGCTGTTCAACTATATATGCAACATAATTCATATTAAGAGTGATAATTCTGGAGAAGTGTTTGTATGCGTTAGCAGGAATTATTTACAACAAAGCCTCAGTGGGTGCACATTTGTGCATGTTGTAGAATCTGTTCAAACAAAGAAAATATCCTTAAGTAACCAGGTTCACAAATCACAACCTTGGAGCTTGTGAACTCTGCCTTTTGGTAATGCATTATGTCAATTATGGTTTGTTTTTTAACTCATAGGTAAAGTGGACTAGGAGTTCAATATGTAAGCATAGTCAGTGTGCGGACTGCACATTCATTGGCTTCAGGCTAACTAGATATACTTCTTTGCATGGCATATTTCCCACCAGCTTAGTGCTAGAGGTAGAACAGTTTGGAAGAAATTATCTAAATTTACTGAAACCTACATAATAGCAATAAATGTATATTTACAGATGTTCCATCCCTTAAACATACAAGTTGTCCTAATTGGATTGGAAATATGGACAAATGGAAACCAGATAGAGGTGGGAGGCGATTCAGCTGGAGATGTGTTGGGCAAATTTGTGACTTGGAGGAAAACAAATCTTATTACGAGATCAAGAAATGATGTTGCTCATCTCATCATGTAAGGATTTTCCTTTATATCATACATACAGATATATTTTAAAGGTTGAGAACAAAATGAAAATTCTAGTTGTAATATTCCAGTAATTTTAGGAATTTATATCCCAGTATCATTTAGGGAATGATTTTGGTCGATATGCTTGTGGATGTTTGTGGGGATTGGCAGGGATTTAAAAATAATTTTTGGCTAATTGCCTAAGAAAATATATTTTTCTTAGCTATTAGAATATAAGCCAAAATACGTTTCAAGTTTACTTTTTAATTTTTGAACATAGTATATTTTATACCATTATAGTATATTATAAATAAAGGATAAAGAAGTTTAAAATTCTCATGCAATAGATTAATTAAGTTATCATTAACATAGCATAGAATTAATCTAAGATAGGGAAAGATACCATATGGATAATTATATCTGTCTTCCATTTACATAAAAGATGGGATACTCAGTCTGCCAAAAACATTATATGTGTCTTAAAATCAAATGAAATTAAATAAAGGGCCGAGGAGCCAATGTATCTCGAATCCAATTCAATAACTTTTTCCAGGATGTTAAAATACTGTAGCATCTGAAAAGGTCAGGGAAGCAAGGGACATACTTTATGCGTATGGTTTGTGTGTGTGTGTGTACCAAAATGTGTATAAATAAAGGAAATGTTTATGTGTACATTATTCAGTCTGGAGATGGATCTCAACCCATGTCACCCTCAATCTGTTCCTGCATTTCAGCGGGAGAAGGCCATACGGTAAAACAGTTGGAATGGCTTTCGTTGGCACAGTGTGTAGTGCAGATCACGGAGGATCAATCACTACTGTAAGTATAATATTCTGTCTCAGTTGTAAACATAGAGTCTTTTACATAGAGAACATTTTCATCTGTTACATTGTGTCAGGGCTGTGAACATTCAACACTGTATCTAGATTCTTGTGGAAAGCAGACGCACTTGGCAGATGCCTACATTGGTGTTGACTGTTAACCCATTGACAAAGTCATGCTGAAAACCTACAAAGTCTAATGCTAGCACACCGGGAACATAGAAAAGTAACTCAAAGGAGACCTTTCTCTATGTTGTTGTTGTTAATTGCGAAATCGTGTCTGACCCATCACGACCCCATGGGCAACGTTCCTCCAGGTCTTCCTATCCTGGAGTCCATTTAAGTTCACGCCTACTGCTTCAGTGACTCCATCCAGCCACCTCATTCTCTGTTGTCCCCTTCTTCTATTGCCCTCCATCTTTCCCAGCATTAGGCCCTTCTCCAGTGAGTGCTTCCTTCTCATTAGGTGGCCAAAATATTTGAGTTTCAGCTTCAGGATCTGGCCTTCTAAAGAGCAGTCGGGGTTGATCTCTTCTAGGACTGACCGGTTTGAACGCCTTGCAGTCCAAGGGACTCGCAGGAGTCTTCTCCAGCACAATAGTTCAAAGGCCTCAATTCTTTGGCGCTCAGCCTTTCTTATGGTCCAACTTTCACAGCCATACATTGCAACTGGGAAAACCATGGCCTGGACTATACACACTTTTGTTGGCAGGGTGATGTCTTTGCTTTTTAGTATGCTGTCTAGTATGCCATAGCTTTCCTCCCCAGGAACAAGCGTCTTTTAATTTCTTGGCTGCAGTCCCCATCTGTGGTGATCTTGGAACCCAAGAAGATAAAATCTGTCACTACCTCCATTTCTTCCCCATCTATTTGCCAGGAATTGAGAGGGCCGGATGCCATGATTTTGGTTTTCTTAATGTTGAGTTTCAAGCCAACTTTTGCACTCTCCTTATTCACCCGCATCAAGAGGCTCTTTAGTTCCTCTTCACTTTCTGCCATTAGAGTGGTATCATCTGCATATCTTAGGTTGTTGATATTTCTTCCGGCAATCTTAATTCCAACTTTTGATTCATCTAGCCCTGCCTTTCTCATGATGTGCTCTGCAAATAAGTTAAATAGGCAGGGTGACAGTATACAGCCTTGCCGGACTCCTTTCCCAATTTTGAACCAATCAGTAGTTCCATGTCCAGTTCTCACTGTTGCTTCTCGACCCAAATATAGGTTTCTCAAGAGACAAATAAGATGGTCTGGTACTCCCATCTCTTTAAGAACTTGCCACAATTTGTTGTGATCCACACAATCAAAGGCTTTAGCATAGTCAATGAAGCAGAAGTAGATGTTTTTCTGGAACTCCCTAGCTTTCTCCGTGATCCAGTGTATGTTGGCAATTTGATCTCTAGTTTCTCTGCCTCTTTGAAATCCTGCCTGTACTTCTGGTAGTTCTCGATCCACATACTGCTGGAGTCTAGCTTGTAGGATTTTAAGCATAATTTTACTAGCATGTGAAATGAGTGTAATGGTGCAATAGTTTAAACATTCTTTGGCACGACCTTTCTTTGGAATTGGAATGTAAACTGACCTTTTCCAATCCTGTGGCCACTGTTGAGTTTTCCAAATTTGCTGGCAAATTGAGTGTAGCACTTTTACTGCATTGTCTTTTAAGATTTTGAATAGCTCAGCTGGAATACAGTCATCTCCACTAGCTTTGTTGTTGCTCAGATTTCCTAAGGCCTATTTCACCTCACATTCTAGGATATCTGGCTCGAGGTCAGTGACCACCCCATCGTGGTTATCTGGGACATTAAGCTCGTTCTTGTATAGTTCTTCTGTGTAGTTTTGCCACCTCTTCTTAATCTCTTCTGCCTCTGTTGGGTCCCTGCCATTTTGGTCCTTTATCATGCCCATCTTTGCATGGAACATTCCCTTCATATCTCCAATTTTCTTGAAGAGATCCCTGGTCCTCCCTATTCTGTTGTTTTCTTCTATTTCTTTGCACTGTTCATTTAAGAAGGTATTCTTGTCTCTTCTAGCTATTCTCTGGAATTCTGCATTCAGTTGGTGTATCTTTCTCTTTCTCCTTTACCTTTTGCTTCCCTTCTTTCCTCAGCTATTTGCAAAGCTTCCTCAGACAGCCATTTTGCTTTCTTGCATTTCTTTTTCTTTGGGATGGTTTTAGTTGCTACCTCTTGTACAATGTTGCAAACCTCCGTCCATAGTTCTTCAGGCACTCTGTCTATCAGATCTAATTCCTTAAATCTATTTGTCACCTCTACTGTATATTCATCAGGAATATGATTTAGTTCATACCTGAGTGGCCTAGTGCTTTCCCTACTTTTTTCAATTTAAGCCTAAATTTTGCAACGAGAAGCTCATGATCTGAGCCACAGTCAGCTCCTGGTCTTGTTTTTACTGACTGTATAGAGCTTCTCCATCTTTGGCTGCAGAGCACATAGTCAATCTGATTTCTGTGTTGACCATCTGGTGATGTCCATGTGTAGAGACGTCTCTTGGATTGTTGGAAAAGAGTATTTGTTATGACCATCGTATTCTCTTGACAAAATTCTATCAGCCTGTGCCCTGCTTCATTTTGTACTCCAAGGCCAAACTTGCCTGTTATTCTGGTTATCTTTTGGCTTCCTACTTTAGCATTCCAATCCCCCATGATGATAAGGACATCATTTTTTGGTGTTAATTCTATAAGGTGCTGTAGGGCTTCATAGAACTGGTCAATTTCATCCTCTTCAGCACCAATGGTTGGGTCATAGATTTGGACTATTGTGATATTGAATGGTTTGCCTTGGATTCGAACTGAGATCATTTTGGGGATTGTATCCCAATATTGCTTTTCCTTTTCTTTTATTGACTATGAAGGCTACTCCATTTCTTCTGAGGGATTCTTGCCTACAGTAGTATACCTGATGGTCATCTGAGTTAAATTCACCCATTCCTGTCCATTTTAGTTCGCTGATTTCTAAGATGTCGATGTTCAGTCTTGTCATCTCTTGTTTGACTACGTCTAGCTTGCCTTGATTCATGGATCTTACATTCCAGGTTCCTATGAAGAAAAGATATTTACAGCATCGGACTTTCCTTTCACTACCAGATACATCCACAGCATAGCTCATAGCTTCATTGAGTTACGCAAGCCCCTTCACCACGACAAGGCAGTAATCCATGAAGGAGACCTTTCTCTATAGAGAAAGCTTAAAATAATAAGGCTTTTTATGATAAACAAAAGTCTGGTAAGAGGCAACATGACTGAGCTTTAGAAAATTGTATGCGATAGGTAGAAAATGAAAACAGATTTTTTTTTTTAAAAAAAAGTAGTCTAATTAAGAACAGGGAAAGAGGAAGTTTTTCAAAAAAAAATAATTCCTAACTATACAAATCATTACCATGAACTGTCATAATTGCTACCTGCTGAGATGTTCTTTAAAAAGAGTCTTAGTGATGGTATGTTGTGCCAAGACTGAGCTGCAGTGGAATTCTGCGACTAACATTGTACTCATCTCCTAATTGTGAGCTTCTTCCCATCAGAATTTGGAGTTCTTAGGGGAAATAAAATGAAACAGACTTTGATTTGTCTAGCTCAGCTGTTATTTTCTATTCTGTGCGGTTGCTATTTTTCTTGTTTAAAAAAGAATCATCCCCTATTCCCCACCCTATGCTAACAATGCTGATATTTCTGCCAGTTCGATCACAACTCTGCCATAAATCAAGCTACAGTGGTTGCGCATGAGTTGGGACATAATCTTGGTATGAATCATGATGATGGAAGATGTCCAAACACCTATATAATGCACAGTTCAGATAAGTAAGAACATTTGCTTAACATTATTTTTACATAGGCTTGGTTTTTATTTTATTTATATATTAAGTTTAATATGCCAATTCTTTGTTGGTGTTTGATCAATTAGAGACTTTAGGATCAAGCATTGCATTGGAGTAAAGTTGGAATATTAATCTAACAAAGACATACAAAAAGGGTGCTGTCCAAAGGGTTAACAGCCATCCATATATTTGTCAGGTTGCATGCATGTTGATTAGCATTGACATATGACCACAATCGAGCCCAAACTTTTTGTTGCTAAGTGAGACAGTTGTTAAGTGAGTTTGGCCCCATTTTACACCTTTTCTTGCCACAGTTGTTAAGTGAATCACCGTAGTTGTTAAGGTAGTAACACGGTTGTTTAGTGAACCGGGTCTCCCTGTTGACTTCACTTGTTGGAAAGTTACAAAAGGGGATCCCATGACCCCCAGGACACTGCAACCGTCATAAATATGAGTCAGTTGCCAAGTGTCTGAATGTTGATCATGTGAGCATGAGGATGCTGCCACGGTCGTAAATGTGAAACATGGTCATGTCTCTTTTTTCAGTGCCATTGTAACTTCAAATGGTGACCAAACAAATTGTTATAAGTTGAGGACTACCTATACATGCTAATAATCATTCTATTTATAAGTTATTTTCATTCCTGAAGAAGGTAAAGGCTTTGACAAGGAAGCATCCGAAATACTTGTCAAATCCCATGGAGCCTAGCCAGTTACATTGATCAAAAAAACAAAACAAAACCCAAACTTCAGTCCTCCCTAAACTTGTTTTAATTGATTAAAGAGAAAACAATGAACTGCTGTTTCTTTGGGAAATGATCTGGCCAGAGGTGATAAATTAGGATAGTCCTAAGTAATAAATTCCAAATGGAGCAATTCATTTTAAAATCTTGAACTGAAAGGAAGCTTCTGAAAGACAGAGCCCAATTGTAGCCTGAATCTTTACCCTAGAGATCGCAGACAAACAATGGATGGAGATTCCCCACCCTTGGAAGACTATTAACGGATGCTAAGTTAATTTATACATTCATGGTGCCAAGTCATGAATAAGAAATGTTGCCAGAGGAAAAAATGAACTCATAGCTTTCATTGTAACTCATCAATGAAATGTGCAAGTTATGAAACTGGCCTAACATTTTAAAGCAGGGGTGTCCAACTGTTGACCCACGGGCCGGATGCATCATAGTGAAACTGCACCCACCCCATTGCCAGCAATGGCAAAAAAGTCACGGTACGTCATGACATGTCACGTGACGTTGTGAATTTGACATTCCTGTTTTAAAAGAAAATCAAGGGATCATCTGGGTGGAGACAGCTGGGGTTTTCATCCTTGTCTGGATTGGGGAGGCAGACTTGAAATTTTTTTTTTTTCAATTATGACAAGCCTATTAGAGGAATTACAGTGCAGTTTTTATATATTGCCCCATTTCAACAATTGGCCAGTTTCTGGCTCACAATATCATGTACCCTCTCAGATTTATAAACGGGCTTATTTTGAGGTGGGGAAACATTACTTTAGTGTTACGATGAAGTATAGTACAATTGTAGAAATGTAAACTCAATAAGATTTAGGCACAAAATGGGCAATAGATTACTCCATATCCTGGAAAAATTGTTTTTTCTAGCGGGTCCAGGAACTTCAGCAGCTGCAGCTCTAGTGATTTTGAGCAACTTATCTTGAGAGGTGGAGGAAGCTGTCTCAGAAATTCTCCAAAGCCAAGTGATATATTTACAGAGCCCATGTGTGGCAATAACATTGTGGATAGGAATGAAGAATGTGATTGTGGCACTCCAAAAGTAGGTAATTTATATTTATATTTTAAAATATTGATATGATAGAATTATACACACACATAGACATCAATACTAGGGCTATGCAAAGCTCCAAATTCTGTTCTAAAATGCTAAGTGAAGATTAGGGTTAGGGTTAGAGCTAATCCTATAAGGATTTTTATGTAACTCCTTAGCACAGCTACGTCTTTTTCTGGATCCACAGGCTCATACTTTTTAGAAATCAGGAAAACATACAGTTGCTTTAAGGAGATATAAATAGATATTGCATTTGCATCCCATCACAGCTTTTTGGAATTGAAAATGAAGCATTGCATAGTAATATCAGGCTCATTGCTATACTTTGTTCCTCAGTGGCACCTTGATAATGGCCTAATGCAGAGGTCTTCAAACTTGGCCCTTTTATGACTTGTGGACTTCAACTCCCAGAATTCCTCAGTCTGGGAGTTGAAGTCCATAAGTCATAAAAGGGCCAAGTTTGAAGACCCCTAGCCTAATGCAACAACAATGCAATTTTTGAAAATAAGAATACTCTACATTGACAAAAAGTTTCTATCTTGTTTAGCCTCATGGTGATAACATAGAGAATGACACTGATCTGTGCCACTATCCATGCAGTTTTGTTTTCTCTATCAAATCTTCCCTTAATGATATAAAATAATTTTTTTCAGTAATCACATTAGAAAAAGAAGGTTCCTCACCAACGAGCACTTTTTTTCAGGTGTTTATAAAACACTGATTTTACTATATAATTATAAATGGGTGGGTTTTTTAAAAAAACGATTTGGATTAAAAAGCTAAGTTCTGCAGGAATATTTTTTAAAATTCTTTTAGTCACATCCCAATGGGGAGAATATTAATCTTATTGAGTCCAATGGAAGTTTTCTTCAAGAGTTGATCATGGAATATCCCACCAAAGTCATTTTCTTAACAGGAATGTACCAATCCTTGTTGTGATGCTGCCAGCTGCAAGCTAACACGTGGATCAGCATGTGCTGAAGGATTGTGCTGTGAAAAGTGTCAGGTAACATAGATGATCCTTTGTGTAGATATGCAGTACAATCCTGTGCTTGCATGTTTTGTATTAAATGTTCAGCAAGTTTATACCAACATTTAAATATACATAGAATTGCAGTTAATATATTCTTAAGGTATGTTTGTTTTGAATTTATTATCATCCATGAATATTGTATGCATGTGTTTATGTATACAGTAACATCTTATTACTGTTACATGCATGAGCATTAGAGGGAGATGAGAAAAATTCAGGATGGCATCTGTGATTACACTATCAAAACCTTATGGCTTTGATGCATGTAAAAAGGATGGGTCTTCTATTGTGTGGCATATCACATATGAGATGACCTTTTAAATACAACAAATGAAACAAGCACCAAACTTTGGTATTTGTTCATTCAAATTTCGTATACTGTATGTATCACTAAGATCTATCTGAAACTCTGATAATATTTGATGGCAAAAGAATGCAAAAAATAGACAATCCCTGAGAAGACAAATGCATTTTCTTAGAACTGTGTATGTGTGTATGTCACACAACAAGGATTAGTTGCTGCCCAGAGTCACTTAGTTGAGTTGAGCAACAATAGAAATTAAGTAAATAAAAATTAGCTGACTGCTTCAGGTCTATTCTAATGAAAGTTCACTTTGAATACATATATACATACATACATACATACATACATACATACATACATACATACATACATACATACTAGTTTTCCAGTAAATTATATTCTCAGAAGGAGAAAGAAGGAGGGAGAGAATGGAAAAAAGGAATGATCATGTCTGAAAAATCCAACAGCTAGATATATGAAAATGTATCCATATGTCTCTATCTGTAGCTATCCTCCTTCCTTGCTTATTGGGCGGTGACCTTCTCTCCGAGGTCCCGTACCCTAGTTGTAATTCTACAGTCTGAATTAATTAATTAATTCCCTTATTTATTTATATCCTGACTTCCTCCCAAAGCTCAAGGAGATATCTATCCTTCTTCACAACAATCCTTTACAGTAATCCTGTGGGATAAATTGTGCCAACTGTTCGTCCATCATCATGTAGGGAGGCTAAACTGGTAAATATGCTTAGTAAGAAAGAAAACTAAGCTGGAGAAATCCACCAGTTGCTGTTCTATGTTTAAGTAAGGACCATTGCACCAACTGACTTTGGTACGGAGGTACTGTACAGATCAGCAATGTGGATAGTCTAATTCTGCTCGCTCAAGGACTGATACATTTGCATTTCAGTGCAGCCATGTGACTGCTCATACAGGCAATAAATGTTGGTTGTTGGGTGTAATATAATAGAGTATAACTGAAACAGCAATATATCTTGTGGGTTTGGTTTGGTTTTTCTATATAATTAGTAATCTGATCTTTGGCATACTATTCCAATGGTTTGGCTCAGGAATTATTCCCACAGCTCTTTCCTTTTCACAAATCTCTTCCTCCTTCTCCCATATCATTAAAGGCATATGAATGCTGTCAATGTATTACAATTAGAAATTAATAAAATCAATACAATTGTTTTCAAGTTCAAGGTAGCAGGAGTGGAGTGTCGACCAAAATCAAATATCTGTGATCTCCCTGAATATTGCAATGGGACCTTTTATGACTGTCCAGAAGACGTGTATGTCATGGATGGCTACCCATGTAACAATATGAAAGATTACTGTTATAGTGGAATTTGCGAGAATTATGATTCTCAGTGTGAATCCCTCTTTGGAAAAGGTATGGTTTAAATCATTTGTGACTTATAGAACCAATAATAAACTGGCAGAAGTTATATAGAAAGTGTTTATGTTTTGGAATGTGGATGATTACTATTTCAAAATGATTTTTTTAAAATTCCAATAGTAAAGAATATATTTAATTTGGAATTGATCTGTTGAGTTCTTGCTGTTCTACACACTTGGTTGCTTTACTATACATGTTTTGTCACCAAGCTAAGTAATGTCATTAGTGTGTGGAAGAGTGAGGTTTGCTAGTTGTTTGCCCTGTCAGTCTTAGTTGGGGTGTGGTTACTTTCTTGATAGTTTCTTAGTTAGGATATTATTCTTCCCTGATCATTTATCTGGTGTTGTTTCCTGCTTATTTGGGTGTTGGTTGCTAAACAGGATGTTTGTTTCCTTCCTTAACTTTTAGTTAAGTCCTTTAAATACAGATAGTACTCAATGTACAACCATTCATTTAGTGACTGTTCAAAGTTACAATTGCACTGAATAAAAGTGACTTAAGACCGTTTTTCACACTTACGACCATTGCAGCATCCCCACGGTCACATGATCAAAATTTGGATGCTTGACAACTGACTCACATTTATGATGGTTGCAGTGTGTCCCAGGATCCTGTGATCCCCTTTTGCGACTTTCTGACAAATAAAGTCAATGGGGAAGCCAGATTCACTTAACCACTATGTTACTAACGTAACAATTACAATGATTCACTTAACAACCGTGAAAAGAAAGGTCATAAACTAGGACAAAATTGACTTAACAACTGTCTCTGTTAGCAACAGAAATTCTAGGCTCAATTATCGTTAAGTCGAGGGCTACCTGTAGCACATAGATGAGGTTATTTCTACATGTGCTGATAGATGGTTCCTCAGAATGTCAAGCTTCCAGGAATTTTTCAATTTGGTTTGATCTAAAGTGATACCCTTTTCCAGTTGAAACTGGTTAAGTTTTCCTATGTTGAGAGATTAAAATTTTTTGAGTTTTTCTGTTTTGAGAGATTAAAGAATCATGTCTTCTGTCTGCCAGCGGATGTTCCTGGATGCATTCTTCCAATTTTCTACCTGTCTATTCTAAATAATGCCTGTTACAGTCTTTATATTGTACGTTGTTGATGATTCCCATTCTTTGTTTAGGCGGTCTTTGGGTTTGCTTAAGAGATTTTGTGGGGATTTTGTTGGTTTATGTGTTACGGCAGTGGTTCTCAACCTTTTTAATGCCGTGATCCCCAACCGCTCGTAAGTCGAGGACTACTCAACCGGTCGTAAGTTGAGGACTACTCAACTGGTGCAGCACTGTTTGCAGAATGGGACTTTTGGCGGGCTCAGCAGGGCAGAGACAACCTGGACAATTCCTATTGGCTTTTGAAAGCCAATAAAATTAGACTCCATTCAAGAGAGTCTATTCTATTGGCTTTCAAAAGCCAATAGAATAAAAGGGAGTAGCACAGCTAAGGAAAAGGGGGGGGGGAATGGCGGACTGCGTTGTTTGGCGACCCCCCGTGAAATGGTCGTTTGACCCCAAATGGGGTCCCGACCCACAGGTTGAGAACCACTGTGTTACTGGGATGCCAGGAGGATGTGGTGATCCGTTGTTTGTGTCAGAGTTGTCCTCGACACAGAATAATGAACTTTCGTTTTATTTGTAGGAGCAAAGAAAGGACCTAATATTTGCTTTGAAACAGCCAATAGCAAAGGAGACAGATTTGGCAATTGTGGAATGAAGGAGGCAAATTTTGTAAAATGTTCCCAAGCGTAAGTAATCAGAAAAAAAATGTTTTATATTCTGAAGGCACATTCAGACTATGACCCTATGCACTCTCAGTTAGGGATTAAGTCCCATTGAACTGAATGCTCTTATCTGGATCATAAGCAACGTGATTATTATTACTAAGAGCTATGGTGGTGCAGTGGTTAAAATGTAGTACTGCAGACTAATTCAGCTGGCTGCCGGCTGCCAGCAGTTTGATTCTCACCGGTTCAAGGTTGACTCAGCCTTCCATCCTTCCGAGGTCGGTAAAATGAGGACCAGATTGTTGGGGGCAATAGGCTGACTGTGTAAACCATATAGAAAGGGCTGTAAAGCACTATGAAGCGGTATATAAGTCTAAGTGCTATTGTTATTCAGAGTCACAGCTCTGGACTTTTTCTTCTTTTTCCTTCTACTCCTAAACAAACTTACCAATAGCCTACTTCACTAAGACAAAATTTGCTATGACAGGTAGTCCTTGACTTACAGTTCATTTAGTGACTGTTCAAAGTTACAATGGCAGTGAAAAAGTGACTTTTTTCACACTTACAACCATTGCAGCATCTCCCATGGTCACATCATCAAAATTGCTTGGGAATTGACATTTATAACCATTGCATTGTCCCAGAGTCATGTGATCATTTTTTGCGACCTTCTGAAAAGCAAAGTCAATAGGAAAACCAGATTCACTTAACTGCTGTGTTACAATTTAACAACTGCAGTGATTCACTTAACAACTGTGGCAAGGACGGTGGTAAAATGGAGCAAAATTCACTGTGGCCTCACATAGCAACAAAAATTTTAGGCTCAGTTGTGGTTGTAAGTCAAGGACTACCTGTATATTCAAATTACAAGATTCAGTTGCAACCATTACATAGCTTAATAAATCAGGATATAATTGTTTTCTTAATGTTAAACAACAATTCTGGACTACCATTAATGTCTTTATGTAGACCAGCATATCGTTGTAGAGTATCTGCAAGTGGGGGGTAACACAATCCCAGCATTTATCAACATCTTTGTAAACTAAGGTTTATAAAACACACAATTGGCCATATTTGGACAACATTACTTCTAACCATTGTATCTACATTTAGATTACCAGATTGTAATAGAAGCCAGCATTAGAAAGTTTTTTTTTTGCTCTAGAGGAGGGTTGGGAAAGTATGGTCCTTTATGACTTGTGGATTTCAACTCCCAGAATTCCTGGCTCAGGCTGACTCAGGAATTCTGGGAGTTTGAAGACCAAAAGTCATAAAGGGACCATAGTTCCCCACCTCCACTCTCGACACTAATTTGTTTTATCAAATTATTTTAAACAGTTGTTCAGAATGTTCTTCTAGTAATTTCAGGCAGTGTTTTCAGAAGTGTGCTTCTGAATCAAGCTACTTGTCTTGATAAATATATAATACTTCAAAAATCAAAAGTGTCAAGTCTTAGGACAGACAGGTCAAACTTGTGACGTCACATGAGTTTTGTCATTGCTGGCAATGGGGTGAGTACGGCTTCCAGATGGCGTGTCCAGCCTGTGGGCCGGCAGTTTGACACCTCTGTCTTAGGATATCAGTTGTTGGATGGCAGCAAAAGTTGTTTTGTACCAAAGTCCTGCTTGCTAATTTCCTGATGTATCTACCAATGAAGAATTCAGTAACATAGAATACTAAATTAGATTGGACCTGCTACAGATGGCTCATCTTACGGTAGAACCTTACACATTTATTTGGAATCATAAGCCTTAATGGAGGGAGACAAACCTTTTGTAAAAGGATGTGGAAATGAATAGTTGACACAGATTATTTATTCAATTCTTTAAACCATTGAAAATTGAAACTTCAGCCATATGAAAGGACATTTTAGCTAGATAGGTAGTCCTGATTTAGCAATTGAGACTGGCAACTTGGTTGTTAGTGAAAGCATTCACTAAGTGAAAAATCATGTGACCAAAACTGTGCTTACGATTTTACACAAGACAGCATGTACCAACTGACATGATACACAGAGAAAGGGAGAGAGATGGAGAGAAAGCGAGATGCTGTGAAGATTGTATTGTATGTATGGGAATTGGTCACAAAGTTACTTTTTCAGGATTGTCATAACTGAACAGTCACTGTCCAAGGCAGTTGCTAAGTGAGGACTATCTTGCCTTCCATAGTTGGCCAACAGGATCTGAATGTATTATAGTTGATAATCTGTTATTTACGCCTATTTATAGATCTACATCCTTTTGCTCAACATTGGTTTTTATAAATCTCAAGTCTAGTGAACATTAAAACTCAACATTAAAACATGGAAGACAGCATTTTGTATTTATCATACTTCTTTACCATTCTTTACTTATGTTTGTATATTATTTGCAGCAATAGTTTATGTGGCAAGATTCATTGTACATCTTTCAAACATGAGAATCTCCCATCCCAGTTGTATTTCCAGAATCTAGATGGAGTTTCATGTGTGTCTACTGAATTTAATCTAGGATCAGATATTCCCGATCCAGCACTGGTTCATAAAGGCACTTCTTGTGCTGAAGGAAAAGTAAGAGTTTTCTGCATCTTACAACTGTGTAGCCTATCCGGATCACACCTTGCTTATTGACCGAATCGTTGGCTGAGATTGCACTCTGCCCCGAATCACAATTTGTTATGTTAATTTGTTACTCCTAGGCATGATTTACATGCAGCAGCAGCTGAGTATTTTCTTTACGTTAAGCCAAAATCAAGAAGCCATGTTATTATTTAATATAAAACTTTATACAGAATTCAGCAAACTTTTCCAGTTGAGAAGTTGTACTTCTTCCTTCCCTGCTGAGAGTTGTAACAAGCACATCAGCAACATTGTTACACTTTCCAAGAGATGGGGTTTAAAATATTTTGTTTCAGGCAAAAGTATATTAAAATCACTACTATGGGTAAAAGTAGCCCAATTATTGAAGTTTCGGAGATTTCATTCATTCATTTATTCATTTTCATTCATTCATTTTTTAATGACACATTAGCATTCAGCCTCTGCAAGACTTAGGTTACCCATGTTTTAATGTCTCACGAAGAAGACATTAAACAAAGAAATATCCTCTGAAATTTATAATCTTGCCCACATGATTCTGGAGGTGGAAGGACTGTTGACATCCTATTCATTATAGGTTGCCTGTTCAGTATGTTGTATAAAACTATCCAGTGTTGCTTCTAAACTGTCTCTATAGCATAATGTTACACTAATAGTCAGGGAAGTAATGGTATGTGCATAATGACATAATCATGGAAACATTGCAAGTTTACTTGTAGATTGACACAAGTACATAATTGTATTTGCATGCTGACATTATTGTACATGGGGCATCATTTGTCATCACTGTGTTGGATTGGGAAGAGATGAAGCTTAAAAGAACCTATATTACATCATTTGGGACTTGATCCATGCTTAATTTTAAACTGTAAGCCCTAAGTTCCAAATCATAGTGTCTAGATTCATACTTATATTAAGATGAACCCAGACAAATTATATTGTTGCATGATGACAGAGATACAAGATTCACCTTGGTCCCATTTCCAACATCATCATTTTCGGCTTAGATTTGTCCATCTTTTTTGACCATCTTCTTTAAGAGGTTATAATTCAATATTAGGTAACTATCCATCTTGGGGAAGACCAATATGCTAAATTTGATTTCTTAATACCTTTGTGCATTTGCAGATAAAGTGTGCTTTCAAAGACCATTCTGAAAAAAAAAACTATATTTCCCTCCTTTTTAGGCTTGTATTGATTACAGATGTGTAAATGCAAGCTTGCTGGGTTACAACTGTGACATAAAGAAAAAGTGTAATGGTCGGGCGGTAAGTTAAAATATTATTACGATAATAATGTTCCATTGGGATAAAATTATAATAACCAAGTATCTTGGCATATAGTACAACTAATGAATAGGTATCATTGCTTGCTTTAAAAAGGCTGAGTGGAGTCTCAGCAGTATTATGGTACTTCTTTGTAGTATTTCTACCCATTTATTTATGGGACATTATATCACAACCAAAGTACTATCTCATCTAAAAAACATATAAGTTGGTCATGTTTATCGCCAGCATCTTATTCAAGAAAATATTTTGCATTGCAAGAAACATAGGCATATATAACACCTGGAGGTTTTGTCAAATGAAAAAAAAAATCTTGTTTGGGCTTGAATGCAAGATCCAAACATAGTACAAGAACAAACTGGATGAATCTGTATGACAATGTTCAATACATGCTTTGTCATTTGCTTCCTTTTCCGTCTCTTTGTATATCCAGGGCAAGTTAAAATGTTTAAATTCTGCTTTTTTTCCCCTCAAAGAAATAAATACTTATTTTCAGGCAGGTTAAGTATGCCCAGTTCAGAAATAATGGGAAATCTAATCATACAAGAAACAAACCTTATGGGAAAATTAATTTCCATATTGTCATAGGAAAACAATTATTTTTCTTTTCCTATGACAATATGGGAATTGTTGATATTAACAAGAGATGGATGGAAACCACGTGTCCTATCTCTGGTGTACTGGACTTGGTTCATATTGACTCATGAGAGACAGCTGTTACATTTCTTGTAATTTTGGATGCTAGTTGAGAGATGAGAGACCTCCAGTGCCGGCTGTTTGGAGGCCAGTGGTGTAGTGCTGTACCAGCAATGGAGCCAACAGAGCTGATAGTTAAATATTGATCTGCACACCACACCACATCACTGCTTCATATCCAAAAGAGGTGGGAGTGCAGGTGGGAGAAACTGCAAAAATGGAACATTGATTTCATTATTACATAGATCTCACAGCCCCAGTTCGATTGGACCAACACAAAAATCATCAGTCACGTTACCACCCACCACGCTTGTGAGTTCACTGAAGCCTGGCACTCCACAAGCAATTCCATCAACAGACACATTGACCTACAACCAGCCTATGAACCTCTTAGAATCCAAATCAACTGCACAGCCAACCAGAGACAGCACCGACTCTCAACCAAGCCACACAAGCCCCCCCCCATTAGCAGTTCACCTTCCAATGACCCTGACCTGACGTAACCTACTCATCACAAGACCCATCATAAGACTCACTGATGACACACATCTGACCCATCACAAGACCCTCACTTGACACACCCACACCTGAAGCCTTATAAACAGAAGAGCACTGACATCTCCTAAACTCTGCTGAAGATATTACTTAGCCTATTAATGAAACATTCAGAAACCAATCCACACATTTGGAGAACGAACCTTCACCTTCATAGATCTCGCTGTTGATATTCAGCTGTTAACAAAATTCTTTCATAATGGCATTTGAGTTCTTCTGCAATAAAATTCCTTAAGAGAAGTGCATGGATTCTTACAATACCTGTTTGGGGGAGAAACATAACATCCTAACGCTAATATTATTGTAATGTCTATAACTTCTTTAAAAGTTGCAATTTCATTACTTTCTTTTTTGCTCCTGTAGGTGTGTAACAACAAAGGCAATTGCCATTGTGATCCTGGGTGGGCACCTCCATTTTGTGATGTGTCTGGCTATGGTGGCAGCATAGATAGTGGCCCAACTCATATAGGTATCAAGAATCATTCCTCTTTCTTACATTCCATCTGGTATTGCTCACTTCTGAACTCTAATTTTGCACCTTTTAAGGTAGCTTTATGTCTTATTTGACGAAAGTAACTTTTATCTTTAAGTGAATAACTGTCACTTATTTGAATAACTGTCCAAAAAAAGAAATTCTAGTTTAAAAATGAAGACCAGGAATAAAAGGCAGTGTGGCCTTTCCTTTAATGGATTTTATTTCCATTGAAATTAATTATTTTAAAAATCTGAATCTATAGCTGTAAGATAGCATATGCCCATTTTAGAAGTTTGGGTCTTTTATTTTTGGAAGATGTGCTTCTTCTTTTTTGATATTTTTTTCATATATACAGTGGTGCTTAAATGTTTGTGAACCCTTTTGAATTTTCAAAATTACTGCATAAATTTGACCTATGTCTGTTCTCTGCACATCCTAAAACTAGAAAAAGAGAGTCCAATTAAACAAAGGGGTCAAAATATTATACCTATTCATTTATTGAAAAAAAATGATCCAAAAATGCATATTTTATTTTGGTGAGAATTCAAACCTTCCTTCTTGTAGCACCACGGTCCAAATTCTACATTTAAATAAGTGTACCATGCTTATTTTCTTTCTTAGATACATCCCTTCGTGATGGTCTTCTGATATTTTTTTTACTTGTGTTGCCTATATTAATTCTACTTGCAATTGCATTTGTCAAGAGGAAAGAAATTAAAAGGCGTCTCTTCAGAGAACGTAGAAGACAAGAAAGGTACAAATTTCATGCAACTGATAATGTTGAGAATGGAACACTGCAAGGTTAAGTCAAAAACTCAAAATAGAAACACGATTTGTAGTCCTAGTGACAGATAAACTAAATATTATGGTATAAGCCATGGGTAGGCAACCTTGGCTCTTTTATGACTCGTGGACTTCAACTGGCTCAGGAATTCTGGGAGTTGAAGTCCACGAGTCATAAAAGAGCCAAGGTTGCCTACCCCTGGTATAAGCCATGCAGAAACAGCCTTCACTGAATTCAGTAGAATCTACTAAATAAATAATAAATAAAATATAAAAAGATTGAAGCCTTTAGAAATTATACCCTTACATGATTATCTATAGATGACAATGGGAGCAAGTTTTGTAAAGACTTTTAGGAATGTTGGGAGTGAAGCATGAAAAATCAGATAGAGATCTAGAAAAATAATGTTTTTTTTTAATAATCTAGGTAGTATTGGCAACCCTGAAGAAGCAAGTTCTGTTCAAGGTTTTAAATTAGACTTTGTCTGTATAGGAGACAGGGAAGAGATGTTATTCTCCTAACCCTGAAATCGATGGTATTCAGACAATTACCTATTACTAGTAGTTTGCAATGTAATGCTTTGGCTTTTCATTTTTTAAAGAAAAATGTCTTAGAAAAGATTAGGGAGTAATTTCTTGTTAGTCACAGAACCAGCACGAGTAGAAGAAAAACTCTGCCAGTATTCTTCAAAAGTGGTTAGTTTTTCTCAGCTCCTGGTTTTGTTACTGATTCTACAAATTATGATTCCTCTAATACAAACTATGATCATTTCAGTAGAAAAATATATTTGGTGATTTTGTTTACTAAATAATATTTTAAGCCAGAGGTTCTCAACCTGTGGTCTGTGGCCCCTGGGGGGGGGCATGATATCATCAGAGGGGTCCCCAAAGGCTTGAAGAAATATTATGATTTAAATCTTGCATTAGTCTTGGGGGTCCGTAGCCATGGTCCGGGCCCACAAAAGATATTTAAAGGGGGTCTGTGGTGAAGAAAAGATTGAGAACCACTGTTTTAGGCTATTGGTAATGCTTCTTACTAAAGTAGCTCTTTGCTTTGCTTTTCCCTCAACCATTTTGATTTTTCAATCCTAGACTAGCTAGGCTAGACCCCTTACCTTATCAGACCAGTTATTTATGAAAATCAACTAAGTAAGGCACTCCTGAGGTCATCATCACGCTTCTTTTCTTAAACTGTTTGCCTGAATCCTTCTAAAAGAATATTTATCTAGTTATCTATTTCCACATTTACTAACTGGGAAATTCCTGAGTTTTAAAAATTAAATTGAAAAAAACAACAACAACCAAAGCAAACACTGAATCAAACTCAAGTCTGATAGGTTGGGGAATTTACTAAGCCCATTTTTTGCCAGTTGAACTGAAACCAACCAACAGCTGAAAAATGTTTTGAGTTGCTTTGTTTCTGTCATCCCAGATCATTTTCTTTCCAGGGAAAACAACATTTATATGCAAGCAAATACTTTGTTGTTTGTTTGGTTATATATGCCATCTGTACCCTGCAGTATTTTTCAAGCAGGAATTGGTTGATTAACAAAAACCTATTTCACTGTTATTGTGAATAATATAAAGATACCTCTATGTGTCTTAGCAATGATTGTCCTCCTTTCAATATTGTTATATACTTTCTCTGCACCCACAATGAATTTTTATCTTCTTGGTTTTTAGCTACATCTGCTGATTTGGGGCAAGTAATGCAAGATGGGCATTTATGTTTATATCATGTTTAACTATTTGTTTAAATTTCTTTAAGGACTGAAAATGCGCAGCAAAGAAGACCACTACCTGCACACCAGAATAATACTCCAAGTAAACCAAATCCACCAGAGCCAATAAATAGAAAGCGGGTAAGAATATACTTTCAATTATAATGTACTTTCAATTATAAGTATTTTCTACCAGTAAAGGTCTTTTAGTACAAAATATCAGCTGTGCATTTTTTATTTATTTTAGTTAATTATTTCCTATTCAGAAATTCAGTTTGCAAAATTTAGAATAACAGCATTTTGCTGGATTGTAAACATAAGCATGGGGAGTAATGGCTCAGTAGTTAAAAACGTAGAGCTTGTCAGCTGGAAAGTTGGCAGTCCGGTTTCGAGACCCAAGCACCACGCAATGGGCTGAGCTTCCATTACTTGCCCCAGGTTCTGGCCACCTAGCTGCTTGAAAGTATGCAAATGTGAGTAGACAAATAGGTACTACTTCGATGGGAAGGTAGCAGAGTTCCGTGCGCCTTGGCGTATAGTCATGCTGGTCACATGACCCCCAAAGTGTCTTTGGACAACGCTGGCTCCCTCAGCTAAGAATTGGAGATGAGCATCACCTCCTCGAGTAAGATATGACTGGACAGGGGGAAATCTTACCTTTTTAAACATAAGCATGATTTTATTTGTTTGTTTGTTTCTTTATTTGTCTTATCTTTTTCAGCCTACTTCAAATTCGGAAGTCTTTACAATATCTCACTTTCCAACTCCAAGGTTTGTATTTTTTGATATAACTGTATAGCAGAACCACATAGAGCAGTGATGGGGAACCTTTTAGAGACTGAGTGCCCAAACTGTAACCCAAAACCCATTTATGTATTGTTGGGTGCCGGGTGGGTGTGGCCCATTGGGTGGGTGTCACCCATTGGGTGGGCATGGCTGTGGTGGTAACGGCAGACTGGGTGGGACTAAAAAGTTCAATCAATCAATTCCAACTTTGTGAGATCTTTTTTTTTCCTGCGAGAAGTTGAAATTAATCGAGTGATTGAACCTTTTTTTTTGCACATGGCCGCAAAGGCCTAAAGTGAAAAGGTTTTATAAAACCCAGCTGAAGGCCTAGGACTGGGGTGACGGTGCGCGTGCCCACAGAAAGGGCTCTGTGTGCCACCTGGGGCACCCGTGCCATAGGTTCACCACCACAGACATAGAGTATGTAGATGTAAATAAGAGATAGAACATGTTAAAAACTAGAGGTGAAGATTTTTTTTTTTTCAGCAGAGGGTCGGGACTGCATACTCTAAAGCAATTTATTGCAACCACATGAGAGTAATGGCTAAAAATGGAAGCTGGTGTTCACCATTAAATGCAAATGTGCAGTGATAAGCACACTTTTCCCATGTAACGAAGTGTGATGATTAAGGAGTAGGAAGCTTTGTTCCAACATCTCCTCTCAACCACAGAGTTCACTGGGTGATTTTGGGTCAGTTACTCTCTTTAAACCCCACAAGGTTTATATGGGAGGAATCTGAAGGCCTTGAGGCCTCAAGAAAACTAGAACTTTAGTGAATAAAAAATAGTTCATATATGCAGTTCATACATTCATGTGCTCTAGTTATCTGAATGCACTTCATTCATGCACAATGGTTTAGGTGGGTTTTATTTCAATAACTAAAGTAAAAAAAAAAAATGCTTAAGGCAGAGGTCCCCAACCTTTTGGGCACCAGGGACCAGTTCCGTGGAGAGAGGTTTTTCCATGGACTGGAGAATGCATGGTTTTGTGTGCTGCCTGAATCTCGTGGATGGGGCTTTGCTTGTTTGTGCTGACTGGTTGCTGGCATGCCATAGCCCAGTACTGGTCCATGGACCAGGGTTGGGGACCCCTGGTTTAAGGTAACTTAAAGATGAAGGCTTAGCGTAACTAGCGGAACAAATTCATACCTGTTTCCCAGTTCAGATAGGGTATTGCTGAATGCATGTGGTTACATCATATCAACTTCCTTGCATTTTGGTGCTCAGTCTCTTTGAAGGACATGAGCAGTTCAGAAATGTGAAATAGAAATAAATATAAATAAAAAGAAATATTTTTTTCAGGGCTATTTGTACCTGCCAAAATCTGAAATCCTTATCCACATACTGTTTTCCTCTCCTTCTTTTAGGCCACCAGTACAAAATCAATTTGTTCCACCTCCACAACGACCTCCTGTACGACCACCAATATCACAAAGGCCTCCTTTAAGACCGCCAATTCCACAAAATCCTCCTTTAAGACCGCCAATTCCACAAAATCCTCCTTTAAGACCGCCAATTCCACAAAACCTTCCTTTAAGACCATCAATTCCACGAAACGCTCCTTTAAGACCACCAATCCCACAAAAACCCGTTTTCTCTCCTCCATCTTGAAGAATTATGATGAAATGTATTGTACTCTACTAGGAAAAAATACTGTATTAGTGAAATGAATTAAAATGTATTATTTTTAGAAATATACAAACAAAGACTTCAGTTTAATTTCTAAAACAGTATTAAATTAAATTTAACTTACTTCAGGGTCTGCTGCCCTACCAAATCATTATTTAGGAAAGCAAAGGCCTTAATTATTAGGCAACAGGATATTGCTTTTATAAGTAATACTGGTCTCATCCCAATAAAGTTAAAGTCATTTACCTTAACCTAGGGCCAAACTAGATGTTGTAGTAAATGTGATCAGAAACAATGTCAGACTTATAAAATGTAGGACATGTATGTGCAATTTTTATTAGGAGAAAAGGTGGTTAGGGCTTTTCTTCTCTGGTTGAGGTTCCTCTCTTTCCTTTTCACTTCTAACATAGATTAATTATTAATATTACAAGAAAACACCTATGGAGGTTAGTAGAGAGTATCATGCCCATAAGGTCATGATTGGGAAAGGAATAGTTAAATCTGTCACACAAATTCCCTTCTTGTACAATCATCCTAGTAAACGTTGGGGGGGAGACTGCTGCTCTTAACATCAATGACAGATTCACTAATTATACAGTTGCTCTGATTTTTTAAAATGGGCAGTTGCTTCTTTATAGTCAATTGGTTTATTACATTAAGAAACAATGTGAAAGCACAAGACTCATTACAAAATTAATCAATCATTGAAGGAAGGGCTGCAGTGTAGTATTATCTACCTGAACAAAGATCAGAAAGTGATTTGTATTGTCTAAAGTCAACAAACATGACTTGACAGCCATTGGTACACTATTGTTGATCCACATGTATACCGGTCACAGTTGCACAGGAGTCACACTATCCTTAAGTGTTCTTGTAGGATATTTCTAAAGATTCTTTCAACTTCCCAGGTAAATTGTGAATATATTTTAAATGTTTCTAACACAGAAATAGATGATACTTCTGTTTTCATATTATACATCTGTGAAGGTTACACATTTTTATTAATAGCTTTATCTGGCCATTTTGATAGTCCATTTTGATAATGAGGCCAGTCAATTGTGGTTTATTCATTAAATCATAGTTAAGGAAACACTATCATGTTTCAGCATGCAGTTGAGCTTTTGTATTAACATGAGACAAAAGGTCAACTATATGCTGAAACATGATAGTAAGACATGTTTTCTTAACCATGATTTAATGAATAAACCACAATTGAGTGGGCTCATTAAGCATGTCAGATCATTTCAGGTTCATAATAGTAATTTGCATCATTTTTCAACTGCATTAAAGTGCAACAATTCCGCATTTCTGACATACCAGCCCTGATAGTAATTTTGCTGGAAACGGAAACAGAATGACATTTCTGCACGGATTCATGAAACCAAAGATTTGATTAAAGAATACTGTTTTCTGGTGAGCAAAAAACAATTTGTATCCTGACAGTGTTACTGCCTTTGTTTAAAGTTACTTACATCATAATTACAGCTTGCAGGCATATTATGAATAACCAATTCAAATTTGTAAATCAAAACTAACATATATGGTCCACTAGATTTAATATATGCTCTTTTATGACAACCTCATTCCACTATCAGGCATATATGAAATTCTACTCAGAGTTGATTTACAAAATGTTTTGAGAAGTTTTTAATATCTGCCTTTTAGTAATATAATTGTGTTGATGAACAAGCCAATAGTATTATGCTGGATACAAATGCCAAAATTTAGATATAAAATTATTTTTAATGTTTACATTGTCTGAAAATTTATATTAATATGTATTTTAGGGACTATTGAAAAAATTGAAATTTTCTGTAATCAATCAAATTTGTTAATGGTGCTTCCACCTCTAAGCTTTTTACATATATAAAGTTATTTGCAGTTTTGCACAAATCACTTTTGTAATTTAGTGGTAGAAAAATCAATTGCACAATTTCTGTTAAAATGGCAAATGTTGTGAACCATTTTGTAAAATAAAATAAAATAACTTGACCTATAAATGGCATACCTTTAAAAAAAAAATAACCTGATATTACAATGACATGAAAAATCGGTTACAGGTTTAATTCTTTTACAATATTACTTTCAGCATGATTGCAAATAAATAATGTATGGTGTATAGGTGATTCTCACTTAGTGACCACTCCTTCAGCAAGCTTTCAAACTTTCTAAGCCAAGTGGTACTGATCATTGTACCTTGAATTTGTAGCTGTTTTTGTCCTAACAGTCACGAGATCCCAATTTGCAACCTTTTTGCTAGCTTCCTACAAATGGAGTCAATGGGGAAGCTAGCAGGGCGTTGCAAATGATGACTACCCAACATCCTTGCTTAATGACCCAGGATGATTCACTTAAGAACGGTAACTAGAAGTGCCAGAACCTCCATTGGTAAGTGGCATAACATGATGTCACACTTTACAATTGTGTTGCTTAGCGACAGTAATTCCAGTGCCAATTGGTATCATTAACTGAGAACTAACTACAGTTGAAGCTTTTTTAAAAGAATTTCCTCTTTTTAATTTGGCCTATCGTCATTAACTTCTTTGCCAACCAAGTATTTTGATTCTGATTATTATTGCATCTATAAACCACTTTACTATTTTTACAATGAAAAAGGAACAATATTTCTAATAATACGTATTATAGAAATGTAAGGTCCCAGTCCCTTACTTGAACTTGAGATACCATATCAATCTAATCAGATAACCCAAGCGGAGGCTGCTTAGACAGCTCTTTATTTGATCAAATAAGATGGCTGGGTGGCAAACAATCTGGAACGCTGGCAGAGTTACATCCAGAAGTGCCACACCTTGGGAAGTTAGTAGCATTGCTTTATAAACTTTGTTAGCCAATAAAAATCAGACAACAGAGCCTTTACATCATAAGGAAGACATCAAGTGCAAACCAGGCCATACTTGTCTATACACACCTTTCCAATTCACCTCCCAAAGCTCAGTCCTCCAAAACATCAAATTAAAAAGGGGTCATTTGATCTGGTTGAAATAGTTTTCTGCCACTGAATAGTCTCCCACTGTTAATATACTTACAATAGACGAATTTCCTTTTTACAATTTCTTCCACCTATGTTCTTTGAATCAACTATGATTATTAGAGCTCCCAAAGGCATATGAAAACAAATAAAGCCCAATTCTCACAAAGTTAGAAAGAGTTATTTACATTGTAGTAAAAGATAAAACTGAGATCTAATTATTCAATCAATGCAATTCTGTACTTATGGGTGGTATCTACATACAAGTGAATCAAGCTCTCAGACAAGATTGTCTACTCAATACAATGCGATTCACATTTTATATTTCAATATTCTTCAACTGGGACATCCCCAGAGGTATGCATCAACTCCCAGAATTCCCAACAATTGCACTGCTGGTTTGGGAAAACGGGCTAAAGTTAACATATCTGAGGGGTTTCCAGATTGAATAAAGCCATTAGCAGCATTTTAAATAGATAGATTTAGATAGATAGATAGATAAATAGATGGATAGATAGAGATATCCTGGATAATAATAATAATAATTAATAATCATCATCATCATCATCATCTTTGGAAGAATATCTGAAGAATAATGATGAAGATGCACTGAAATTAGTATATCAGGAAGGCTTACTGACTACTGGAGAGACCAAACTGGCCTACAAGAAAGACCAAATGAAGAACAGAATAGAGGCATGGGAAGACAAAGCACTACATGTCCAATACATGAAAAAAATAGCTGGGAAAGCAGATAATAATAAAACCTGGCAATGGCTAAGAGCAGGAAAATTGAAGAAAGAGACCGAGGGACTAATTCTGGCTGCACAAGACCAAGCCTTAAGGACAAATGCATACAAAGTCAAAATTGAGAAGACAGCAACAGACAGTAAGTGCCGCCTATGCAAAGAAGCTGAAGAAACAGTGGACCACTTGGTAAGCTGTTGCAAGAAGATTGCACAGACTGACTACAAGCAGCGGCATGACAAAGTAGCAACAATGGTGCATTGGAAGATCTGCAAAAAATATCATTTGCCTGTAAGCAAAAACTGGTGGGATCATAAAATAGAGAAAGTCATAGAAAATGATAAAATTAAACTGCTCTGGGACTTCAGAATTCAAACAGACAAGCACCTGCAACATAACACCCCAGACTTAACAATTGTCGATAAGAAAGACAAAAAAGTCTGGATAGTGGACGTGGCAGTGCCTGGAGACAGCAAAAAAAGAGAGAAAGAACTGGAGAAGATAACAAAATACAAAGACCTACAAATAGAAATAGAAAGACTGTGGCAAAAGCAAGCAAGGGTAGTACCAATAGTCATAGGCTCCTTGGGTGCAATCCCAAAACAACTGGAGCACCACTTGAACACCATTGGCATTGACAAATTCGCTATTAGTCAATTGCAAAAGGCGGCCTTACTAGGAACTGCTTCCATCCTGCGACGATATCTGTAATACCATCAAACATCCACATCTACCTATCCCAGGTCCTGGGTAAGGACTCGATAGGTAGACAAAATGCCAAATCCAGTCTGAACATCTGGCTGACTGTGTGATGATCCATAATAATAATAATAATAATAATATAATAATAATAATAATAATAATAATAATAATAATAATAAAGTTGGAAGGGACCTTGGAGGTCATCTAGTCCAACCTCCTGCTCAGGCAGGAAACCCTATACCATTTCGGATAAATGGCTGTCCAGTCTCTTCTTAAAAACTTCCAGTGTTGGAGCATTCACCGCTTCTGGAGGCAGATTGTTTCACTGGTTAACTGTTCTAACTGTCAGGAAGTTTCTCCTTAGTTCTAGGTTGTTTCTCTCCTTGATTAGTTTCCATCCGTTGCTTCTTGTCCTGCCTTCGGGCGCTTTACTATCTTTAAATGAAGATTGTAGGCTATTAAGAGAGGACTGACCTGCAATTTCCTGCTGGCTTAGAACAAACTAACAATAAATAGACCATCAGAATCATAACAAACCTAACCCTAAAGTCTCATAACTCCTACTGAATATAGTTTACAGAAGGATTAGTCACAAATTCCAGTTTGGTTTCAAACTATTCAAGTCCATTCATTTAATTTGTAAAATAGCTTTCATCAATTAAGATCCTTAACAACATGTGAAGTATATACCTCATTTTTAAAAAACCTCCCTGGAACCATGTGCACAGAATTATAGAATTAGTTACTAGAATTATTTCTAATTATAGAAAAGATCTCTACATGACATTAAGAAAAGTCTCTCTCAAGTTGAGCTAGCCTACTGTAAATTAAAGGATAATCTTTCGCAATGAATTCTAACCATTTATTAACCAAATTTGTATTGGCACGTACATTGGTTTAACTCTTTATATTGACAGTTCCTTTTATTACCTGCCAGGTTTATAGTTGCAACATTTTCCGGTGTGTCTCAATTATTTAAATGAATGAATTATTTCAAAAAAGTTTTGAAATGCTCTAGAGTCTAGACTGCAAAATAAATTTATGCAAATTCAGTCATTGTATTAATACTTTTCCTAATTCATCAGTACAAATTCTGCATAAAATATTTAAAAATAGATTTTTAAATGTTTCCTTTTAATGGTCCTATTCCTTTAATATCTTTGTCCTAGCATTATTCCTGCACTATGGCAGGTTTCACTTATTCATTTAACATGATGTGCATTGATATGTATATATTTATGTAGCTTTGTGTACAATTCTTTTTTTTTACTTTACTTTTTATTCTTAGGTTGCTCTTTTTCCTTATCTTGTAGATTTTCTCTTGTTCCTCATTTTTTAAATCAGAAGCGCTAGAAATTGTCTATCTAAAGTTCTCCAAGTTGTTTCCACCATAGATCTGAATGTGATTCTTATTGTCAATTCATAGCAACTTCCTGCACATCTCTTCAGAATGGAGCCTCCATTCTGCAATGAGCTACACAGCAGGGTGAGAAAACAATATTCTAAACATCTGCTGAGCATTATACCACCAGTTCTCATCACAGGAAAGTGGTCCACAGAAAGACAATCCACGCTGCAGGAACTACAGATCACATGTATACAATTTCTAAATACGATCCCATTTTGAGCCTCGAAAATCATTCCAAAGCAACAGAGCTGCTCAGAGCAAACACATAAAGCTTTATGCAGTGTTTTCCAAAATTGGTAACTTATAAAATGTGTGGACTTCAATCTCAGGAATCCAGCGAGTTGAAGTCCCCCTATTTTCAAGTTGCCAAGTTTGAAAAACACTGCTTTAGTGTATATCCAACTGCAAGTAATTACAACTCCGCAAGTCCTAAGATCTTCCTTCGAAAACGGTTGGGTGGCGGAAGGGTATTACCTCTCAGGTCAGCCCTAATCTTCAAACTATTGCTTTTCACCCAATCAGAAGCAAGTTGGGCGCCGTGGATAGAATAGCTGTGGGCCAACAAACTTCTCTTCCCATTGGCTCTTCGGCGATTCTTTTGCCTAATTCCTGAAAATGAGCAAAGTTCTGCTTTGGTTTCGTCACCTTAATGCCGTTCCAGCGGCGTTTTCAGCTGATCGTAGGTCAGGTTGTGTGAACGTTGGAGGCAGGCAGCCTTTGGGATAGCTGCTTATTTCCACGCCTTCGTTCTGTTTGCCAGGGAGAAGCAAAGCAGGCTATAAAGCTCGAAGTAGCAGACCGGCTGGGTTACATTGACTATACGGAGCTGAAAATTTTATAATATTCTTGTTCTTATTACCACTGCAGCTGATTGATTGATTGATTTAGGTTCGACTTAACATCACATGTATTAGCATTTACGTGCAGTTCTCCTTTTATATTCAACTGTATTTGTCCCACATTAAAACTAAACAGTGATCGTTTGTGGCTTAGCGTGCGGGGTGAATTCAGACCGCGTGGCTTATTGAAGGAGGAGCAAGCCACTTGTGACTATGATTTCAAATTCTAGAGCAGGCTTTCTCAGGGTAGACTTCAACTCCCAGAATTCAACGCGTAAACACTCGTCTGGACTTTCACAAGCGGATGATAGAGTCCCCCCTTTCTGAAGATAGAGTGTCGCTGGCAGAAGCTCTCAAGGTAAAGACCGTGGTACGAACAGCTGTTTTTTCTCTTGGCTGGGAAAAAGGGAAACTGCTGGCAAGGGAAGGTGAACGATAGAAAGCACCATCGGCGACTGCGTAAACAAGTCTGGAAGAGAAGGTAAGTAGCAAAGGGAAGATTTTAAACACTGGCTGAGCGATCCATTTAATCTGAATACTGAATTGACCCGTTTTCTTGTGTTTGCCCAATGCATTAAATAACCAATAGCCTAAATCACGCCCGCCCGCCTGCCCCCGGAACTAGGCTTAACATTTAACAGAAATGGCCTGGTTGTGACAGCCACTGCCTCATTTTTCAGTGGCTTAGTTCAGCGAGTGGGTTTGAACTGGGGACACTGAAAATCCGGGGCGGGAATGAAGAAGACGCTGCTACCAAAACTCAGAGAGATGCCTACGGTCCTGCAAAATATCCCAGAGCGTTTACTCCATAAATTCAAACATTTTAGAGTTTTTTTTTTTAAAAAAAGATAATGGCTATTCTGTTGTACATGCAAACAAGATAGATTAAGATGGTACACATTCCTGATATAAATTCACCGTTTTATTGAAAAGTTTTGAAATTGCACATCTGAATTCCCTAATAAGAGCATAAAGCAAGTGTCCATCCCATTAGTTCATAAATCTATCAAGATTCATCTTTAGTACCAATTTAAAACAAAATGAAATGCTCAGTAGTGAGGGTTATAAGATTGTGAAATATTTTTTTCATTTAGCGCTGTTTTTAAATCACAATAATTGGTGTTACTGAAAATTTGTTTTTTTATTTATAGATAACATCAGTAGGTGGCAGTAATGCCCATCTTATTTTAACTTCCTTTAATTTCTTTAAATTACTTTAAAAAAATTACTGTGGGTTATTGCACAAACAGTATGATAACCATAAATCACAGTTCGTTATTGATTTTTTTCAATATCTATGAAAAATGATAAATGTGGGGAAAATAGGAGGAGGAAGGTGTCTATGTTTACCACCTTGAATTACTTACAAAGTAATAAAGGCAGAATAAAATTCTAATAGATAATAAACATCAAAATGTTATTATTTTAAAAAACAGATCACCCTCTTTTCTGGTGTTTGTATGTGTTTTTTTATGTTCTGTCAATTATCTGCAACAGTATCAACTCAAGTTTCTCTGTTATTTATTATGAGCAATTGTCCTTGTTCTTCCAACTAGGAAAAGTGTGGCAACAAAAGCTGTCACAAAACAATGTTTTCAGACAAAGCAATTGTCCCTTCAGTTCTGGCATTTCTGATCATTCTTCATGTGAAACAGCAAACATGTGCAAGGTTAAGTTAATGCAGAACATCAAACAGTCAATTTCTTGGTCTCACAGAAGTTTCATCCAGGGGAAACCATGGAGCAAGAGAGAGTTGGAGGCCATCAGCTGGGATTGTGTGTGCTTTGTGGTTTACCAGCAGCAGGTAAAACTAGGACAGCACAAGAACTGAGTTCCTTCTTGAGGAAGCGCAAAGGATGGTCTTGTATTCTTCTCAGTTATGACAATCTCATTCCTTTGGAAGCATTCAGTCAAACAGAGGTAAGATCAGGGCAACAGATATAGCAGAGTTTATTTAATGAAATGTATTGTCATTTACTTCAGAAGACTCTGGGCAGTTAGAAGGTTTTCTCACTATGTGTTTTTTTTAATGCCAATTCAGTAAGTTAATCAGCCAGAAATAGTTAGCAAATTATGAGAATAAACCACAGTTAAATCCCAGCTTGATGTTTACAACCAGTTTGGTGTAATGAAGGCATTAAGGATGTGTGTACATGTGTGCGTGTGTACACGCATTGGTTGTTGTCATTGCTGTTACATTTTGGAGTTATTCATTGCCCTGTGGCATTTTCAGATTTCATATTGACTTTATACTTCAGTTAATTCAATATTTTAATTTTAAAATTAACAGTGAAGCTTATCTTGAGTATATGCTGTCCTAAATTTGCTAATACAAGTATAATCTGTGTATAAAAGGAACATATTAGTTTATCACTAATTCATTAAATCCTTAACATTAATAAAATGTCATTTTAGTTTTAATTCACATTTCTGTGACTTTATTTTCATAGCAATTAGTTTGTTTTACATTAATAGAATATATTAACATTCTCCATAAAAATAATTAAAAACACATCAATCTTTTAAAATGCTTCTGTATATTTAATAACATGAACATCAATGCTAGCCTGCATTTTTAAAGCATACAGAAATATGCTATTGGAAATAATTTTGTACTGAATTTTACTGTTTTGTTCTTTAATTGTAATATTTATATTAATCACCAGCATGATGTTAAATTTTGACAGTATTTTTGTATATGATTACTTTGAGGGAATAAAAAGTAATGTTTGAATAAATGCATAATGTTTAGCAGATTAATATTAACCTAACTGTTAGGAGAGTTATATTAACATATTGAGAGAAGTAAGAGTTTTATAGTACCTTAAAACATTGCTGTGTAAGCTTTTACAGAACATCTTCTTAGCGCCCTTTTCCATTATTGAAATTAGTATGTATTGTATACATATTAATGGGGGGAGTGTGGCCACCATAACTTCAAAAATGGGTATTAAGTAGCTCTGGAAGGTCTGTTGTAACTTCAAATGGCCGTTAAGTGACTTGTCATAAGTCAAGAACTATATACCTTACATACATACATGTTTATGTTTGTTTGTGTGTGTGTGTGTGTACAGTGCTTTCAGAAAGTATTCAGACCCCCTTCACTTTTTTCCATTTTGTTATGCTGCAGCCTGATTCTACAGTTGTTGAAATTCATTTTTTCCTCATTAATCTACACTCAGTACCCCATAATGACAAAGTGAAAACAGAATTTTAGAAATGTCTGTAAATTTATTTAAAAAAAGAAAACAAAAGAAAAAAACTGAAATAACATATTGGCATAAGTATTCAGACCATTCACTCAGTACTTTGTTAAAGCATCTTTGGCAGCAATTACAGCCTCGGGTCTTTTGGGGTATGATATGACAAGCTTTGCACACCTGGATTGAGGGATTTTCTGCCATTCTTCCTTGCAAATCCTCTCAAACTCAGGTTGGATGGTGACTGTTGCTAGACAGCCATTTTCAGGTCCCTCCAGAGATGTTCAGTAGGGTTCAAGTCAGGGCTCTGGGTGGGCCACTCTAGGACATACATAGAGTTGTCCCTAAGCCACTCCTATGTTATCTTAGCTATGTGTTTATGTTGTCATGTTGGAAAGTGAACCTTTGGCCCAGTCTGAGGTCCTGAGCACTGTGGAACAAGTTTTCATTGAGGATATCTTCGTACTTTGCTCCATTCAGCTTTTCCTCAACTTTAACCAGTCTCCCAGTCCCTGCTGCTGAAAAACACCCCTTCAGTATGATGCTGCCACGATCATGCTTCACTGTTGGGATGGTATTGAGCAGGTGATGAGCAGTGCCTGGTTTCTTCCAGACATAGCATTTAGAATCGTGGTTTCCTCAGACCAGAGAATCTTGTTCCTCGAAGTCTGGGAGTCCTTCAGGTGCTTTTTTGCAAACTCCAAGCTGGCTTTCATGGGTTTTGCACCAAGGAGAGGCTTTCGTTTACTCACTCTGCCATAAAGACCAGATCGGTGGAGGGCTGCAGTGATGGTTGTCCTTCTGTAGAGGTTGTTACAAGAGCTGTACAAAATATTTGAAGAGGTGTTTCCCAAATATGGACATAAGCAAAACCATCCTTCCTCAAAGAATTAAAGCCGCCGTGTATTCCAGAAAGCTTAGCTGCACTGCTTTTTGCAAGTCTATACTTCGCAGACTCTTCCAGCAAGACGTGTTTTCTCTGAACACACACGTACATGGAGATAATCTGAAAAGGCCTTCAAAGCAATTGAGCTGAATCTTCAGAAAGATGCTTCTGTGCTTTGAGGGAGGGCACTTTCTTCATGCGCGTGCACTTCGCAAAATGCCCTTTAAATGCTTTGCATTGAATCCTTTGTCCAGTTGTGCCTGTGAATTTTCAGAGGGTTAGCTGCTAATCAATTCCAACAGGAACAAGAGTTTGGTAGTTTCTCTGAAAAGACTCTAGCAGTGTCCTTATGGTGAAATTGAGTTTTCTATCAAATTAAATAGAATGAGGTGGCTAGACAGAAAAAATTGCCAGTGACCAAAATATGATGAACACCGATCTCCATTTTACACTGAGGTAAATAACAGTGTGTTTGTTGCTGTTGATAGCTCCAGATTGCAGCCAATCTGTAATCTAATGTGAATAATTGTCTTCTTACGTTATAGATTTCTCATTGGAGATCATACCGGCATGAATTATTATTGTACCTTGAACACTTCCTTCAGGCTCTTATTAAAGGATGCCATTACTTTCCTCCTTCCAACAGAACTAAAACAATGTGGAAAAGTTTTGTCTCCTGTTTGATGGAACAAGGATTAATATCTGCAGGAACAAAAGACCCTGCATCTTGTCAATATTTAATAGATTTCATTCCACTCAGGCCAATATATTTTATTTTAGATGACAACTTTTATTATCAGAGCATGAGATATGAAGTGTACCAGTTAGCTCGCCAGTGTAAGTTTGATTTTATATTTTACACCAGCGATTCAACCTTACAACTCAGCAATGCAAACCATATGTTAAGCTATTGTAGTTAAAAGGGTTTTTTCTGAGAGTTTGGATGGTTTTATAACTGCTGAGCAAATTCCCTGGCCAGCAACTAACTAGCTTGGTTTTTCTCTGGTATTGAAACAAATTTGGCCTTAGAGACCTACACCAAAGGGGGAAGCTTTTCTCATTTGAAGGAAAATGTAATCCACTCACTTAATCCACTCACTCAGGAGGGGAAAACTGATCACCCATGGTCCTGTTCAATACCTTCAGTATTCCAAAACTATTTTTCATGTAATGCATATATGTATTTTAAAATTCTCTTGCTTGCATATTGACAAAAAAATTAACCTGAAAAACTTGTTTAAATAGCTAAGCAGATTTTTGTGTGTGATTACATATAATAAATGTTTAATTGCCCCTTAACCCATTGTTTAATTTTTAATTTCAGTAAAGATTTTTGCATCTTACACAGTATATGTGCAATGAGTTTTAAATGACTGTTTTTGATACACATATTTTTTTTATTTTCTAGATTCGTTGGGCTTCTGTCAACTGTTCCTAGACTGCCAGGTTGAAATTTGTTTAGAGAGAAATGCTCAGAGAAAGCAGCCATTACCTGAAGAAACTATATTTGCAATGGCACAAAAATTAGAATGTCCAAATCCAAAGAAATACACATGGGAGCAAAATAGCCTTATTCTGAAAAGTGCTGAATTTTCATTAGAAGATAAGTATGTGATCTCATTGGAACAATTATTTATATTTTTTTTTATAATAGTCTCTGGGCATTCTTGGTAGAATTCTTGCTTCAGAGGAAAGGAAAACTTCTCACATAGCCTAGTACAGGGCTTTTCAACCTTTTCACCCATTGTACCATTTTTAGGATATGGCAGTATCGAAATACCACCAGTCGCATAGCAAGGTGTCAAAAACTTGATGATCCCCCCAAAAGGAAAAAAGTAATTAAGTACAGGTAGTCCTCGACTTACAACAGTTCGCTTAGTGACTGTTTGAAGTTACAATGGCATTGAAAAAAGTGCCCCCCCCCCAAGCTGGAGCCTGGCGCTGATCCTGGCGCTTCTGCTGAGCCCTGACAGCCTGCAGCTCAAGCCATCTCTCGCTCAGGCTTGTGTGGTACTGCCACCGGTTCAGCTCATTCCCCTCCCCTGCTACCACTTTTCTAGGATGGTCGCGTACCACCTGCCAGGTGCCAATGTACCATAGGTGGTACCTATACCACTGGTTGAAAAGCCTTGGCCTAGTAAAAGTCACTTTTGGAAGCTATGGGGAGGGGTTCTACTTGTAGAAAAATTCATATTCCTCTGTACTGAATTGCAGTTTGTACATTTAACTTTTTAAGGGTTTAGCTTTTTAGATGGTTGTTACTGACCCCATTGGTCTCAGACATTATCCTTGATGCTAGTCATTCATATGCGTGCATTTGCAATTTAATTTTATATTTCTTTTCAGTCTTCAGGTGTTTAATTTGTTATCTTCTGCTTTGGAAAATCCAGTAAAACCCATGGAAGTGAATACAGAAGAAAAGGTACCTTGGATTCTGTGGGTAACAAGTTCAGGAGATTTTCTATACGTAGGAAGCCAGTTATGGGGATAACATATTTAGCCCCTGACATTATGGGTAGAAATAAACAAGAGAGCTGAAAAGTTATTCATCGTTTTATACCAGGAGTGTCCAGTTTTTTTCTAAAATGGAGGATTGCATTATTTATTTATTTATTAAATTTATATGCTACCCATCTCACTATAAAGTAACCCTGAGCATCTTGTAACATCATAATGTAGAACAAGTGTCGTTGACACTTCAGAAGCAGGTGAAATGGGATAGATGCAAAATCCAGATTCATTTTAATTATATTGTATCTAATCAATGTTTTGCATTTGTGTCACATGTTTGTTCAATTAATGGAGAGGCTTTAGAGGCCACACTCTTTGAAGGCCACAGATTGCACACTCTGTGGAAGCCAAACATTATTTATATAAAAATATAAATCTCATTTACTGTTTAATTTTTGCTTCCCAAAACCTGAGAAGAATAAAAAAATGATTACAACTCGGAAGGCTCTTAATACACTTCACCTTATTGCTTAAGTGGTGTCCAACTCGCTGTGTCATGTGACGTGTCGCGATGTGTCACGACTTTCTTTGCATTGCCAGAGCTGGGGTGGGCATGGCCTCCACATGATGCAACTGCCCACGGGCCGGCAGTTTGACACCCCTGCACTAGAGGTTTGGATGTGTTCTTTAGTTATCTGTTCTTTCAATTCAATTGATGGAAAGTTGCCATGAGAAAAGATTGCATTATGTAGTTGTATGTGGGAATAAACTTGGAAGAAAAAAGGAAGAGCTGCAGCCGAGACAATGATCTGATAAACAGAATTTTAATCTGAAGCAGGAAGATTGGTGAAAATGCCTCAGAAGTGCACCTCCCTAGTTCTGGGCAGAGAAAATCACCCAAAAGTTGTATCTTGGTATCTTTCCCCCTGTTGCCCCATAATCTTTGGTGCCATGAAACTTCTCCTTTTTCTCAAAATTGAATAAACACATTTCTGGACATCAAATGAGGTGGAAAGGAATGACAGAATTGTTAAGGCTTTAAGAAGCTTGTTCATCATTGGCAAAAATATGTAGTGATTATGTGGAGAAGGAATACAGGTAACAAAATGGCTCATTTCAAGAATTATTTCCCGTTTTCATTACAATATCCCTATTTAAGCTAAAGTTACAGAGGTGAAGGCAATACTGTTCATTCAACCCTTGTGTATAAAATTAAATTGTGAAGGGAACTTGCTGCAGAATTGGAAGAAAAAGCAGACACTTTGGGGCTATGCCAAAATTTGGCAGGGAAGGCGAATAACTTTCAGAAAGTAACCTGGAATTGTTCCAGTGTTATGGGAATACAAACTAATCTGTATTGTTAATTCTTAATTTATCAAATTTAGACACTGTCCATCTTACTGTCCAGAATTCTGGATACCTACGATGGAAAAAGAATCACTAACTTTTATTAAAACGATCTTGGTTGATCTTGGCTAGGAAATGGATCGGGCTATATGTGCAGGCAATGTTCTACATCAAGCTGATCAAGCTCTCAGGCGAATAATCTCTGAAACAATGCAAAACACTAAAGGTATGTTGAACAAGAGATGACTTCACTAGAGGCAATATAACTTTTTTCTTCTTCTGAGCATTTTATGCAAGGGCAGGGTCTGCGTTTTTTAAGATTAACTGAGTGTTGATCCATTGGTTGCAATAGGAATTGACTGACTGGCTTGTTTCTTGAGCCTAATGTCATGGGCTGAGGGAGAGTGACTGTCCCAAAGTCAGCCAGCCAGCCAGCTTTCACGCCTAAGGAGGAACTAGAATTTACAGATTCCTGTTTTCTAGCCTGGCACCTTAGCCACTGGATTGAACTAGAGGGAATTTAACTATTGCTCTGAATGCTAATAAATGCTAGTGCTAATAAATGATGCCTATGGAACATTTTATTGCTGAGTGTTTTCATACACAGAAGAGATCATATATATTATTGGCAATAGAAAAGTACTTGGCACATCACTGTTCTGCAGTGGCAGATCTGGTTTATATATTACACTAGACTTTTCTAGCCAGGACATCAGAGCGCTGGGCTGGCTGTAATATACTGAGAAGGATAGTAATCTCACAGCTGAAAGGTTGGTTGTTTTTTATTGGGAGGTTGGGTATTATAGGAATAAAATTAAGCCTCAAAAGCTTAGTATATATTGGTAGTACCCTATGGAGTTGATAAGCTGATTTATAGACTAAGCCACAATTGGCTGGGTTTATACAACACATGAAACATATTTTTTATACTACAGTGGCTGATTGTAGAACCTCCAAAGCCAAAGAAAACAAACCACATTATGACCTAGACTTTATAGTTGATCTATTTTATAGTTGTAGCCATCTTTCTTTTTAGATAATAGCTTTTCCTTCTCAAATGTTAAGATAATATAAAATTTAATATAAAATTTAAACTACAGCATTTTATCGTTTGTTTTGTTTTCCAGCCAAAGGCCTTACTCCAAGCGAGATGAAGATTTTGTCAGAGGAGCTCAACAAGCAGAAAATAAAATTCTTAGAAAATTTAAAACAAAAGACTAATAAAGAAAAGCAGTTCTATGTAGAAAATAGCATATTTAATATAACTTCTGTATTTTCCAAAGAGACAGATGATATTGTTAAAAAGTATTTAAATAAACAGTAGCATTTTATTTTGCTTCGTCAAGTGGTATCAACTGTGTGATGGAAATTTAACAATAATAAAACTATAATAGATACAGTTTCCCTGTGTAATTTTAAAAACGGTTAAATTTAGTTCTGAATGGTAGAATGTATTGTTCAATTTGAGGAAATGTTATTTCCTGCTTGAAGATGTTTAAGGGGCACTATTTTTTTTCTGCCAGCTTTCCATATTAGTGGCCTATAATTATGGCTCTTGTAAAGATAGACAAGTCTAATTCTAAGCTCCTCATAAAAGCCAGGCAAACAGGCTGAAAGATCCCCATAGCTTGCTAAATAAAAGCAATAAAGTGTTAGGATAATTTTTAACATATGTGTACTACACCAATTTGTTCATAATACCTAATGGACTTTGGCTGATCAGAAAAAACCCTAAACAATATTAGACATGCTTATATGCTTAGACGGGCAAGTTCACTAAGAAATCCCAGGAATTTTAAAAAAGGCTAAAAAAGGCAGTGATCAACCATTTCCATATTATTGCCAGGATATCTACATGTTACCAGATGAGCTTAATATGAATAAATGTACTTTATTACCGTCCTAATCAAAATAATGTTTAAAGTATTGTGATTCAATTTTTTCATTCAAAATGAAATTTTGTTAGTGGCAAAAATAGGAAATCCAGGTTAGAATGTATTCTTGCATCCCCTTTATATTTTACCATATATAAAAAAATACATAACTTTCTGATTTCAGGCAACTCACTATTCTCTGTGGTGTCCCACTTGCCCCATTTTCCTGTTTTCAGTACGATGTCTAGTCAAGGTTGGTGATCATTAATGCTATTTATTCTTTTGATATTACTGTACAGGTAGTCCTCAAATTACAACGGTTCATTTAGCAACTGTTTAAAGTTAAAATGACACTGAAAAAATTGAGTTGATTGTTTTTCACACTTACAACATTGCAGTATCCCCATTGTCACATGATCAAAATTCAGACACTTGGCAACTGACTCGTATTTATGACGGTTGCAGTGTCCCAAGGTCATGTAGTCATCTTTTGCAACATTCTGACAAGCAGTCAACTTAACTGCAGTGATTCACTTAACTATGGCAAGAAAGATTGTATAATGGAGCAAAATTGTCTCACTTAGCAACAGAAATTTTGGGCTCAATTGTGGTCATAAGTTGAGGACTACCTGTACATAATAAGGATGTATTTTTTTTCAACCACATATTTCTTAAGCCTGAGCGTGCATGATCTGCAATATTACTTGTTATTGACATTTTTCATCATACTGTATATTATCTGTCCTAAATACAACGTCCATCTTTCTCTGCATTGTCTTGCTTATATATGTTCAACTCTTTATTGTAACAGCTTTTGTTCTTTGGTCATAACTTGGTCATTGTCCATGCTTCTATTTACTGGCAAGACCTAAAAGCAAACAATCTGTCAACAGTGTTTAAATTTTTCAAAAAAAAGCCATCTGTTCAGTACTGTTTCTTCATTGCCACATGGCCATTTGTTGTTGAAACCTATAATTGTTGCACTCTGAACTTTTTTTGGCCAGTTAGAGAAAAGAAATAGGTAACATCCCATTTTCATTTCTTGGGCTTCGATATTTTAAAATACAACATTCACAAGTGCAGTAAGGCAGAACAATCCAAATTGTTCATGAGTGAAATGCTAGAATGGGACAGTACTGTCAATGATCCTGTCACTTGCTTCCCTAGTATAATTGGCACCAACTTGCTACTGGCATTTTTCTGTTAAACTTGCCCTCCTTACCACCTAGCAAAACAGGACGGACAAACTGGTTATCAGTTAGTAGACTACAATAATCTAATTGACAAGTTGTATTCTGTATTTACCCATTATTGCAAGCGATCACTGGTAATTATATAGATCAGCGGTTCTCAACCGGTGGGTCGCGACCCCATTTGGGGTCGAATGACCATTTCATGGGGGTCGCCAAACAACGCAGTCCGCCATTTTTTTCCCCTTTTCCTTAGCTGTGCTTCTCCCTTTTATTCTATTGGCTTTTGAAAGCCAGTAGAATAGACTCTCTTGAATAGAGTCTAATTCTATTGGCTTTCAAAAGCCAATAGAAATTGTCCAGGCTGTCTCTGCCCTGCTGAGCCCGCCAAAAGTCCCATTCTGCAAACGGTGCTGCAAGTTGTCTGCAGCGAAGGCGAGCTGTCTGGAAGTTCCACCCCTCCTTGCTGAGCAACTACTAAAAATGTAAGTAAAAGAGGGCCAGGGGTGAGAGGCCGGCAGGCGCAGGGACGGTTGCTGGCGTGCGTGGGGCCCAGCGGGTGCCTTACCTCCCTTGGGCTGGGCCAGCTGGTGGCCCAGCTGGTGGTCGGCCTGCGCCGTCTCTGCCGCTTGCCAGCTATGCCTCGCCCGGCGCAGGGGGGGGCACCACGCATGCGTGGCGCTCCCAGGCAGGGAAAGTCCTCGACTTATGACTGGTTGGGTAGTCCTCGACTTACAACCGGTTGGGGGTCGCGGCATTAAAAAGGTTGAGAACCACTGATATAGATAAAAGATGTTATGTGAGATAGATGGCGAGGAAATAGTGTGGATATTCAGTAGTACAAATTATTCAAAATAATTATCTGTTGTAAGAAGATTATATAAAAATATTTTCCAAAATCCAGGTTTTTTGTATGGTTATAGAAACAGCCTTTTTCCTTTGGAATAGAAACTAAATATTTTTTTAGGAACAACGGCAAAATATCAGTGAGAAAAAAAAATATTGAGACTGAAAGAACTTCCAACAGGGAATTTGCTGAGGTTTTGTATTTATACAGATGGAAAACCTGGCTAGCATTTTTTAAAGTTATATTCTTTTGTCAAAAAATTAATAGAGTGAAACAAAACAAGGCTATGTGCTTCCTGTCCAATACTATAATTGGGTTAAAAACAGCACAGCATTTTGGTTCCTATCACAAAAGCACAAACATACTGACAGTTCCATGAAAGCGGAGTGCTTTGATATCTCATGCAAATATGGCTTTTGTTATTGAAATCATGGACTTTAAATAAATTTACTGATTTCTCACTACTTTTGGCAGTTGTACCCCATTCAGCTTTAAATTAGATCTGTATGACAGACTTATGATTTTTTTCTCCCTAGCAATAGCAATAGAATTTAAGCTTATATACCACCCCATGGTGTTTTATAGCACTCTCTGGCAGTTTACATTTTTTTTGCATTGTGCCCCCAACAATCTGGATCCTCATTTTACCGACCTCAAGCTTAGAAGGATGGAAGGCTAAGTCAACTTTGAGGCTCATCAGGATCAAACTGTGAGCAGAATTTGCCTGCGATACTGCATTCTAACCATGAGCCACCAGAGATCGTATCCTACTTATCAGTCTTTTGTGTTACAGGCAGCAGTTCACAATCAATAGGACTGCAAAAGGCATCAGGGAAACTCTAAAATAAGTGGAATTGTCCCTTGGGCAGCACTGCCACTTTAATGCCAAAGTCTAAACTCATCTGAATAAAACAAAAAAAAATGATAACAGAATATTAAAAGTATTAGCATTTATTGAGCTTTTGCTGCAATTTTATTGATGTAGAACCCAATTTTTAAATTTCTACATTTCCTAAGGACCTATTAATGAAGATATTTTATGTAATGACCCTATCTGGAAGTTGTACAGATAATCAAAGATCACAAGAATTGATACTTAGACTTGCACTGTCTACTTAGTGGAGTCCAGTGTAACCTAGTCAGTAATTTTGGCCAGATTGGTCCAAGTAGAAATCTTTGGAAGCTGCAAAACTATGTAGTGTTGTTATAGGGATCCAAAATATCTGCACATCAGCTTTCCCTAAAGAGATCACCGATAAAGACTTTCTCATAAATTCCTATGCACACACCCATATGTACTTTTAATCCTCATCAAAATGGTAGAATATACCATTTGTATTTTAATTTGGAGGTAAACCAGAACATTACCTCTTTCAAATGCAAGACCTGCAGAAGTCTTGGATCCCTGTATCAGCACTACGTATTTTGAAACTTCCTAAGATTTCTGCATGGACCAGTGTGGCGATACAAAGACCCAAATCACTGACTAGATTACAGCTGACTTCTGAACATATGTATCACTGGAATCTGCTAGAAAGGAACGTCAGGTAAGTAGATAATTATCTGCTGTTTTAAAAAAAACCCTGCAAATATTTAATATTTTACTCAACTGTTAAGCTATTGAATATTGCTGTACTTCTCATAAAAACATTTACAGCATTTTTGCAAATAAAAGTATCAATCACACAAATCTTTACCATCATAGACGAGCAATGCAAATAGGACTTGAATACACTTGGGAGATCCCCCCCCCAAAAAAAAGAAATATCTCCCACTCTGAAGAAATATATGAGTCCACTGATTTGCTTTAGGCAAATGGGGTCATCAACAGCTATCCTGCCCGAATCATAGCTACTTACCAGATGCTTCTACCTTTCGTGCTTTACTGCAGATGGGCAACATCTAAACCCAACTTCCATTAGCAGATATGTCCAGCAGTGATGGGAATTTCAGTGCCAGGCTGTTTGTGACATCCTTTTGCAAAAGATTTCAAACACCACTGGTACCTGTGGTAACCAGCAAAACGTCTAATAAAAAAAAAAAATCAGGAAATTCTAAAAATGCTCTGACCAGAGACTGCATGTAAGAATATGATACCTTCTTTCCTTACACCCTGTACTCCTTCTTCCAAAGCTTTTCCTCAAGGTCTGGAAAGGTCCGTTTTTCAGAGGGACCAAAAGGTTTGAAGATGAAGCTTGTAATCACATTCCCAAACATGAAAAGAAGCAGGGTTTTAAACAGTTCAATAAATGCACTCTATCATATTTGAAATGGGTTTGTATGTGCATATTTACTTGTTATGCAAGGGATAGCAATATAAAGTATATTTTTGTTTCCTGTGAAATAAAAAAATATACAATAAAAGTGCATTTCAGTGTTTTTCTTCTGTATGCTATTAAAGAATTATGTGCTATAAACTAGTATTCTGTAGTCTCTACTAGCATAATTTGTTTAAAGTGCCTATTTTTTTCCTAAGTATTTTTTAAGACAGAAGTATTGTACATCTTATATCCACTGCAGTTCATTAATGTGATTCTGTATATTTGCATTTTGCCTTACCATGTCCAGAATCTTTCAAGAAAACCAAGTCTAGACTATTCTTTTTCCATTGTTACCTCTATGACTAGACTGCTGTTTCCAAAAAAAGAAATGGTTTATGGTTAAAATGACCACACAAAACGTGAATGGGTCATCGAAATCATATAACTTTCTTGCTGTTTCATTTCCATTAAAAGACGTTACTGCTTAGAAGGCAAAGGCAAAATAGCACAGACATCTGCACTTAAAGGCAATGAAATATTTGTAATGTGCTGCAAAGCTAGTCAAAAAAAATATGGTACATTCTTTTAACACATTACCCATTTTGTTCTAAAGTTTTCTTTTTCCAGAGTTTTGAAAAGTTGCAAATGTTTTAACACCAGGCATTGTTTGGTTGTTTTCTGCCCCCCACCCTTAAGAACAGAATAGTAGTACTGGAAGGTGGATATTTTTGTACTCTTATTTCACATTATTACTTCCACAATGTACCATTACAAAAGGAACATCATTTAAACACCTGACTGCAATTGCAAGATCTTGGGTGTAGGGAATTCTAGATTTTCTTGTAGACCTTATATTTGCTGGTAATGCTTAGAGAATTTTCTAGCAGTTTAGCATGTGGCCCCACACATACAATCTTATAGCCCCCATACTGATTGTATTAGGCTAATTTAAGAAAAGCAGAACTATAGGCTATTTTGTGGCATAGGCTAACATATGGAATTGTAGCTGTGCTTGAACTGATCCAAGATTTCGAATTATATAAAGTAAATCCACATTTTGTTGTTCCAGCAAACCTGTTTAGAAGGTATGATTGCACTGTAAGCTTCACTTTTGTTTTAGGAGCTCAGTATAAAGAATACCACCATGACTAGCAAACATATCATCGGCAAAATTATGACGATATATTGTCTGCATCCAACATTAAATTATTATCTGGATTTCTCAAAAGGCAACTTTCCAATTATGTAAGAAACAGAAATGTGTTTAAACAAATAAATAAAAGAAAGCACAGTGTACGTTAAAAATTCAGTCAATGCTGGCTATGTTGGCCTCTGGCAAAATGGCAAGCAAAGTCATACTTGTTTTTACACTTGCAACCACAAATGTTGCATTGGAAAGGATTCTCAAACCCATGGCATCCCATATGAATAGTGTACAGGATATTGTCAGCAAAATACATATCACAGTGCTGGCAGTGATGCAGAAGCTGAGGATCTTGAACCGGAAGAGTTGGTGCTGGCGTACTTGGTTGACTGTTACTGATACTTGGTGTGCTGGCCTGGGCACTGTGGTCACTACTTGGACCAGCCACCGGACTGTAATTTCTTTGCGAATGTACAGGACGAGGATCTGGACTTGTGGGGGATGAGTTCTGGGGAATACTGGTTGTTACAGCTGGAACAGAAGTTGCTGCAGCAGGTTGCTGCATCATAAAAGGCTTTTCATCTTGACATGGTACAACATCAGGAGATGGCGGGTTCTGGTTTTCAGGGGGGAGACTAGACAACTGTCCTGCTAAAGTAGATAGCTGGTTTAAAGGGTTATCTATCATAAGGTCTTGTGAATCTCTCGGCAATCCACTAGTCTCTGTTGGCTTTGTTATACTTTCATAGGCTTCAGCCTGAATATTTGGAATTTCATGAGTGAAATCATTAAGATAGTCTGACTTCTGAACCACCATGGAAGGTGGACTTAAGTTAATTAGTGCTCTTCGGCTATACCCCAAGTTACTGGTCTTTTTTTGCAAAACACCCCACATCTTCTTGCTACTAAGGGAAGGCCTTGTACCCTTTATTGGCACCATTTTGTGTTTGCGTCTCCGGTGGTGAGACAAGTTGCTTCTGTCACTACAGCGGAAGGAACACAGTTCACATTTGTAAGGTTTTTCACCAGTATGAGATCGCATATGAGCTTCCAGGTGACGTTCATAGGCTGACGCAAAGGGACATAGGTGGCATCTATGTGGCTTTTCACCTGGAGAAAGAAGAAGAAGGCTTTATTTTGATCACTTTTTTATGGCAAAGCACCCTAATAAAGCAAAGGAAGCAAGTAACTACAAATAAATCAGTGGCCGAAAGAAGGCATTGAAATGAGATGAGTTCTAAGGTCAGGACTTCTACTTTTAGCAAGTTCTAGGCCAGTGGTTCTCAACCTTTTTAATGCCGCGACCCCCAACCAGTCGTAAGTCGAGGACTACTCAACCGGTCGTAAGTCGAGGACTACTCAACTGGTGCAGCACCGTTTGCAGAATGGGACTTTTGGCGGGCTCAGCAGGGCAGAGACAGCCTGGACAATTCCTATTGGCTTTTGAAAGCCAATAGAATTAGACTCTATTCAAGAGAGTCTATTCTATTGGCTTTCAAAAGCCAATAGAATAAAAGGGAGTAGCACAGCTAAGGAAAAGGGGGGAAAAAATGGCGGACTGCGTTGTTTGGCGACCCCCGTGAAATGGTCGTTCGACCCCAAATGGGGTCCCGACCCACAGGTTGAGAACCACTGTTCTAGGCAGTTAAGACACATAGCAATTACAAGAACCAATTAGATCCAAAATCTAAATTGCAAAAAAATTAAGAAGTCTGCCACATGACAAATATAATGTAGTGTTTTTCTTGGCTTAACTTATATTTAAATTTTAAGCATTTGTTGGAAAATATAACAGGAAAATACATGCAATGTATTGAAATGTGCACTACAAAAATATAAAATATACAGATACAATGATACCTGTGTGAATTCTGATATGTTCTATGAGTCGTGCTGTTCCTTTGCTGGCATAGTTACAATATCGGCATTTTAATTTCCCATCGAAAGTTCTTTCAAAACCATCTACTAACACTCCTGAGTTTTCATCCAGTGGAACTTCTACTGAAGGATGATCTAATCCATTTTGATCACCTTCTGTCCCTGCTGTAATTAACAACAGAAAGGCACATCAAGCTTCTTATTGGGAAACATTCTACAGGTTGCAGGGAAAGAGGAAAAAGGAGTATTTTTTTAAACACTGAGCCTCTTTTCATTTATACAGATGTATAAAAGCTCAGCTGCACCGTGTTAACCTACCTCCTTGAAGTGTCTCTGCATCTTTGTCCCCGCTAACAGAGCCTGAAATCATGTTCACATGGTGAGTCTGTTGAGTTAGGTACTCCTGAAAATCTTTTACAAAATCCAAAGGTTCTGGTTTCTTTTCACCCATAGTCACACTACAAATCCACAATGTTGCAAACCTAAAACAGGACATCAAGTTAAAATTTATACCCAAACTGTTTCAGGATTTAGTACAGTAATTTGTTGCAAAAGTACCATTCTATCTAACACAATAAAAAAAGAAGGTGGTAAGATAAATATAAGTGTCGTGTGTGCATATACTTCCTTGTTGCTTTTCCTAAGACATTTTAATTTGAAAAAGAAAAACAACAAAATGAAGAGCTAACATTTTGAAAGGCAATGTGCCAATATCTAGCACCATTTTCATTTTCCGTAATCCTTCTGGTTTATATAGAGACATTCTTAGAAAATTAAACAAATGGGGGCACTCCAGTAATTAGTTTAATGAAAAGAAGGACTAGGGGTGACATGATAGCAATGTTCCAATATCTAAGGGGCTGCCACAAAGAAGGGGTATTCTTCAAAGCACCTGAAGGCAGGACAAGAAGCAATGGACGGAAACTAATCAAGGAGAGAAGCAACCTAGAACTAAGGAGAAATTTCCTGACGTGAGAATAATTAATCAGTGGAATGACTTGCCTCCAGAAGTTATGGGTGCTCCAACACTGGAGGTTTTTAAGAAGAGATTGTCTGAAATGGTGTAGGGTTTCCTACTTGAGCACTGGACTAGAAACCCTATAACTCCCACCCAACTCTGTTATTCTGTTAATTCATTTGTAAATATGTCCATCTAACCAATTAAAAAGAGATGGACAAACTCGGCTAGTAAAGATGCTTACAGGACTAAAGCTGCAGTGCCACCATACCAGTTTGCCTTATGGTAAATAGGCTGCTTCTAACTGGGCCAGTCATAATGACAATCATTTTATGAATAAGCAAGTTCCACTGGTTGCTACTTGGTGAGAACACATCTTACTCTCAACATTCTAAACAAGCCCAAATAAACTCTCCACCCAACAGAAACTGGTTGGGTTTGCAGAGCAAAGTCAGTTTTGTAGTAGTGATTTACTGGAAACTACAATTGTTAATAGTTAAGTCACAATAAAAAGCAATCCCATCATGGCTTAGTGTAGTACATGAAACCAGTGATTTACCACTACATAAGATTGTTTATATTAGATCTTTATAAAATTATTAACTCTATTTCTTCAACACAAAACATTTTGCAATGATTGAAGTCTCGCATATATGTTTTATGATTATATAAGTTACTATAAAATTATTAAACATTCCTTGAGCACTTAAAAATTCATCGCAATCCCCAAATATGCATTTCACTTCATTAAAATGGATCCTTAAAACAAGACTGGCTCTCCAGCTGGTGCTGAACTAGAAGGGCTGAATAAGGGCTGAATATTGCCCACCTCTGTGCTATGAAAAAAAGAAACCCATGATTTGACTAACAATTAAAATGGTGGTTATGTGCTTTTAAAGGCACGATTTCTAAAATGACAATTTTCCTATTAGAAATATCATACCTGAATTTGTTATGTTGAAAACATTGTGAATTCTTCACATTTTACAAGATTTCTTATGAGATATAAAGCAAATGTGTCCCACTTTTCCTAACAGAAAAAAAAATCAGCAAGAACATATTAGCTAAATTAGCACATCTATTCTTTGTAGTTCAACAGCTATAATGTCCTATATCACATCAAAATTATAGAAAGTAGAAATAAGTTACACCATAATTTTCAACTTAATGAATATTTGTGAAAGTTCATCAAAATGTACAAATCAACTCAACCGCCAACAACAGAAAGATCACAATCCACAAAAAAGTAACCTTCCTTTATACATAAGGAATCTCATAGAATGATCATTACTAGATCAGTCCCATCATTTGGAGTAATAATAATTTACAAAGCAATGAAGTCACCACAAAGCACCACTTTGTTGCAAACCGAAAAACCCTGCAACAAAGGAAAATAAATCAGAAGTTATCTACAAAATAAAATAAAATAAATGTAGGCAAACAACACTATATTGGATGAAATAGCGAAAGATAGCTAAACATATCCACAAATGCCAACTTGCTGTTAAAAGGTATGACTCGATTTTATTAATCACGCTCCTGGAGGATAACTTCTTAGAAACAGTAAAACTATTACAACAAGCCAGATTGAAAAATGCAAGAGTTTTTTTAGAAATATGTCACTCCAACCCAGCAACAGACATAGAGCAGGGGTCCCCAACCTTGGCAACTTTAAGACCTGTGGAGTCCCAGAATTCCCCAGCCAGCCAAGTTTGGGGACCTCTGACATAGAGGATGAAACTCTTAGCTATGGACCTGTCAAAAAATATAATCAAGGTCCAGTAATAGTAGGCCAGCTCAACACCCAACAACATTCCTTTCATCACACAGCAATCGGTCAGCACCTACAAACTAGACTCATCTCCTTATCACAATTATAATTACAATTCAAAAACCATACACAAAAAAGAATGCTATCCTCCCAAAAGGCTATCCCTTCATACAGCTATAACATAGGAAACAATCAACATACAAATAAGATAGAATACCAGTTAAATAATTTACTAACAAGTCATCACATGCAAAACAATATCCACCTACCATATTCTATCTTAGCACACACAAAGAAGGCAAGATAGAAAGATATATAACCTCAGTCAATCAATGAACCTTGTCTATCCAAAATTCCAGTGCTGATGTTATCTAGTAGGGCAATGAAATACCTACAACCCAAAGCCAACCTTGGAAACTGCAAAAATTCAACATGCCAAGACTGAACTATATCTATTTATTCCACTGCAATATATGTTACCATCAGAAATTTTGTCTTGTCGGACTTCACTTTGATCCTACATTTTGCTATCTTCTTAAAACTTCACTATCACCTCACATTATGCTCTCTCAGTTTCTTCTTCAGTTGTTCCCTTTTATAAGCAAATTCCTTGGGATTTACTTTTTCTCAGCTTTTCAATAGACCAACCTGGCTCTGTTTCAACATGATTACCTGCAAGTCCCAGTCTAATCTTTAAGCTGCCTTTTCATAGAATCGTGCCTAGAACAGCTACAATTGATTTAATCCCAATATAAAGAAACAAAACTAAACATTACGAAGCAGATGGTGACTGTGAAGGAAAATAATAAAATAAAGCTACAAACCCTTCTCCAAACTCCTTCCTCCTTTTTCTTTCTCTTTCTTTTTCATTCCCATCTCTCTGCATCTCCAATTGCAAATTATCCATTTCCTCTGCTGTCCCTGCTCACCCTCCAACTTGCATATGTAAACTAGACCAGCCCCAGGCTAATGCGTAACTTAGACATGGCTATGTTTCCACCAAAATTGCCTTTTAATCCTATCACAAAACAATGAAAATTTCTCACCTAAAATAAGAAGAGAGACCACAGATAGCCCATCCTCTTAACAATGGAATTCTTAGCAGCTTTGCTTTACAAATACATTTTCCTTTGTTTAAATATCTATCTTTCTTGCTCAAAATGTGTCCATGAATCAGTTCGAGATTTTCTGCTCATCAACCCCAAAATGTATAAAGATCTCTGCCTTTCTATTATTCAGGATCTTTCTTTCTTGCAGAGCAGGCACCCAATGATCACTGAATAAAGATTGGCCATTTCTCCTCAGCATTATGCTCCGTTCTTCAGCTAAAATTTCATGACACTGATAATATTTTTCTTCACGCTTCTTAAAATGTTTTACTTAATTATGTAAAGCTTTCATCAGTGGTATGTTCAAATACGGCTAAAGTTCTTTTTTATTATTAAATGTTAATATTATATAACATTTGAATCCACAAAGCATTTATATCAGTTAAAAATTTGTAAACTTAAATATTTATAGGATATCATTTGTTGCATGCCCTATAGTTTTAGTACGATTGGCTTATCTAGAGAGCAAAAATTCTAATTTAGAGCATTCTGTAGTGAACATTATATGGGTTATAAAGATTTATCAATTACAATGCTGGACTCAATAGGGACACATTTATACAAACATTCGGTTTATGATCAGACTTCTTAACAAACAACAGAAAAATGCACAACACAGGAACTGATTACAAACACCAGATGAAGACAAATATGAAGTAGTCATTACTATGGTAGCATTAAACTTTTTAAATTTGAATTATTTCACATTTAAAATATTTCACTTGAATGAAATATTTGTATTCCTGTTTCATAGGAATACAAGTTAAAATAGGCAAGAAAATGGTAAGAGAACATCTCTCCACTTTAGACGAGTTCAAATCACCAGGTCCAGATGGATTACACTGCAAGGTTCTGAAGGAACTGGCAGACGTGAACTCAGAACCACTGAACTACAAACTTCAAAAATCCTGGAGCACTGGGAAAAGAGTTGATGTAGTTCCCATCTTCAAAAAACGAAAAAAAATAGATCCAGGAAACTACAGACCTATAAGCCTGACCTCACTACCTGGGAAGATTCTGCAAAAGATAAGCAATGAATCTGCGAACACCTAGAGGCAAACCAAGTCATAACCAAAAGCCAACATAGGTTTGTCAAAAATAGATCATGCCAGACCAATTTTATTACATTCTTTGACCAAGTGACGAAATTAGTGGACCAGAGAAATGCTATGGATATAATTTACTTGGACTTCATAAAGCATTTGATAAAATAGACTACAATCTACCACCTGATAAGATAGAAAATTGTGTGCTAGATAGCATCACCAGCAGATAGGTTCATAACTGACTGACCAACTGCACTCAATGTATAGACCTCAACGGAACTGCATCTACATGGAGGGAAGTATGCAGTGGGGTACCCCAAGGCTCTGTTTTAGGCCCAGTACTCTTCATCAGTAATTTGGATGAGGGGATAGATGGGGAACTCATCAAATTTGCAGATGACACTAAGCTGGCAGCAATAGCCAACACGCCAGAAGATAAGCTTAAGATACAGAAAGATCTTGGCAGACTTGAACATTGGGCGCTATCTAACAAAATGAAATTCAATAGTTAAAAAAGTAAGGTTCAACATTTAGGCAAGACAAAACCAAATGTACAGGTATAGTGTATGTGGTACCTGGCTCAATAGTAGTAACTGTGAGAGGGATCTTGTAGTCCTAGTGGACAATCACTTAAATATAAGCCAGAGTGTGCTGCCAAAAAAGCCAACACAGTTCTAGGCTACATTAACAGAAGGATAGAATCAAGATGACATGAAGTGTTAATACCCCTTTATAATGTCTTGGTAAGACCACACTTTGGACTTCAACTCTCAGAATTCTTAAACACCTTAAACGGTTGCCAAGGTTGAGAAATACTGCTTGAAACTCAAAAAGGATTGTGTGTATCTGTATTCTCTAGTCTTTATACTGTTGGTGTATTTTTTTTAACTTAAAAGATTAAAAAAGCTAGTAGAGGTTTCTCTGCGGACCGGAGGGGACGTGGTTTCATGTACTGCCTATATCCTGTGGATGGGGCTTTGCTTGTTTACGCAGACCGGTTTCTGGTATGCCGCGGGGGTTGGGATCCCTGGCCTAAGTTATCTAAACATTAAAATAGTAATAATATATAGTAGTATTATTATTTGTCTTATAACAATAAAACAAATAAAAATTAAAAAACTATTCAAAGTTATATAAATTACCTTAATTACTTTAGTCCAAATCAGCTTCAAAGCACTTACAGAGGCAAAAATCCACTCCTGAGATTTATGTTCCATCATACTTGGACATACATTTTTCTCATTAATGCCTCTACAATCAACCTGCAAGAAAATGAAACCAGGACAGATATTTTAATTAAAAGTGACATTTGCTTTATGTACATTTAACAGAAGGATAACTTGTATTTTTACTAATCAAGCTTTTAATATAACTTAGGGAATGTTAGTAAGGTCTCAGAAAAAGGAAAATTTCCATTACTCTGGAAGAAACATTCATTCATTCCAATGCTGTATATCTCATGTCTCTCATACCTTCTGGTATGACAATTACAAAAAGACATTAGAAAAGCCATTCTTTTCCACAACAGTTAATCTCAACAACAACAGCCAGCCAGCCAAACAACCTGAAACCAGACCATGACTCAGAGGCAACCAAAGGAACAAACACCATTTGCATCACACAGACGATACTTAAACACCAAAGACTATGGCCCAGCAACAAAAACCAACCAATCAAACAGCCGGACACCAGACCATGGCTCAGAAAAGTCGGGACAAATAACACTCAGACCAATTTACATCACACAAAAGGGTATTTAAAGGCCAGTGTCCCCACAGGCTAGCACAATTCAAAGTGCACTGAAGATTCCCCCCCCCCCCATGGAGACAACAGCCCAACTACCAACCTGAGCTACTAACGTTCAAACACATCCCAGTTAAAATTTATTTTTATTATATTTTTATTCATTCTTCTCCAAGGGATTTCATATCGCTAACAGTTCCCTTGCTCTTGATTTTATTTTAGCATGAAATAGATTAGGCTAGGTGACTGATAGCTCAATGTCATTAAATGAGATTCACAGCTGAGTAAGATTAGATTTTGGATCTTCCTGATTATCCTTTGACACTATCCTTGTTCAGACATGATACTGTCTTATGATTTTTTTTCTGTATTAGAAATTCATAGTTATAGCAGATAGCTAGCAGATAAAAATGTGTATGATCCTTGAATTGTTCCCAGCAAAGACAAACTGCCATCTTTATAGTACCTTTCCTGAAATAATTGAAATAGCTCATCTGATAAGAAGGGCAATTATCTGAATTCACACATGGAGAATCATTTGACTGTCCCCCCCAATAATAATTATGGTATTTAATCTTCAATAACTTCATACAATTACAGATATTTCTTATCAAAGTCAAGGAACACCTTGTTTGTGATCCTTGTACCAGAATGTAGCCTATAAACACCAAGAACTGATAAAAGTATGCTGCATTCCTGATTTTAATCTAAAGCCCCTAATAATGCCAAAACAAAAAGTGAAAATGTTATGTGTAAATACATGTGTAAATGGAAGAAAAGTATTATACTTTTTAAGCTCACAAAACACAGCTACAGCTTCATGCTGGGTATATACAAACAGGACAGAAGGAAGGACAGGTACTTTCCTGTCTTCCTTGAGCTTCTACTTCTTAAAACCATTTTCTTTTCCTTTATAATCAATCTGAGAAGTTGGTACAGGAGGGAACGAGGATGAATTGTGCCATCTATAGAGATGGTGTATGGAGATTCTCAGTCATCCAGGTCATAGTTTTCCAAAAGGTGCTTTTTCAAGAGGCAATTGGACTTTATTTTTCTTTGAAGATGTTTCACTTCTCATCCAAGAAACTTCTTCAGCTCTATAGAGAAGGTATTCTTTCCGTGTTGAGATATTTCTTCCAATCCAGATTCTCCCCCTAATAGATCTGCATTTCCTAATATTAGCAAACCATAAATTGAAGGGATTTCCAAAGGGATTGGAAGTCCTGTCTCTACCCTGGAACAAGTACGTAATTCCAGACTATCATGTTTTATCCACACCTCCACAAAAAAATACTTCTATAGTATTATAAAGTTAAAATCCAAATGGAGTAAATCATAAATTTTGTGATCTAACAAAAAGAGGTTATGCACAAAACCTTAAGAACTGAATATTACCATTTACGTGAAATTACCTACAAGATCTAGGATGGTTATGGCATAATATTCACTAACAACTTTTAAAACTACTACTCTAGCTGGTGGGCCACACCTAACAATTTTGGCTGATAAAAAAAACAACAACTCACAGATGGGAGACTACCAGGAAACCTAAGGTTGTAAGCTACCAAGAGAAAAATATAGAGGTGGCCTAATCATATTCATTGAATAAATAAATTGCATATCAAATGTACAAAAGAAAACTGAACAGCTGTGAGAAAGGGGAAGATCAAGAAAATCATGGCTGGATGGAACTGATGAGATTGCAAGACAGAATAGTGACTTTAAAGAATAAAAGGCAATATATGGAACGATTATGGAGATGATGGAAGCAAGGATACAAGGATTGGGAGAAGTAAATGATATTGAGATAAACTAACTTTTTCTTTTTCCAAGCTCATGTCTTTAATTTCTTTGGCCTCCAGGAAAACTGTAGTAGTCAAAACACCCCTTTGCACAGCCCTAATAGCTGCCACTCTTACCCTTCTTGGTAACTCTCGGCCTATTTCCCTTCCTTACAGAACATAGTCAATAAAACTTGAAAGGATAGGAACCAGAGGAACCTACTGTACCTTCATCAGTACCTTGAGAGTTCTGCTGAATGAATTATGTGCAATCCTGTTAGAAAAGAACACTTCATTTGCTAGCACCTATTCAGTTACTTTGTCTGTGCAATCCTGTGCAGTTTATGGTTACAGTCACTTTCATATAATTACTCTACATAAAAGCTGGGGAGACCATATAGCGGATCCGTAGGCAGTTGGAATAGAACTCAGATTTTTCATTCACCAGAACTCCAAAGGCCTTCTCTATGACTTACTTAGCCTCTGGTCTTCCTTTCTTCAGGCCCACACAAAAACTGGCTTACTTACTACTGCTTTTCCACCTTACCAGCTCTATGCTTAACATTGAAAGCAATTCCTATTGCTTCTATTCTCATCACTAAGATCACCAGGTACTTTCCTTCCCTTTTGGCTTAAGCTGCCAGCCAAGACCACGTGTTTGGCCACGCACAAATTTGTGGACATATAATCAACAGAACCAAAGGCTGGAGCGTTGCTGTGTGTCTCCCGTTTTTGTTCACAGAAAGGAGAGTGTGGTTGTCTGAGGTGGTTAAGTGTGTGAGAAAGTGAAGGTCTAGTGGTTAAAAAAAAAGGTGGTGTAAAAATGGCTGATCAGTAAGGAAATGAAAAGGCATACGAATAAGAAGCAACCGTGGTAAATGTCCATTGCATCTTTATCACTGTTCTTTATCCCCTCCTCTCCCCACTCTGTAAAAATGAACCTACAGTCAATGCTTTTACCACTTCGTTTGCCTTCTCATTTCCTTACTGACCAGCCATTTTTATAAAGCAGCCTTTTCTTTAACCACTAGACCTTCACTTTCTCAGACACTTAGCCCACCTCAGACGACCACACTCCCCTATTAACACAAACTAGTGACGCTGTTGTAGACCCCTACAGAGACATAGAGACATTAAAAGAAGAAAAAAATATTCCTGACACCCTCTCAACGTTTGCAGCTCTCCGGGATTTAAATTCTGGCAGCGGCAGTTTTCTCCCTCCAAAGTTGGGCATTTCCTCCCTCTCTCTCGACACACACACAAAAAACCCCTCCCAAGAATGCAGTCACCAGGGTGACCGGGGTGGGGGGCCTTCAACAGAGAGGGGAGGGCCTGCCTTGCAACCGAAGGGGGGAAAAGACCTTTCGGCTTTCCTCGCTTCCAGGGCTCGACGAACTGCCGGGATCCTCTTTTGCACGGCGGGGCGATGGAAGCTGCCCGCAGCTGGCCGTTTCCCTCCCGGAAGCGCTTAAAAATTACGCTCCAAACTCATCCCGGAGCTCCCGCGTCCTTTTGCCCCCGGACCTAGGACTCTTCAAGGCGCCTCTCTCGGCCACCAGCCTTTTGCCCTTGACTCGCTATCTCCCGCCAGCCACAAGAAAGTAGAGCCTGCCACCTTCACAAATAACGTGACAGAGGAGGAGGAAGGAAGGAAGGAAAAGACTCGGAACAAGGAGGACGACGCTGCCTTCCCCGACTCACCGCCGCTGCACTTTGCAGTCACCTGGGCCCCCAACTCTCGTCGCTACTGCCTCCATGTTTGTTGTGTCTCTCGGAGCTAAACGTAACTCATCGCTTCTCCTTAACAAAGTCCCGCGAGAGTTCGGTACGGTCTGTCCCGCTAGGCCAAGGGGGGGGGGAAGGGGCCGTAAGGAGGATTTCCCAAAGAGTTCGCTTGGTTCATGGTTTTTACAAAAGTTTCCGGCTCTCGAACGCAGATTGCCTCCGGAGCGTGCGGGAAAACAACGCATTAACTAGTCATTTGGGTTGGCATAAACACCGTCTATCCGAGCATAATTTTAAGCAAAGATTCGTCTCTTGGGCAGATGGCAAGATTTCCTCTGGAAAGGATGACACGAGTGGAGCCGCCATCATTCTTGCCCCGCTGATGCTGGATTCCAACGGGAACCAGAAGTAGAAAGAATAGCACCATCTCTTGTCTCTTTGATGTCCTCAATGCAAATCTCTGATTATCAAACCTCGCGCGGCTGGGTGGGCGGACAACCTTGAAGGCGGATTGGGATAAAGCAGTAGCGAGAGAGCTTAGAGATATCAACGATGGCACCTGCGGGAGCTTTGGCTTTGCTGAGATGCTGCAGGAAAGTAAGGGACTGTAAAACTTGGTGGGGCGAGATGCAAAGAGCTGCCGCCCTTGATGGCGCCGTGGCAGAGCGCGAGTTTAACGCGCTGAAGGGTCGCGGTCGGTGCCTGGCACATCCAGATGTTCAAATAACTAGGGCATTGGGGAGAAAAGTTGCTGGTCCAAATATACCGATCGAGACAAATCCGTGTTCTTGCCGTGGGAAGGAGACGAGGAAGTTATGAAGCCTGTTTTGCCTACGCGGAGATAAATTCTGAGATGTAGACTCTAAGCTTGGGGTGTTGTGTGAAGCAAACGTTGTGGCTTGCAACACATAATTAATTGCCTAGGCCAGTGTTTCCCAAACTTGACAATTTTAAGGCATGTGGACTTCAACTCCCAGAATTCCACAGCCAGCATTGCTGGCTGTGGAATTCTGGGAATTGAAGTCCACATGCCTTAAAATTGTCAAGTTTGGGAAACACTGGCCTAGGCTATAGGCACTAGAGCAATAAATGAACCTTGACAAGGAACAAAAGCTGTATTTATTGGACCGAGTATGTAAACCGATGAGAATCCAAAGGGGACATGTTAAGAGTAGAGTTAGTTCCCTTACTCTGTGTTTGCTCCAAGACGTGGCCGCGTTTGGTTGCAGCCCACAGCTTTATGCTCCGAGATTGCAGTGTTCAGGGGATACAGCATTAAAGCATTGTCACCTTTTAAAATTAAGAATGTATTGATGTTGTATGTAATGAAGGGATACGGATAAGGTTAGGGTTGTTCAACGAGAAACTACAAGGATAATAAGTTGAAAGGAATATCAGAACTTTTGTATGGCTGTGCTAATTTTCATAGAAGTCCAGTTGCTGAAATTTCTCCTTGTGCACTTATTAAAGATTCAGAAGTATTTTTGATTTGCTTGATGTGGCCCTGAAACGAGTAAATTCTCTCCAATGCTCTTTTCACAGCGAGGAATCTGTAATAGGCAAGCTTTAAGCATATGCCACATTGGGACATCAAAGGCATGCAGCATATTATATTCTTTTTCATTTTTCATTAATTGCAAAAGTGAACCCTTACAGTATTGCACTTAAGAATGAGCCCTGTTGCATGCAGACCTAATTCTGAGTAAAGAGGCTCAAGATTTTGTTATAAATCTCATTTTAAAAATAAAAGTGTTTACATTTTATAATACATTAAATATACCGTACCTTGTGTTTATCCAGTTCACTGAGGAACTCTAATATATTTACATAGACCTAAGCAAGATAGTTGAATTGAGAATGAAGTAAAAGGCATAAGAGAAAATATTTAGTCATCGTAAGTTAAGATACTTTTAGCACCTTTTAAAATAAATACAGGTAATCCCCAAGTGACTAGCGTTCACTTAACACTTGTTCAAAGTTATGTGATGAGCTCCCTCTTAGTGCTTACAAGCAAGTCCCGTAGTTACGAATATTGCAGCACCAGGAAGTCATTCGCCCTTATGAGCGACCGCAGAGGCTCTGCAACATTCACCCTGGTTATTCCCTCCCTCCCCATCCCCACCCCAGGTCTCGTTAGGCACCAGGCCTTCAATACTCACCCTGTGAAGGTCAAGATCCTTCGCTTTCTTGGCTGCTCCAGGCCTTTAGTGCTTTCGCAGAGAATGGAGACCTAAAGTAATGCAAGATCACACAAGATCAGTGGGGTGATATCTCATGCTACTGATCTCGTGTGAGCTCATGGTACTTTAGGCATCTGTTGTCTGCAATGGAGAACAGAACTGAAGCTGGGGAACGCTTCCACGTACCTCTGGAGGCTGGATCGGGGCTCTGGAGGCCTCTTCCAGGCCACTGCGACTTGGATCTAAGGCCGGGAGAAGCTTCTGTGCCCCCCCCCCGTGGCCCGATCTATGCTCCAGAGGCCATTTCCAGGCTGCTGCTGCCCAGATTTGAGACCAGGGAACGCTTCCACCACCACCCCACAGCCCAATCCGGGCTTCGGAGGCCTTTTCCAGGCCCAACCGGGTTATCGGGTATCTTAGTGGGTTGGGGAAGCCTTGGGGGCCTGTTCCAGCACTAGGCCCTCCATGGCCTTCCCCACCCTGAGATACCTCATGTTCACTTAACGAGCTGTGTGTGTTTTAACGAGCAAGGGAGTGATCTCGTACCAGATTCAGATTCACGAGTTTTCTAGTTATGAATGGAATGGGCAGGCTCCATTACACTTGTAATTCGAGGACTACCTGTATATTACCCATATGTTTAAGGCTTATATATATAATCCATAACACAGCCATGTGGAACAAATTAGAAGTTCAGATTTTATATGAAATATCATTATTTGCTGAATCTAATATTAACTAAATATTTTCTTTTTTTTTCCAACCTAAAATATTTTTGCCCATAGACAGGATGGAACATGCCGGTCTGCATAAATCATTGGATGACTCATTCTTGTCTCTCTAAATCTTTCAAATCAGAAGCTTTGCCACATATAGTCAAAGAAGGATTAACTTGTGCTCCACTTCAGACATTTACAGAAGAAGAGTTAATGATTAAAGAATCAGGTAATGTGTCCAGTGTAATTAAACAGATTCAAATTCTTTCAGCAAATTCCTCTATAAATTTGGCACGATTTCCACCAGTGATTTAAACAACTTCTAGAATTGCTCAACTTTTTTTGTGCTGATACAACAGTAACAAGATCAGATTTTGGAAAACCTTAGTGATGGAAGCTTGATTTTAAAAGATTATATAAGTACCTAATAGAGAAATACCCCAAATCCAGTATTTATAATAGTTTGTAAATGGGTTAATTTGTAAAATATTTGCTCCTACCTTGGTATTGTGCAAATAGCAGTCTGTGCAATTCTGAAGGACAGAACACTGACTGTTTATGCTAAAGGCATGCTAATAATATGAGTGCAATAAATTCAGTTCTTCTAGCACTGTTCTTCACAAGCACGGGTGTTAAACTCACCACGTCACGTGACGTGTCATGATGTATTGTATTTTTTACATTGCCGGAGCTGGGGTGGGCACGGCCTCTGTATGATGTAACCGGACCATGGGCTGGCAGTTTGACACCTCTGATCTAAAGACTACCTTACATGCCAATATATTGTTGTTTGAATCCCTCAGCTTAAATGTTTGTGCAGTGTATTGGCAGTCAGTCAGTCTGCTGTTTAAATATATATATATATACATTAAATCTTGATTCCTTTATATCCTTGTTTCTTTTATTTAGTAAAAAAATTTGCTCAAGAGCAAATTGTTCCATTAGTACAAAAAATGGATGCAGATGCAAAAATGGATGATTTTTTATTGCAAGGACTATTTGAAAACGGGGTTTGTACATTATTTTTTATCCTTAAAAATGACTTAAGCTTCTTTTTCAACTTTAACTACAATGTGAACATGCTAGGTTTTATACAATATGAATATGTACGTGCAGTATATTGGTTGTTAGCTATAATAATATATATTAGAGTATTATAATCTAAAAATGAATTATGATCATTGCTGAGTGAACATTGGGACAGAATGCTGGTTTTCATTTTTTTCTGTAGATTTTACTCTTTATCTTCTACTTAAAGGGCAGACAATTAGCAAATTGCTTCATTGGAAATAGATTGGGGAAGATACCTGTGTGGTGTGCAACAAGCATTTTGATTATTCTTTAATAAGAATAAAGATCTCACAGCAATCAACAAGAGTGGTTTATGTATCACTGATTTCAAAGTCTGCTGCCTAATAGTCCATTGACTTATTAGATTTAATCCCAAATAATTATACAACTAATTGTGGAATTATTTAGAAATTCAATTGGATGTCAGTGGCTCTTGCTTTGACTAGAATTTTTGATATTGGGGTATAAATCTTGACTTGTACACTTTTCTTCTCCATAACAAAAAATTATCCTGTTTTTCTTAGTTAATGGGTATTGAGCTTGAAGCAGAATATGGAGGAACCGGATCTTCTTTCTTTTCTACCATTCTGGTTGTTGAGGAGTTAGCCAAAGTTGACCCATCGGTATCACTTGCGTGTGAACTCCAGAATACTTTCACTAATAAAATGTTTACAACATATGGCACAGAAGAACAAAAGAGAACCTATTTGCCCAGGTTGGCAAAAGACATGGTAGGTAAAGTACATTCATGAATAAGTTAAAACATAAATTTGGTGAGTAATATTACTATTAATATGAAATTAAGATCCCAATCAACATGCAGGTTACACTGAAACACTGTGATGTTCAAGTTAACATTAGCATACTCCCAATTGGAATTGCACAGGCAGTCCTTGACTTATGACCACAATTAGAACCAGAATTTCTGTTGCTAAGCAAGGCAGTTGTTAAGTAAGTTGCAGCCAGTTTTACGATCTTTTTTTTTTTTGCCATGGTCGTTAAACTCCTGCAGTGAAGTGAATCCAGTTTGCCTCATTGATTTTGCTTGTGGGAAGCCAGTTAGAAAGGTTATCCCCAATATACTGCAACCATCATAATTGCCAACTGTCCGAATTTTGATCACATGATGCTGCTATGTTCGTAAGTGTGAAGATCCATTGTAAGTCACTTTTTAAAGTGTGATTGTAACTTCGAATGGCCGCTAAATGAATGGTTGAAAGTCGAGGACTGCCTACTGTACGTAGAGTTGCTACTGATTTATTAGATATTAAATGTCTGTATTTTAAAACATAATCTCTTACTTAGATTCACTGTCTTGGATACTTGCAAATTTTGAAGTTCAAAATTATAGCGTATTTCACTGACTAGAAAACCAAGGTCAGTCTAGTGGTTTTTGACAGAAGTCTGAAACGTTACTTTTAAATGTTACATTTTATTAAATTATTAAATATTTCATTTTTTTATTTATCACATTTATATAGCCGTCCATCTCATGAACATGACTCTGAATGGCATACAATAAAAAACAGGCCATAAAAAACCAAACATTAATAAATAAATAAAAAATATTTAAAAATATTAGGAGGGAGCATCTTTACACAAATTTAAATTAATAGCTTTGACCTGATCAAATATGCAGTAAATATATGTGTGAAATAGAAAAGGTGGCATGGCTAATTACATTTAAATAGCATATCCTTCAAAACTATTATAAAGAGAAAGCTTTTCAAATGTTTTTCTTGATTGACTACTTGCCTTTATCATTATATCAATGGCTAATTGTGTCAATACAATAGTATCCAAGCCTTTGCCTCTGTATTTTATAAATTGTCTTGACCTTTTTCAAGGCCAATACCATAAAAGGAAAGATTTCTCTGATTACTTTGCCAAACCTAGATGTTCAGTGTCCAGTGGAATTAGCTGACAACTGAATTCTATGTTAAATGGTAGATGGGCGCCATCTGCATTTCTGAATCAGGAGCTGGCAGTGATGCTTTCTCCATGAGGACTCAGGCTGAAAAGCAAGGGGATTACTACATCATCAATGGATCAAAGATGTGGATTAGCTTTGCAGAACAAGCAGGAATTTTTTTGGTGATGGCAAATACAAACCCTTCAGCAGTAAGTAGTTAAAATCACTGTAATGTGATTGTACATGTATTGCAATACTAAGGTTAAAAATATAGGATAATGCCAACCTTTCATCTTGCTTTTTCCAGTTGCCATTTTCACATAAAACTTCAGCTTATAGACTATCTTCACCTGCTTGGAAACTTCAACAGACAAATAGAGGCAGAAATCATGATCTTTGCCTCTGTTCCAGGGTTTTTTCCCCCTTAATCTGAGGAGACCTGCTTGTTCAGACTAATGGTGAACAGCAAAGCCTACTATGCTTGAAAATAAGGTGTTGGTACTTTGTGACCACACTGAAGATTGAAGTTTTGACCACTTGCAGATGGCCTAAAGGATTATTCGGGAACAGACTGTCTTTGAAGGCAGAGTTGATCCAATTACAATGCAAACAATAAATAGCCTGCTTTTCTTTTCTTTGCTTCAATGTTTTCAAGCTATCTTGGTCTCAAACAGTTTGCTTCTAATCAGAGGCTGGTAATCTCTTCACCTATCCAGGAGAATGTTGCAGATCTTATGCTGTAAAGCAGCGGTATCAAACTCACACCTTCACATGACATGTCGCAACGTAGCGCAACTTTTTTGCCATTGCCGGCAATGGGGTGGGCACGGTTTTGCTATGATTCATCGGCCCGCGGGCCGGCAGTTTGACACCCCTGCTGTAAATTGACAAGCACACATTTTTAATGCAGCTGAAGTTTCGTTAAAATGCCAAACCTCATGAGAGATAACTCCTTGAATCTCATTTAATGAAACAAAATCTTATGTAATTTCAGATTCCTTGCCTGAATGAGCAATTTACCCTGAAGTTTCACGAAATTTTGTAGTTTTTTATTCATTTGAGGTTTGTATGTATATCTGTACAGATGATCCACAAGTGGTGTGGAATGGTACGGGCATTGTGTCCCCAAACCAAACACTATTTATTATATTAACCATGGTGCTTAGAGAATCCATGCGAGTCTTGATATAAAATACGATGCTATGGCAGGAACTTTAGTTGGATCACCACTGTAGGAAAAAGTAATTCCCAATTATGGATGCTCAAAGAAGGATCCCCTTTTTTGAATAGAACTTTGAGTATGAATTATTTTGCAAGGGTTGGAATATATTTATCTGGCATATACTCACCGCATGGTTAATGTATTATTGTATCTACTTTTTTTCCCAGGGCTATAAAGGAATTACATGTTTCATAGTAGACCGTAATACAGATGGCCTGCATGTAGGAAAGAAAGAAGATAAGCTGGGAATCAGAGCAGCATCTACATGTCCTGTAACATTTGAAAATGTGAAGGTAGAATAAAACCTGTAAAGCAGTGTTCTGAATTTCTAATTCTATGAAGTAAGTCAGTAGGCTAAAGTTATAGGAGCCCATGAATTTGGAAAGAGAATGATGTATTTCAGGTTTGCATTTTGTACAGATGGGTGATAGCCTAATATATTAAACATGTTATCAATTGGAAGGCACATGGCCATAATTTATAATTAACCAAGCTTAAAGCCAATTTCTGAATATCAAAAACTGCACCATTTTGGTTTTCTGCTTTGTTTTTATTTATTTATTTCTAAAATTTGGATATCGCCATTTAAAACTAGATTTTCCCAGAACTGTTTTTGAATGCAGTGTCATAATAATGGCCTTTTTATTTTTGGAAACAACAAAAAAAGGAGTCAATACTGATTATATTTTTTTTTTGTTTTTTGTTTTTATTTTGTTTTTGTAGGTCCCTGAAAGCAATATAATGGGACAAGTTGGTCAGGGTTATAAGTATGCTATTGGAATGCTGAATACAGGAAGAATTGGCATAGCTGCGCAGGTGAGTAAACTGGAAAATAGTTGCCATCAACTATTTGAAAATGCCATCTGTTTCAGAAATCGCTTATTATGAAAAAAGGAACTATTTTTATTTTTAATGTAATTTTATTGAAAGTTTTAGAAACAAGGAAAAACGAGTTCAGACTAAAATAGAATAAGAAGGGGAAATGGGGAAAAAAGAAAAAAAGCCAAGGTAGAAAAAGAAAAGAAAAAATATATGAAAATTAGAAAAGAAAAAAATGATATCAAGTTGTGACTTCTGATCTTCTTTATGATGGTCACAAATACAATTGTACATTTACCTCTTTCCATAAAGTTATGCCATGACTCTGTTCTTCGTATATACTATATAATCAACAAAAGAGAAGGGAACTATTTTTCAATCAAATGAAATCATAGCTTCTTTGAGGGCATGGAATTAGCTGCATAAATTGTTGAATCACAGCTGCTGTCTAATCTTAATATTAAATATTACAGTTACTCTTTGTATGGATGATAAATGATCATAAGAGATCCATCAAAATGACATTGATAGAATAATTATTCTGCTAAGACAATCCTAGAAATTCCAATATGTATCTATAGCTGCTCTGAATAGTCCATTTGAAGTCTTGTAACTTTTTCCTGGATTTAATTCTTGTGAAAGACAGTTTATCATTCTTGCGCTATGTTTGGGTTCTTTGTGAAGTCCCCTATTTGGCAGATTAGATGTCTTTTGTTGTGCAGAATGTTTCAAAAATACTAATCCAAACCTTTGGAGTAAAGCAGATAACTCTGTAATCTATTCTTTGCCACAGTACTTCTCTTACTCCTCATTAATTCTTTTTTAACAGAAGACATTTTATAGCTGGTCATATTAGCTGACTATGTTAGGACAGCATGCCAGCACTATTTTAGAATGAACAAATCTAGGATTAAGTTACCTGGCCTTCTGGAACCGCTATTTAGTTATAAACCTATTTCAATAGTTTCTATGAAATTAAGTCGCTATGTGTGAATTAAGGTGCTTTGCAATAATTTTAATGTTTGTTTATCTCCACACAGATGCTGGGATTAGCACAGGGGTGTTTTGATCATACTATCCCATACACAAAGGAAAGAACCCAGTTTGGAAAAAGCATTTTTGATTTTCAGGTATTGATTGATGTGTTCTGTGCAAGAGATATAAACATAAAATATAAATAATTATGACTGATAGAGATAAACATTATAAACCATACTGTAATGTTACTATTCTACAGCAGTTAATACTAAGTATTTACCACAAAGTAATATATTGCTAGTCCATGTATGATATGCCATAAACTAAATAAATAATAACCACAAAGTATTAAATTGAACAACATATCTAAAATGTGACTACCGTTCCAGATGAAAATTCTTTACCTTTTATTATTTCATATATCATGACAAAATTGTTACAGAATTCATCTGCATTGTCAATACTGATAGCAGTTGTAATACATATTATATATAGTACTGTATGTAACACATTTTGATGAATGACAGTGACAACAGTGATTTCCCCTTCTTTGTCCAGTTTTTAATTCAATTTTGGCCATTCTAGCCACTGACCTTTACACACTCACTCATAACTAAGCACTTTCAAGCACAATTAGATTTATAACTGAGTAAAGGATTGCTTAAGAATTGCAAAGACGCTACCATAAGATTGAGAACTCCATGTATAGTTGATGGTCATGAAAGAAGATTTAATTTTTCCTGAAGCTAATGTTTCAATATAAGTTTTATTTCTAAGGGACTACAACATCAGATTGCTCAAGTAGCCATTCAGATTGAAGCTGCAAGGTTGCTGGTCTATAATGCTGCCCGATTTGCAGAAACTGGGAAACCATTTATAAAACAAGCAAGCATGGCTAAATATTATGCAGCAGAGGTACGCTCTATTTTTTTTTTTTCTGTTTAAATTTTAAGCAGAACTGAAGGGGAATTATTGTTTCTTTCAGATCTCAACTCTCTTTGTTTCAGCCAGCTATGTAGAGGAGAAAAATGGAACCTTAAATATATTTTATAGGATTATTTAAAAAAGAAAGAATAAATTATTTCCTACTTTAAAAGACAGAAATTATATTATAAATTTCGATTTTGTGTGTGTTTCTCTGCAAACTTGATAGGACTTATATGCTGCTCTGGTCCCAAAGGACTTGTGAGTAGAGTTTTGTTTTTGGGAGATATTTTTGCTGCCTTGGACCACTCCCTGCAGCTTTTCTGGTAAGGTTTTTTTGGGAAGTGGTTTGCATTGCTTCCTTCTTAGGGCTGAAAGAAAGTGACTGGCTAGCTTTGCGCGAAAGGCAAGATTACAACTCACAGTCTCCTAATTTTTTAGCTTGATGCCTTAGCTACTACACCAAACTGGCTTTCAATGGCTAATAGACCCTCTTAAAGTAAGAAATTAAATACAAACAAATTAGAATGTGCTATCACTGCAAATTTTATCTTACTGAAGAGTGTAAATTGAATCATATACAGAATTGTTATCTCTGAAATAAAATTCAACTGCAGGTTGACATGAGATCAAACATTTAGTCTGGTTTGGTTTAAGCATCCCCATTTAATTTTTTTGTCATGTGAATATCAAAGATCTTTGTCAGATTCTTCCCAGGTTATATGGCAAATTATATTTCATAATAAACTGCTATGATCAAAATAATTATAGTTTCCCCAACCAAAATCCATAAGCTTTAGAGCTCTTTAATTATGCATCACTAGCTGAACATGGCATTATTTGATTAATGTTTTGTATTTTTTGTAATGTATTTATTAGAGGGGTGGTTAATAGTAGAAACCAAAGAGTTCATAAACCCTCAGAATAGTCTTACTGTATATCTTAAAGGTTGCAACTCTAACAACAAGTAAATGTATTGAATGGATGGGTGGAGTTGGCTTCACGAAAGATTATCCGGTTGAAAAATTTTACAGGGACTGCAAGATTGGTAAGTTATGTATGATGCATTTCTATGTTGCATTATATTGAATTCAGAATTTAATTATTGCAAAGCTGTTAAACATCAATTTTAAGAGTTTTCTGATAGATATTCAGTGACAAATTCTTCATTTATCTGAAAAGAAGAATTTTTCTTTTCTTTTTCCTTAGTAATTTTCCTTTAAAATATAATGGTTGGCTTAGATGAGTTGAAAATATGGTAACAAAAACTGATACATTTCTTCTATCTAATTTTCTTAGAGGAGGAGTAGTTAAAGTTCACAGTAATTTTCCTTTGTAGGCATGTTTATGTGCATATATTATTCATTAGATTTAGTTATTAGATTTTTATCCTACCTTTATTACTTTATAAATAACTCAAGGTGGTGAACATAACCAAATACTCTTATTACATCCATTTTAGCCTTTTCATTCATCTCACTTCCCTGAATATCCTCATCAATTCTGTGTATAAATGTTACACCACCTTCATTCAGTTCAACTACATCCTTTCTCTTAATTTCACACACAGTGTATTTATTTTTCTTCCTTTCATTTAATTAATTAATTCATATCCTTGTTAAGTAAGCCATGATGGTTTTGTTCACACATAATGCTTTAAATCATGGCTTATGGCTGAGCTGATACATGATCAATCAAAATAAAATAAATCACGCTTTAGAACAATGTATAAATCCAATCATTGTTTCATCAGTAAACGACTTAGTGATTAATATATCCCTAACTCCACTGAACTGTCATTTATACAGCTTGTCACTGAAATAAATATAACAATTTCATCCATATCAATGTAATAGCCTGTGAGTATAACGTTGAGAGATAGGAGGAGGAGCTGCAGACTAGACAAACAGCATGTAGAAGATTTCTCAGAGCCAGGAGGGAGAATGGAAAATCAGAAACTAGTCCCTAGTTTTTCAGGGAGTAAAAGGAACATAGAGGAGAAATATGTTCAGTCTTGCAAAATTATGTTAATGTAAGCTTACAGTAAAGATAACGTTTGTACTCATGGTTGAGCTTTGTGTCTGGACTATACAAAGGGCTAACAGCAATTGATTGCCTCCCTTACATTTACCTTGTGATAAAGTTTTATGTATCTACTGAAAGGCTAACAAACCGCAGGTTGCAAACATTCCTATTAAAATACATTATAGAATGTTTAGCTCGCCCTTGATTACGTATTGAATCTTTACAGAAGGGTGTTTGCTGAAAGTGCTTTAATCAGTTTTTGTATGCCTCCCTGATTCATTTTTTTCCCCCTGATGGTTTGTTTCAGGTACCATATACGAAGGAACTTCAAATATCCAGTTAAACACTATTGCAAAATGCATTGCCCAAGAATATTGAAATTCCAGGAATTAAGTGACTGTTGCCAACCTGATTACTTCTCAGAAAGTTAAATCTGGTTTTACTTCTTTGTGGGATTGCAGATTGCGGGTTTTAGGACAAGGAAACAAATTACAGTAATTTTTAATCATCGTGCAACTTTCTGTACAAGTGTACAATGTAAATGGCTGGACTATTTGGAATCACCCTAAGAATTCTTACTTATTTTTCCAATCACTGTGAAATAAGAGGTTATGCACTTCCACACTCCCTTTTAAACAAGCAAAGAAACAATCTCGTCTGCTTTTGTACTAGACCAGTGGTTCTCAACTTTTTCTTCACCATGGATACCCCTTTAAATATCTTTTGTGGCCACGGATCCCCCCAAGACTTAACTCAAGATTTAAATCATAACATTTCTTTAAGCCTTCGTGGACCCCATGACGACATTGAGGCCCCTCAGGTCCGCGGACCACAGGTTGAGAACCACTGTATTAGCCTATCAAATATTTAAGACGTCTTTATAATTCTGTTTATCAAAGTGATAAGCCTGAGCATATTCAAGAATGTTCCAATACTCTGCAGCACTTGCATGTTAGTGCTAATAGTAACAATCAGTCCTTGAAAAGATTATTTTACTATTTAGAAAATGACAAAGTAAATAGTTAACAGCCGTGGTGGTGCAATGGTTAGAATGCAATATTGCAGGCTAATTCTGTTGACTGTCGGCTGCCAGCAGTTTGGCAGTTTGATTCTCACCGACTTAAGGTTGACTCAGTTTTCCATCCTTCCGAGATCAGTAAAATGAGGACCCAGATTGTTGGGGGCAATAGACTAACTCTGTAAACTGCTTAGATAGGGCTGTGAAGCACTGTGAAGCAGTATATAAATCTACGTGCTACTGCCAGCTACTCAATGATTGGGTAATTGGGGAGATGAAGCAGATTTTTATCCTATGCTGTTCAGAAAGTGATACTGTATGTATGTATGCATGTATGCACACATATATATTTGTTAGTAGTATGGTAGATTTCCTAACGGGAACCCTGTTACCTTTGTTTGAAGTATCCAGTGTTTAATGACAAGATGAAAGTCATTCAGAAGCAGCAGTTTTATCGCTTTGTTCCAGGTTTCTTAATCCCACCCAGTAGAACCAATATTGTAGGGTTTGGGTTTTTTTTTCTAGGAGCTTCAGAGTTCTAAATTTTCTCCATCAGGGACATAGTTGAGGACAGGGAAAATTTTGGTTCTTATATACAGTATACAAAAGCCTGCCAATTTTATCCTGTTTCTCCTTTCCTTATGCCAGAGATTTTTCTATGAAGGCAGGGAGCGGAGATACTACTTTCAATTCAGAACTCTCTCTTAAATCTCAAAGAGGGATTCCCAGTCTTTACTACAGTCCTGCAATTGCAGCCCTTTTATCCCTATACAACACTCTGTGTTTGATCCTCAGCATTCTGCATAAATTAAACATAAGTACCAGTATTCCCAATTAACAGAACACTCGTTTCTGAAGAATTCTATTTATTTTGACATATGAACTGTTACAATGTGTTCTAGAATAATGTGTTAGAACAGAGGCCCGCAACCTTTTGGACACCAGGGACCGGTTCCATGGAGAGAGTTTTTTCTGCGGACCAGAGACGGCGTGGTTTTACGTGCTTCCTGCATCCTGTGGATGGGCTTTGCTTGTTTGCATGGACCGGTTTCTGGCATGCTGAGGCCCAGTGCCGGTTCATGACCAGGGGTTGGGGACCCCTGTGTTAGAAAGCATAGATGATATATAAAGTCAACAAGAACTTGTGTTTTACATTGAACAATGTGTGGAAATGTTGGCTTCTTGAAAGTGCAGATAAGAAAAGATAAAAGTTACAGTTAAATCAGTGAGCTTGCCTTAGCTGCCATCACAATCTTTGCCTTTATTGGATTATAGAATGTATTCTACCTCATTGGGAGGAATTGTGGCAACAGACTTATCAGATGAAAGTGCCTGCTTTATTTAGTGCCATATTTGAAATATAGATGTGTCTTACATATTTAAATCACCTGTATATGATATGTGCCCTTACTAGTACCCGTGTTTCCCCAAAAGTAAGACCTACCTCGAAAATAAGCCCTAGCTTGATTTTGGGGGGTTGGCCTAATATAAGCCCTTCCCCCAAAATAAGCCCTAGTTTTAGGGTGAGGCACACACCTAAAAATAAAGCTGGGGTGGGGGTGTGAAGGTGTCCCATGTGCCCTATACCCACTTACCTCTCCTCGCTGGTCTACTTCTATGGCATCCCAAGGCTTGCATTTCAGAATCAGCAGCCTTTCCGGAAGGACACTGCAGCCGAGAACCAAGCTATGGATTCAGTCCATAGCTTGGTTATGCAAGGTTCTACCCGTGATGGTAACACGATTGCGCCCAAGAGGAAGGAAAGTCACCTCACCAACCCATTTGGTGTGTAGGCGCAGGACCACGGGCGAAGAGCATGTGGATCCATGCGCGCGGCGCAACGGTGCCTCCGTGAGAGGCAAGCACGGATGCCCGGTGTTGAGCAAGAACTGCGGATCCCAGCGAGAATTGCGAGGCGACGCCCGAGATGATACGAGTGCAGGGAACATCGAAAAAAGGGTGAAGAGAGTAGAGGCCAGGAGCAATGATACACACATGAATCACACCCATGTAGGTGGGGGGAGGGGAACAGAAGGAAAAGAGCAGGGGGAGACACCCAATACGTAGTTTAGTGGGGTGAGAAATAATGGGAGCTTAGATGAAAAGGGGACAAAGAATATGGAGGCAACAGCCAAAAAAGGGGGGGAAGGGTGTCTTCTGACTTAAGAACCTGTGACAAGGGGGTGAGTGGTGATACATATACAGTTAAGGGGAGTAGAAAAGATATAGATGCTAAGGATACATCAAAAACACAACCCAATCAGCTAGGACCAGTGACGAGGTCCAGGAGCCGGATGCAAACTCGGATTAATCCTATAAAAGTTTCCCCCATTGACTAGCATTAAACCCTGACGATGTCGGTAGTTTTCCGACGAAAGCTTGGTTATTTATTAAACTTTTCTAGTTTAAATTTTTCCTGGTGTTCATATTTGGTTTGTTTTTTGCAGTAAGATTGAATCCATAGCTTGGTTCTCAGCTGCAGTAGCCTTCTGGAAAGGCCTTTGATTGCAAAATGCAAGCCAGAGCTCCATTCTTAGCTGCAGAATGAAGCTGCTTCTTTGGCCGCAAAAGGAATGGGCCGGCTGGGCAGGGCTGTCAGTGCCAGAGATGAATGGAAAAGACAACACCCCCCCCCCAAAAAATAAGATCTGGTGCCTCTTTCGGAGACAAAAAAAAAATAAAAAAATAAGACCAGGTCTTATTTTCGGGAAAACCCGGTAAGTAAGACTAATCACTTGAAAAGGGGATTATTCATCACATTTGCACAGAGGAGCAAAGAAGACAAAAAGGACATGAGAAAAGAAGCAACCGTAGAACATTGGGCAATATACTGACATTGTAAACTGTCCCTAGATAGTTATAAAGCACTATGGGACAGTATTTAACCTCTAAGTGCTATTGCTATTGCCGTTCAACATTCCTAAATGCTTATTGGCCCAAGCCTCTTAGAGAAGGGAGTGAAAATGAGATATGATTTGCACAGGGAGTGTAACATAATCTCTTGTAAATGACACTTGTGAAAGTTGCTTAGCTTGTGCTGACATTTTATATGCCTGGCTAGGAAGAAGTGGTGCGCTATGGAGTCATGATGTATTTAGAGGTCCCACGGATGGTAGGAGAGAGACAGTTCTAAGGATAAGAACGCAAACTTTCCAGAACATATGCAGGCCTATTGGTTATGTCTTTTAAATGTCAAGTGCTGCAGCACTTTGTCTCATTTTTAAATTGTCTTCGGGATGAGTAACATCCTACTCTTGACTGGGAAAGATACATACATACATGTGCACATAGTACACACATATGTATTCTACTTTTTCCTCTAAATCTTTAATGCTACATGAAAAGGCATTGCTTGCCTTCCCCTTCTCAAGTAGCTCTGAGCCCAACAATAACAGAAATATAAATACAAATTAAACTGGTGTGTCAGATAGCCATTTTGGAGAGTTTTACATCTTTTTAAGAAGTTTACCTCTGTTGTTATCTGTAAAAGTCAAAAAATATTTTCCAAGTGGGAAATATGGTCAGCGGATGGATCGTATGTGCAAAAGCAATTTTTCCTTCTCTGTTGTAGGCATCAGCGTCCTCCCACTCAATATTTTGGAAGTTTGAACAACTCTATACTGTGTGGGGGAGTAGCTGAAGGTGGTTGGCAATTGAGAAGATACTAACAAAATTTCTTGCTGTACCCGGTTTGTACTGCTGACAGGCAATCTCCTCTAGACCTAGACAGCTAACTCTAAATCCAACATATTAACTTTTTATTTGAAATGATTTTGTATCAAGCATTCCTTTCTTGGATAAATATTATCCTGTTTACTTTGGGCTACATGTAATGAACTGTATTCATTTTTTTAAAAAAAAAAGATGATTTTTTTTCCAACTTAGAGGTACATTTTTGAAACAGAACATCTAATACGGGCAATATGTTTGTATTGCTTGTATGTTTGTATTAGTGATGCAAACTTGATTCTTGGATATGTATTTTGTAATTTTCACATAGTGATTATAAGCTTCATCTGGAAAATAATGCTGTAATCTGAAAAGGTAATTAAGTGCAAAAGTAAAAGAGTAATGAAATCATATAAGGTATGTGGTCTCTCACACACAAGGATCACAAACAGCACAAAGTTCCATGTTCCTTTACCTTCTTCCTATGGCATAGACCTCATTTGCCTCTTCCATTCTTCTTGCCAGGTATTCATAAAAAAATCAAATACGTGTCAGATGTCTCATCTAGTTTATTGTATCCTGAAATAGCCGACACACAACTAGCCATAGAGAAAGTGACATTGGACATAACATCCTGGTGCAGGATGGGAAACTTGCTTATGTTAAGGACAACATACTGTATGGTAATTAGAACTGTGATGGCGCAGCGGTTAGAATGCAGTACTGCAGGCTCCAGGAGTTCGATTCTGAATGGCTCAAGGTTGACTCAGCCTTCCATCCTTCCGAGGTTGATAAAATGAGGATCCAGATTGTTGGGGGCAATAGGCTGACTCTGTAAACCACTTAGAGAGGGCTGTAAAGGACTGTAAAGCGGTATGTAAGTCAAATGCTATTGCTATTATGGTAGGACGGAGGTTACATTCATTCAGTCCAGACACATGCACACACAGAGTGAAGTGGTTTGCAGGCTAACTATTTTTGCACAACATGGCCGTTCAAGCTACATTCCCATTCCCAAATCCATGCTGGCAGCCTATCAGGCATCCATATATTCAGTCACGTAGTTGCAGCAAAGAAGGTAGATAGCATTTTTCTTTTCAAATTCTGCTGGTTTATGTATGTATTTTTAATGGGATACTTAAAAAACCCCATAAAAATAATGTATTGTAAATAAATGTACAGTAAATATTTTAAAACTAACTTATAGGAACTTTTCCAAAGAGCAGTTGATACTAGTATCGTGGATGAAAAAAGATTGATTCCAGTTGAGTGGATAGCTGAGTTGGTTATTGTGTGTCTTTCTCATATGGTGTATTGAGTGATGTTTACAGAAAAGCAAAAATACCATATTAAGGTTTTTAATGTTTGAAGTTATTTGAAGCCTGATCCTCTCTTGATCCCAATACAGTTTAGTCTGCTAGGAGGAAAATTTAAAGATTTTCTGTTCCTTTGTACTTCTCTGTCATCTTCTGATTTACCATTGCTGCAGCCATTGCTATAATGCCAGTTTTCCTTAACAAGACATGCTGACCATTGAATATTCTTATTACAGAAGTAAAGCATTGTTGGTGTCAGTATGGATAAGACTCTGGAAACTGGATCTTGCAAAAACAGCTTTCCAGAAAATCAGCTGCAGTTGCAGTATCAGTAAGTCAGGAAAGGGCTGGCAAATGACAGAGAGCAAAGGCTACATCAAAGGCCCTTGAGGGCTGCTGGTAGCCCACCTCTGACCTTATATAAGATGGGAATGTTGTTGAATCAATTGGAAAGAATGAGTATAACATTATCAAACTTAATGTATATTTATGTGGAAAATTGCCAAGTAAATCCAAAATAGTTCCTTTTGACTTCAGAAAAGGAAACTTCTCAAAAATGAAATTAAAGCCAAAAAGGTCAAATGTCTCCACTGCATCTGGGGTTACTCAAACCGCAGGAATAGAAACTCAGCTAGGATAAATATTGCAGGTCAGGAAAGGTCTCCACAAGTCCACCAGCTCATCAATGCAGTTAATAAGCAGTGGCAATAGTGCCAAGGAAGCTATTAGAGAAGGAAATTTTTCCTTCACAAAATAAAAGCAACATATCCACCAAAGAGATGCAAGTAGAAAAGAGACGCCAAAAAGAGGTTTTTGAAGAGGACATAACAAAACAACTGGAAAAGCTTCAAATGCATCACAACTAGGAAACCCATCAGGGAGATGGTTGAACTACAAATCTTACTTCCACAGATTTGTATACTGCTCAGTTTAAAAACCTCCAAGATAGTTTTACAATAAACTTACAATATATATATAACAGAACATCAACCAAATAAATATATCAAAGATATACATTAATATTAATGGACAATAACAATTTTTATAATGGAAATTGCAAAGTAGATACTTCAACTGAAATTATCCCAGGAATGGAATTGAATATTTTATTTGGCCACGTATGATTAGACATACAAAGAATTTGTCTCGGGTGCAGAAGCTCTCAGTGTACATGCAAAGCAACATTCATCATCATCATCATCATATTGAGCATTAGGTTTTGAATTATTTCGACCAGTTAAATCCATCCAGTTGCTATCAGTTTTTTTTACTAGTCATATTGATGCATTTTGTTTTCTTTTTCTTGTGCTATCTATTTATTGTTCTATTACTTTTGCTTTGTTTAAACTTTCTTTTTATTTCTTCATTTTTTATGGTTGTGAACAGCCTAGAGTAGCAAGATAGGTGGCAAATAGATTTAATAATAATCTTAACCAAAATATTGAGATCAAATATAAAATGGTTTATATTTAAATAATGTATTCTTAAGGTTGGCATTTTTACCAAAACACTAAAATGTAGTTATAATATTTTTTTATAAAGAACTGGGGTGATGCATAAAATTGCTGACCCTTTTGATGAAATGTGCTGTAAAATAAAACTCTATAGAAGGAGAAAGCTTGCTGAAGAAAACTTGCTTCTTAAAAAAATAAAAATAAAAATAAATCTTGCATTACTAACTTTTTAAATTTGACCACATCAAGACGTATGTGAATTGGTGTGATTCATTGACACTATTTACTTGGACCCCTAAAAAGGTTCTGATTAATTCTCTGATCAAATTCTCTTTCCCAACCTACTGGTGTCAGTTGGTGTTGGGCTATTGTTCCTCTAACTTACATTTGATATAAAATATTTGGATATCACAGGATCAGGGCAGACAGGGAAAGAAGATCCTGTTAAGCTTGATAACTAAAGGTTGGAAGAGCTGGGTCAGTTCTTAGAGGAATACAGAGAGTGAAATACAGTATTGAACAAAGTGTCTATCAGGATCAGGATGTCTGCAGACCAAAAACCAGGTTAACAATTATTGTAGGATAACATAATATATGTTAACTTTCTGTAGGGAAGGTTGTAGTTCTGAAGCGTGGCTGGGAAAACAAAAGAATCAGAACTCTTTTTTACCTTTTCTTATGCTCACCAACAGCTGTTATTTCCAAAATATTATTTCTTGTCTGTGAGCCTTGTTTGAAAGAAATGCATAGGGTGAACTAGTTACAGCATTAAAAAAAACAAAAAACCTTGTCCAGTTATATTGTGTTTTCAATGATCTTGTAGCCTGCCTTGTAAATTGATTGAAAAGAGATCCAAGCCCAATAAATAGTAAACAGCAGCCTTAATATCCAATATCCTAGCTGGTACAATTAGGTAAGAATACATAACTCATCACCATAACTCATCACTATGTATCTTTTGCTGGAGTTATTTACTCACAATCCCAAAGGATCAAATTTATTTTGAATTGTTTAGGTCCTTCGATGAATACAGTTTCCTTCCAACTACTTGGTGTTGTGCCTAATGCCATCTTTTTCCAGTATCACCTATGAAACTGGCTAGAAGTGGGGTTGTTAGGACTGTTCTTGCTGTAATTTTATCTGTATGACTTGCTAAGGTTTCTGTCATTGTCAGAGTGATTTAAGAAGTTGCCCTAAGCTTTCCAAGAGACTTTCCCAGTCCTGAAGTCCATTTCAGGAGGAAAAAAAAATGCACTGATAAGTTATTCAAGTTTAACATGGCCACGTTCTTCCTCATGGGACAATTTCTAAAACTCATTACATAAGCATGAAATGTTGCGCAGAAAACAACCAACCGTGTTGTTTAGCATTTTCCTCCACTTAAGCCGGCCACTAGAGGGCTGTGCATTTCTCAGTATTGTAAAGAAATGGAACATACTGGAATCTATACGGCAGAGGGCACAGGAGCGCTTCCATTCAATCCCAAAATTATTAAATCTGTGTTGCATGGAAGGTACTGAAGGGGAGAAAAGCATGGGGAAAAGTGCCAAGAAAGCCTGCCATTCTGGGAATAATTAAATGTATTTGTTTCCCGAGTTAACATTTTTTGAAGGTTGATAATAAGTTCTCTTTGGCACTGAAGTGAGATGACTTTTCAAAGAGTACAGTGTTCATTATGTGTTTTTCTTCTTCTTACTGTTTGGTGCCAAATTTTCATTAATTCTAAAAATGCAGCTGCTTTTTCTCCCCATGAATAGAAAATTAAGTATGTTTCCCTCCTCTGTTTTTCACAGTGGAAGTCAGGCCATTTGTCCATCTTTTTTTTTTTTTTGGTGGCCCTGGAGCCCCATTCTCTAGTATTGTGCTGCTGCACATTTTTCATAGTTACAAACCAACAACGTGGGAGAAAAGGGATGAAAAGTAAAACACTGTGGTTTCCAGTGGCACATTACCACCATGCCACCATTATCAGCCTTGGCTATCTAAATTTTTCATTTTTATTTTCTCCAAGCCACAAAAAAATTCCTTTCTCTTGATCTATATTAACTGGCAACAATTTTGATATAGTTTCTTTTGGTTTTTTCTCTTTGCCATTTGGTGCAATTGTTCTTGTACCAAATATTCAGAAAAGCTTGTTTCATATAGATATTTAACTATCTTTTTGTGACTTACAGTTCACTTGCATAAGACTTGGTTGTGATAATTTCTATTGAAAAGCTTTCTCTTGTAAATCCATTGCTTGTTGGTGAAAGGAATGGTAAAGAAATTGGACTGTAGTTGGGATGAGTGGATGATAGCCTTCAGCCTGAATCTGCCTCCTGGAATCATATGAAAAATTTAATTACCTAGGGTGATCAGAAGATCTGCTCACAAATTATCTTTTAAGGAATAGAAACTTTTAGCTTATGTTCAATTCACAGATTTTTTTTTCATGATTGTGCATATTTTGAAAGGAAAACGTTTCAAAACTTTTTAAAAAGCAAGAATTTAGAGCTTTTCCTCCAACCGATGTCTTCATTTTATCCAAAAGAACTTCACATATTTACAAAGTACTTACATATTTGGTTTTGCAAGCATATTGTAGAACAGCCTTCCCCAAACTCACAGATTCGAGGTACTTGGGATTATAGATCCCATCTTTCCTGACAGTCATATTGACTGATACCAATGGATTTTGTAGTTTAAGAACCAGATTGAGGACAGGTATGATAGATTCAGACCAATTGTGAAGTAGTGTGACTCTTCTTGCCCTAGAAGAGTTTCTAGTTCCATAGAAACATTTTATTTGATCCAACTGTGCTTTATAAAGTATTCCATTTTAGCTTGATTATTTGATTAACATTTATGTTTCACAGGCCAGTTTATTAGATAAAATACGATAACCATCAGCATGGAGTGAGTAAACAGGATGCATTTGCCAGAATTCATCAGTGAAATTTGAGAGTCTCTGAAAAGTTACCTCTGAAACAATAATATATATTTAGATAATCTGATAGCCTGAGATAATTCTATTTGTAGCATTTTAAGAAAGAAAAATGAACATGCAGTCATAGCTAGCCATTTAAAGGCTTGTTTGTGTTCATTTCTGGAGAAAAAAACCCAAGAGAAAACTTCTGACAATGTTTTAAAAACTGTAAGATTGGATAAAGCATATGAGGATGAAGCTGTATTAGATCCAACAAAGGAAGACCACTAACATGAACTGATAGAGTAATCAATGTTTTGCAAGACAGAATCAAAGAAACGAGCAGAAAAAAGGGAGCAGCCAGAAATAAGATCTATAGAAGATACGCTGTACTATTGGAATTCAGTATTGCTTTCTGGCATTTTCCATACAAGAACAGAATATGGGTGATGCTTTCCCAAAACAAATAGCAGATCCTATAAACATATATAAAGTAGCAATGATAAATGGCAGCTTTTAATTACTTCAGTATCAACTGCGAGACAAATCTAGACCTTCTTGATTTGTCTTGCTGACAACTTTTTTCCTTCTGAGGGTGGAGGAGTGGATAATAGAGTCAATTACCATTGATTCGATACTAACTAATGAGGAAGAAACACAGTCAAGGATTTGCAAGCGGCAGGAAAGTTAGAGAATGTTGGGGTTGTTCATTCTAAGAAAAACTAAATCTGTAATCAGGTATATGTGTAACTTCAAAAAAGGAGAGTTCAAAGAATCCTATGCAAAGGCAAGTAGGATTCCATGGCAAAAATTAATGGGAAAAAGAATTCAGTATAGGTTTCCAAAAAAGGGAACTATTAAAACACAATTTCAGCTGGGACAAAAAGTATTTGACTTGACAAAGTATCCCATAGCATTCTGGTTTACAAGCTAGTGAAGTGTGGACTGGATGGTACACTTGTGGATGTATTTGAGTGGAAGCCCTTATTCAGAGAGTGCTCAGCTGAGATTCCTAGTCATCTTGACAAATTGAGTGTGAGGCCAAAGAGTTCTGCTCCAGGGATTTTATACTTCCAATAATGACTGTTAATGACAGTTCCCTTAAAAATGCTGAGGTGTAGACTGAAGGGTAACTGGCTCGGTAATAGTAACTTGTGAAAAAAACTGTTGGGAAAAAGTTGATATAGGTTACACATTTTCTGATTCTCTATTTCTCCT